CAGACCATCTGGGACGACGACAACGACATCATCCCGTCCATCGGCTGCTCCCTCGGGTTCCTCTGGCCCTGGTGCCTCTGCTGCTCCAACCTCCGCAACATCGTCGCCCGCCGCCGTCGCCGTCGACCGCAAACCCACGGCGGCCCAGCTCCGAACCACAAATAATCCCACATCGACTAATAACACCAATCCCGCCGCCGTCGATCGCTCGCCCACCCCTACCGCCGCTGCTACTGCTGCTACCACTACCACACGCCCACCACCACGGCCACTTACCGCTGCTGCCACTGGCCCACCAACGATAAACGGGCCCCGACGCATCACAGCTGCTGCCACCAGTGCCAGCACCACCAAAACAACCACCACCACCGCCGGCCCAAACACAACATCGTCACCTTCACCTCCCACCAACACTACTTCTTCAACGCCGACAACAACACCAGCACCACAGCCCGCAACAACCCCAACGTCGACGCCACCCTCAACCTCGAGACGACAGCCACCTGCCCTGTCCTCCAGCTTGCGCACACCCCTCCGCACACGAGACCAAAATGTCCTGAACCCCTCTCGACCTGCAAACGCCGCGCGAGCGAAGCCTTCGCCTACCCCGTCGCCCACAATCGGCACATCACCAGCGTCCGCTTCCGCTACCTCAACACCCACCATGCCCCCCTACGAGAAAGGGGGCAGCACGACCTCTCGCCAACCGGCGATGCCTTCCCTCAGCGCAAAGGCAATCGGTCGAGCTCCTCTGACCCCGAAAGTCGCTGCGAAACCTTCACCCCCGGCCGTCACCCCCATGGGTCGTCGCCGCAACGACAACACAAGTAACAACAACACAAATTACCCCACACAACCGCACATCAATGGAGGGGGTGCGAGGGACGACCTCACAAGCCCTGCGCCTTTCCTCGCCGCGAATAATATCACACCTCGCACCGGCAGTCGCCAGAGCCGTGTGAGCAGTACCAACACAACCCCGAATGGCACTCCGGACCCAGACAGGAACGAGTGGGATCGCCAGCCGACACTCGAGCCTCCGAGACGACAGGTCGTCACCTTCAGCCCGCCTTCAAGCGTAAGCAGCAGGAACGATGCAAACGATTCTAAGTTTTTCTACGCCAGCGAGGCAAAACCATCGCAAGCTTCCCAACCGAAAGCTCAGCCTCTCAAAGCCCAGCCCAGACCTCTAGCTCCTCAGCAGCGAAACTCGACTTTCATGTACGCCAACGGCGGTGCTGTCGAAAAGAACAGGCCTACGTCACCTGGTATTGGTTTCACGCCTGTCCTGGCGCCGTCGCTTGCACCGTCCCTCTCTCCGCAACTTGCGCCGGCGCCGGAGCCACCATCGAGCAAGTTCTTCTACGCCAATGGAGCTCCGAATTTACAGCCTGGTTTCCGGCCCTCATCTGCAGCATCAATGACGGGCTCAGTCACTTCGGCGTCGAGCAAGCTGCATAGGACATCAGCAGGTTCAGCGAATGGCTTCCCTATGGCCCAGCGACCGATATCGCCAAACAAGCCATCCCAACCTCCGATGTCCGCACCATTAGTCAAGAGCAATAGCATGCCGCCTCACACTGTTGGCCGTGCCCACATGACTAGCCCTCCGCCGCTCGCGCCGCCGTCACATAAGCGTAGGACGAGTACCGACACGCTCTCACAGGTGGCAAGTCAGGTTGGATCAGAGGCACCAGCGACAGATGCCATGATCATGTCCAGATTCATGGCTTCGCAAACATCGACGCCCTCCGAATTGCCGTCTCCGACAGTGCCGAGTTTCTTTGCGCAACAGCCGATCACGATTGCGTCAATAATACAGGCAGCAGACGATCTGGAGGAAGAGGAAGAGGAGGATTCGGCTGATGAGGAGAACGACCTCGAAGACCTTCACAGCCCGACCAAGTCATCTCACGGAGACCCCTTGAACGACATGGTTCTCAACGCGAGAAGAGAGCGCAAGGTTCAGGATCTTGAAATCACCAACGCGTCTCTTGAGGCAATCAACAGGTCGCTGGAAAAGCAGTTGCGGAAGCAGACGGCAGAACTCAGGAGGTACAAGAGGCTATCAAGGTCCGGACGTCTGTCCGTCCCTCCTTCGGGCGGGTCGAGCCGGATGACTTCTGCCGACTCCACTCCTGCAGGCCTAGGCATTGAAGGACTGGACTTGTCGGATCTCAGCGAGGAGGAGGCGGAGGAAAATATGGATGATTCCATGTTTGAGTCTTCAGAGCTTTCCGAGACGGATTCAATGTCAATATCAAGTCCCAAGGAGGATCCGGAACGAGACCTGCGTCGCCGGACTCGGGATGAGAAGCGCTTGCAATTGGATCTCTCGAAACATCGGGAATTGCTCGTCGACAGCCAAAAGATCAACGTGAGCATCAAGAGATGCTTGAATTGGACAGAGGAGCTTATCAAGGAAGGCAAGAAGGCCCTCGAGTACAACGTCCGCCCTAGCGACGTGGAGCTACCACCGCGGGTGCTCCGGCCGGCATACCTTGAAGAGAACGAAGATGCAGAGAAGGGGCAGAAGGATGAGTTCACAACCTCATTACCGAGCAGTCCGTTAGATTCCCCGAGGAGTCTGTCGCCCCACTGGAGCAATCCGCAGGACCGCGATAGCGGCATCGAGCTGCCTGCGGACGAAAAGAAGTACAACACAACAACATAATCTACGAAGCAGACCGGATCTCATCCCCGCGGCCTGGACGTTGCGGCAGCATCGCACAACATCACCACTCACGGAACACATAATTTTCCTTACAAAACATTTTACTTTTCTTGCATGGCACGGGGGAATCAGTCCAGGTTTGGGATAAGTCGGAACCACGGCGTTTTCTTTTGTTTTCCATGGGAGGGCCTTTGAGAAAGACAGGGGAAAGGTTTCATCCCAATCGGCGGCGGCATTGACTCTTGTCCCTTCAGAGGGGCCATCACGAGGGACCTGCCGCATACACACACTGCTTTTATTATACCTACTTTTTCTTTCTAGTTCTCTCTCCTTTGTCACACTGTTTTTTGTGTACCAACAGATACCCCAAAGCATTTTACATATAAACAACGGAACATAAAGGGGCGGGCCGAATGAACAATGTCTTTCATGGCCGCGCTTAGGTTTGGTTTGGGAAACGTTTGTTGACTCTTGCCCGAATTTATGGAGCAGAGCACAGAAGAACGAGACAGTGGGAGGAAGACGAGACGGGTCCAAAGCCCAAGCAGTGGCGAAGCCGATTTGTATCATAGCAAATTCAAGCCAAGAAGGCCGGTAAAAGACCTGGCGATAACTTTATCTAGTGCGCATTAGGTTCTCTATGTGACATGCCGAAAGTATAAAAGGTATAATTGGAGCTGACTTCGAAATCGAACGCCACGCCAGCCACGAGGTTTACTCTGTGGCTGGTTGTACTAGACACTGGAGATTATGATAAGGGAAGGAGAATTTGCGAGATTGTGAGACATAAGGTTGCCATTGTCCGAAGGGATGGACCGAGCTACTTTGTTTTTTTGTTTCAACGTCTTGGCGTGCTAGTTCTCAAAGGAGGCGGCGGTTTTCTCGACGGTCTCACTGGAGAGTGGGTATCAAGAGTCAAGTTTCCCCTTTGAGGTCGCTTGAATGTCCATCATTTGAGACGTTGCGGCGTCGGCTGCATTATAGACTTGGTAAGACCGAAATCCGGGGAAGGGATACTCTAGAAACAGAGCTTCAAGCAGATATTGCTGTCCAATCCGGGTTGACACCTCTACCTGCCCATTCAATGCTCCTGGTAATGGTCCAAGGTCACGGAACCCCGGTCGCTAACAGTCATGAATCTGCTTGACTGACAGGAATTGTATTGTGGACTCCCCTGTTTAAAGGATCGATGGCGGCGTGAGCAAAGATTATGTCAAGGCAATATCTACAGCGACCCTTACAGGGACTCACAGATGAGAATCTGGAGACGAAGACAGCCCACCTTCGTCGGGGGCTTGCGTGCGTTTGTCCTCGTTGGGAATAGCAGACTTGAGGGGCAGATTCGGGTTGATTAGGGCAGTGATTCAAGCTTCTGAGATCTTATTCTGCTGTTGGGTGGTATTTGTCTGTGAATATGCAACTGGTAATTAGGGATGGTGTTGCTGGGTAGGTCTCGTTGAAGGCTGAAAACACCTTGTTGATTTAGGAGATTGGCGACCGCCAAGGTAAAGCATCGTGCTGCCCAGATATCATGGGCATCTACTTTAAACCAGCTCTTGGGTCAAATTCACGGTTGGTTTCCCTGGAACAGTAGTGGTCTTTTGGTGCTTATATCAAAGTCCTTTGAAACACCTCGTTATCCTTGCACGACTACTATGCCAACCTACCTGATTCATCGTGCAGGTGCTTTACTACTCACGATGTCTCTTCCCCTTTACGCCTATATACCTGAGAGGAAAACTTCGATAAGTTAAAGGTTATAGTATTGAGTCTCTAGATGTTGTGTATTGGGTCGGGCTGTATGACCCGGTTGAGGCTGGAGCGGTAACCAATCCTTCATAGTGACGCTGAACTCATGGTTCATCGCGTTCATCGATAGGACTGAAAAGGTGTGCTTTTGCATGTGCGAAACTGAGACAACCGAGGGAGAGATCAAACCAGAGCGCATCCGATTCTTCCTGGTGGCGCTGTATGCCTGTCGGGTTGGTTGATGCGGTTGTTGGCCTCCCGCATATGCAAGGTGATAATTTGCCCAAGGCCGCTTGTCCAACTCAAACTATCTGAAGCGCGAACCTCAGCGGGGAAGCTTAAGGAGTACATGCAAAAATTTCCATTGGATAGCCTCCAGTCTTTTTCAGAAACCTGTCGATGAGGGGTAGACTGTACGCAGGAAGCTTCGCTACTTGAGCTGTAGGTGCTTTCCTTCACATTTAAAACCCCTTGATCTCCTCTGAAGTTTTCAACCTGTTTTGGACCTGTATCGCACTTCCCCTCCTCGGTTTGCCTTCATTCGGCTCAAGAAGCGGTTTGGCCCGTCCTTTACGCGATGGCTACTCCAGATAGTATCAAAGCCGCGAGAGAGGCGGTTGAGAGCATTGCCACACAACATGGCCATGTGGCCGAAGACAAATTGCGACAAATTCACCCTGACTTGCGCCGTGAGATTGAGCAAGCATTATTTTCGAAGGATCTGATGATCGGATCCAGCGTCATCACGTACGTTTCTGGGTGACATTGGACCTTGGGGCCACATACTAACCACCAATGGCCAGACTCGCAATGAATCTGTACTCCAGCAAGGCCCGCTTCGTTTTCGAGCTCCTCCACAATGCCGATGACAACAAATACACCAAGGCCTCAATCTTGGGCTCCAAGCCATTCGTGTCTCCCCGGATCGTGGTCGAATGCAACGGGGTTCTGAAAACTAACAGGGTTGCCCAAACACCTTCTAAGGGCGAGGCACTACTTACTTTTGTTACTTTTGCTGCCATTTTTGAGGAACATCCGACGAATCCAGATCGCATTCCACGATGGCCACGAAGAACAAGCGTCCTCGGTGACTTATGACCTTACTCGGCTCGAGCCCAGCCATGTGCTGCAGAAGATGATCAAAACCGAAAAGGCGGCTTTCGAAGAATCCGTCCAGTACTTTCCAACCTTTCACGATACAGTGCAGCGGTTGTAAAAAGGACGACGATAGGACCTACTCAAAGTCAGAGGAGGCTTTCCAGACGTACTCGAAGTCCGAAATTCATCCTAGCTTGTCCAATCTCCGAGAGATCGGTGCCCACCATCGAGCCTCAAACAGTCTTTGCTTGTCTCCCAGTGAAGGCGCAAACAACGAAATTCAGGTGGCCTAGCTGGGAAAGCACCTAAACGACTTTTACAAGACGTTTTCCTCCCAACGAGCCAGCGGTATGGAGCAAATGGGTTCAACCTCACAAAAAGATGCTCCTGCCTTTAATCATCATATCCCTAGTTTTCAAATCACCGAAAAGGAGCCAAGAACGCCGTAGAAAAGCAATATTTTCACTATCTGTTCGACCTCTACCCGTGTGATGGGACACAAACGTTCAGGCCACGAGCCTCCATCTCGATGTCTTTCAGCAGCTCCTTTGCATGACCGACGACTCCAACGTACGCCATTTCCTTCAGGATAAAGTAAGCCTTGCTTATAATGTCGTATATGGCGAATAATGTAGTATTCGAAGCGTACACAGGTAGTAGAATCCGGATCACAACGGAGCATTGATTGGCGGCCCAGCGATCGAACTTGGTGTCATAAAGACACCGATAAGTCCAGAGAAGGACTACCATAGACTTTGCGTGGTGGAGCTGAAGAGACCTGGCGTCCCAACCGTCCAGGTAAGGCGTAGTACTGTTACTTTTGTAGATAGTAACGACCTTCAAGGCGATGGATTCGTAGCTCACACTTGCGGTTGTTAATCATCCGAGCTACCTCATTATCGAGAACCTAGCGAACCAGGCAATACGATGAGACTGATCGACGAGACTCACTGGAGTGAAAGAACCGATGAAGCGAAGCTATTGCCCATATCGAGATGATCCGGCAAGGCTAGTTTCCACTGACGCAAAAGTCTGTATACCGCAACACAACGTGCAGGGTCTAGCGGAACCGCACTGATAAACTCTTCCATGATTTGGTAGAGGGAATATTTCAAACCAAAAACCTCTAATTGATAGGGTGCCTCGAAGATATGAGTTCTTGGGCTCGGTGTGCGCAAGTCGTTCCAGTGACTTTGGTTGTCAACGATTTTCGTGACGAGCGGCTTGCAAGTTAAGAACCTCGCTGAAACTGACTCGGCAGCTTCCCTGTACACCCATTTCCTTTTGGTTAGCGGCACTTTCAGCCAAGCATATAGCTATTCAGAGGATCAAACTGAAACGTTATGGAGAGCTCGTATGCCGGAGGAATGAACATACATGAAAAAGCAGTAGAACCCCCAGTTGATGTGAGAAATAGTATGCCAGTCCCTCATTTGACTTGGTGTGCCCATGTCGGAAAAGTTAAACACAGTAAAGTCGCCCTTTTCGAAGCCCAACTCTGACCATGCCTCCCGAACTAATTTCGGAAGGTTTTCATGAGTTCCAAATGTTACTAGAGATTTCTCGTTGCAGGTAACGAACCAGAGAATAGATGCTCCCTGTAAGAAAGTCAAGGAACCTACGCGTCTCTCTGATTCGAGCAACTGACACGCTTCGTCTGCGAAGAGACGGGCGAGAGCGATAGCGTTTGGATCGAAGGCGTAACACCTTCTGGCTGAATGCAGCTAGGGTCGAACCAGTGTCAGAGGATATTTGCGGAGCCGAACGAAGTAGGGAAGCAGACAGAATATCTAGTAGCTTACAGCGGATACAGTGAGGACGGCGTTGACGAGGAAAGAAGAACAAAACACCTTTCGGCTTGCTATTGTAAGCCCAGGCCCACCGCTACATATGTCTGCAACGAAACGTCCCTTGTCGACTATATTGGATAATGTACTGTCCCAGGTCCAGAACAGATGCAGCAGGCTGGTCAGCGCTTCATCGTCGTCCGAAACATTTGTCCAGCGAGAGACAGGCAAGACACTGCAATAGCCCAAGTTGTCAATGAACCCTGAGCTCTGACCGTCAGCTAGACTAAATTCGCTAGGCGGCATCTTGACGTTTGATAGACTTGTTGGACATCCTGATCTTGATCGTGGATCTATGGTCGGTTCTTGATTCGTGGCGCCGAGGTTTGGACCGAGATTTTGAGACACTGTGTTTTCTATGGGCGAGAAATAGTGAGCAGTCTTTCCCAATGGTTGAAGCCTCTCCACTCATGGAGAATCTCACGGGTTTCTTCGTCTGCCCCTTTAACCATAAGATCCGCATTTCCAATCGACTCGATGGTATCGTCAAGGTCCGTGGAGTCTCTCAATTGGTGTACAAGGTCTTGAACAACTCTGTCCTCGCTCGATTGGATCAACTTCAAGACATTGTGGGCGCTTCGGTAGGCTCTGGACGTGCGAAAAAGTGCCTGCTTCTGGGCCTGCCGCTCAGAAAGTCCCTCTGGGGCTGGGTACACACATGGACACTTATCATTCGTGCATCTGAGGCACCTTGGCCGGGTGCCACTGCACTGTAACAATCAGTCGGAAGTTCTATAAGAATAATTGCTTGCCTAAAGACAGATGATAAACCAGTAACAATGGAAATTAAGGATTCAGAAGTGAGTGACTGACTTTGACTCTCCGCTTCCGACAGGCTGGAAAGGATTAGCTATGTTTAAGTCACAAATGGCGATTTGGAGTGCTTTCCATTACAGGCCGTTAAAACTTGGCTCCTATTTATCTTCGTCTTAACGGAACGAATCAATGCTGGTATTCCGGTGGCAGTGGATGGCAAAAGAGGCCTCAGTTTAGGCCTATCTGCCATGATTAATAAGTGAAAAGGCGCCGGGGGGGGGGGGGGGTTGCCCCGAATTGAAATATATCAATCAGAACTGAATACAACGCAGAGAGAGGCCACTGGGTATTCCGCTCATTGAAAGCCGCTTTGTACAAAAAGCGCAGAAAGATAAAGCAACCAAGCTGGCAGAAGGCGTGAATGCGGAGATTGTGTCTTATCATATAATGTTAGCTTCGCATCCTGAGGCTCATAGATCATCCCTCCAACAGTCCAGTCGATCATGCACATTGCTTTTTGAGTGGTCCTGTGGGAGGTTGATCGTTTTCTCTGGTGGCGCAGGTGACTCTCCGCCGTAGCCGGCAGCTGGAAAGGCACACTGACTGACATGACGACCAAACGTAAGCCAGACAGGCGCAATGTCATTAGATTTTACACAACTTGGTATCTTAACATTTCCGGGAGGATGTAGGCAGCAAGTATTTATGGGGTTATTAGCTCTTCAGAGCCGATGCTTCGACTCATAATCCACCCCGTCCACTGCCAACGAAAGACTTCCCGATATGATACTTCGATATGCTCTTAAATATAATTCATCCTGCTTCGCATGTGTCCAACGTGGTAAAGCCAACATCTAGTGCGGCTTCACACAGACTGATAGCACAGCATTCGGTTTCGGGTCATCGGAGCGAGATTGACAAGAGGTGCGTGCATTCGTAGTGCATCATGGCCAAGAGGCTAGCTTCGTCTTAGGACCTTTACCCCGAACTCTCCCTCGAGATGGTCACGTCTGCGCCTCCGCCCCTTTAAAGTAATGGGCAAAAAAGAAAAAAGGAAAAAAAATCTACACAATTACATATCGAATAGTCACACTATTACAGCGTCTACTTAACGCTATAAATACTGTTATTTTGAAATAAACCTCAAGATCTCAGGGTTATTAAATAACCTCTTCATTATCTAAATTCACAATAAACCTCAGTAGCCTCAAGATAAAAAAAACTTAGACAGAATGATACTTCTATGGCATAAGTTACCTAGTACTTAAAATGAGGAACTGTGACCATGCCCAAAATTGACAATCCATCCTCCCAACCACTCTACACAACGCAAAGATCCTCGAGATGGTCACTTGACCAGCCTGGATGTAGACCCCACCTTGTTTTATATATACTTGAATTTCCCTCTTCTACATTGAGATTCATAATAAATGATGAATTTGAAAGATAAACATGAAGCGAAGGTTAACAACGATCTACAAGCCATATTGAACTCCGGATGCTCTACAACGGCACTCAGCTACAGGACTTCGATACCGGCCCACTCTAACCTTATATTCACCTTCTCAGCGCGCCCTGTCAAACGGCTGAGACAGGTAGTCCGGCTGCTGGTCTGGTAATCCAGTCGCAAATGAAAAGTCAGGGTGAAGCTGGCTCGAGTGCCACAAACGTATAAAAGTTTTCTACATAATCAAATTGAACTACCAATCGACTGCAGGCATCTTTGCCCCTCATCACGTCGTCAATGGAATCGCAGCATACTTCTATCTTGCAATCATCTTCAAAACTTGGTTTTGATATGTTAACCGCAATCCTCAAGGTTACTTTAAGTGTCACGATGGTGCAGCCGGGCTCACCGGCTGGCATTGCAATGAGTTGTTGCGATACCCAAGTACATCGCGTCCGGGTCCTCCAATCTCCTCAGAGCGGCCACTTCTCAATACTGTTACACTAATCAATCAATCTTAAAATCTTGTTTGGTTACGCTCCGGTGACGCAATGGCTACATCATGGCTTAGTGGAAGTTGGCAGGAAGGGGAAAGAGGAGAAGAGGAAGCTCCGTTATTGAGTATGCTATACATGCGATAAAGACGTATATCCCAGCCGTTCTATTGCTTGGATGCTTTAACGTTCATATCGAGTCTTTGACGGGTTTTCTCCTTCTTGTTTTGAAGGAGGGGAAGAGGGGACTGCATCGCCTATGGTGTAAAGATCACGAAGAGCACATTCATTATGGACAGAGGCGTCTTATCGGGGTGCGAAGTACAGTTGACTTGGGGCGGGGTAAAGTAACGAATAAAGGGTCGCCTCAACAAATACTATGACTATGAGACACGTCACCCACCAAGCTCAGTGAGTTGCTTGGCAGGTCGTTTATCATCCGCCAAAGGATGAATTCGTTGATTTACTTGCATACATACGCTTAGTACGCCCCTCCTAAGCTGGGCGGGGCTCATATGATTATCTACAAGTCCTCCATCTTTGTTCAAACCCCAGCCTCCCAGAAGCCCATACAAGTATCATCAATCTCCATCTGTCATCTTCATCACGAATTATCACTGCTACGATTACTGGTGGGGCCAGTAGCGTATTCAGCAAACAAAGCCTTCATCCCATTCACAGTTGTCTGATTTGTTTTCTCACGGACATCTGACTTTATCGCGCCAGCACAGTTTGATATCACATTGCTGTGCCGAACCACCGTAGGGGAGCTGCTCTTAAGATAATTTATACAAAGCCGAAATCCACGCAGTCATCACCAGAGCACTGATTGCTATTTTTCAAGGAACGTCGTCTTTGCAGCTAATCGAACTAATCGCCTATCAGAGCTTGCTTTTCCGTTCATCCAATTGCCGCTTGTATGGGTCTCGTCTCCTCCGTGGAGTTGAGTGATGTCGGGTCCATTGAATAATAGGCCGTTGTTGCCGCTGCTCAATGGCCAGCCACATCTCCCCCGGATCGCACTGCACAAACGGAAGCGGACGCAAGTGCTGGCAGCTTGCGACGGTATGTCAATTGTCATTCTCATTCAGACCAAGTCACAAGCCTTCCAGCAGACAACTGACGCAATACCCAGGGTGCCGAAAGCGGAAAGTGAAGGTATTTTGCAACTCTTCTCAATTTCTCTAGCATCTCCCCCAAGCTACGGCGACAGGCTGTGCAACGCTGACTTGACCCCTCATACTAATAGTGTGACGGAGCCCGACCAGCTTGCCGTCTTTGCGTCTCATCCCAGGCGTCATGCATATACACCGTTGCCGAGGGAACAACTCACAGGGAGGCTCAGAAGCGGAAGCTCATTAGTATTTCCGTAGCGCATGAGAACAGCCAACGAGTTTTAGAGTTGATTCGAGAAAATCGCGATGGCGTTGCAGACGACATCACGAGGAAGCTGCAGGAATCCGACGATCTTCAACACTCGATTAACTTGATAGCCGACGCCAGTCTTCTCCTACCAAAATTTCATGAGGGTCAAGGTAAGTTTTACAACAAGTCCAAAGTGGCAGAGCAATTGATGATCCAGCCACTAATGTACGGTATCTGTTTCCAGGAGATTCAAGGCCTGTTGTGGAGTTGAAGTCACAGAGAGGCTGTACCACTGGGCTCTTAGCAGCGAAGTGACTATTTTCGAATGATCCGTTGCATGCACTTGAACAACTGACTTTTTCTCACACTAGTTCTGATACCGACAGAGGTGATGGGTGTCTCCGCCCTTCTGACCACATTATGCCCATATCGCGCTGGACCAAGATTTCTCGAGCCGACACGACATTGACACATCTTGTCAACGCCTTTTGGACCTGGAACAACACTTTGTCGCATCTCATTGATAGAGACCTCTTTGTTTCCAGTCTAGAATCTATCGACTCCAGCGCTAACTCCGATCGAAACGGTCAATTTTGTTCGTCTTTACTTGTCAACGCCATCCTAGCCGTCTCAACGGTATGTCATATTAAGCTCTACCGACTTTGACCGTGGTTTGAAACATCATAAAATGGCGTTCTAATAACTCATGGGGTAGCTATATGCAAACAAGGTTGTATTAGGATCAGTGTCAGCAGAAACAAGGACAACACTGAGCCGCGATTTTGCCGCTTCTGCATTCGAGCTCCTAGAATCGGAGCAGCATATGAGTTCCTTGACTCTACTGCAGGCTGCGGCTGTTTTGTGGACTTTGGTCAGGAATGAGGGATCTGATGAGTCAAAAAGTCGATGTTTGACCCTACAGGGTCTGCTGAAGCGGACTTGGTCGTCTGTTCGCCTGGAGAACACAAGCTACGGTCTCATCACGTCTCCCAGAGAGGAAGGGGGTATTGCAGAGAAGATGCACCAAGCAGATTCCTACATCACGTGGGGGTTCTACTGCTTCTTTTCGTGGGTTCTTCCTAGATTGTTTCGGGTCGGTGTCAACTTGCGATATCCTTGGCTGATTGATGTCATCTCTACCCAGAAAACTGGCCACAGTCACCTCCCCTGAGATGCTGATTCCAAGGCCTCTCATTATGAAAACATTCGAACGTCTAGGCACTCGAGACCATTCCAACTCATGGGATTCAACGTCAAATGTCGGCAAAGATCCTAAAGGCCTCAGAGTATTCGTCGCGGAATGTAACCTTTGCGAGATTATTGCTCAATTCGTCACCGATCATGCTGCGAATAGACTGAATCGTGATCACTGCACGGCACTTTACAACAAACTCACATGTTGGCAACTCTCCCTCCCTGGTGATCTTATGGCGGGAAATAGCGTTCCTGAATCCGTTTTATTCCTTCGGTAAGTAGCTACCGTACTGGCACACCTCTTCATCCTGAATTGAGCAATCATGTGGTCTACAATCATGTATGCTGATGACTGCTTTCTATCAGAGCAACATATGATTTCATCGCTCTGAAAGTCTTGTCCGTTTACTTGAAGCAGCCTGAAACCGATATGCTTAACGCTCATAACGCCGCACTTGCCCAAATTGGCCATGCGGGCTCCATGATGGCTAGCCTTTGCCCCGTTGGTGGTATATCGATGACGAGGCACGAGTACTGGACAGCCGAGTATTGCTTTTCTGTTGCAAAGGATCTCTTGCCTTGGCTCGACTCGGGTATTGCGGTGCCCACAGTACGTGACACAATTGGCAAAGCTTGCTGCATCCTCAGGGATATGTCTGATGCCGGAGTATCAGGCCGCGCACAGGCATTGCTTCTGGATATTACCAAGCAGGCAAAGTCGTCAGGCAAGATCTTAGCCCCTCAGGGCAAGCAGTATGCAAGAGCAGAACTTAACCCAGCAGTTACAATACACGGCGTGCTGGTTTTCGATGGCAAGAATGACCTCATGACCGATTCTACAGAAGGAGCTTTCATAGTTAAGTTCAAGGATAAGATCCGTAGCGTTGAACTCGTGATGAATTGAGTTGTGGAATATTGTCATGTCTGCCACAATGAACGAAAGCCACAGATCGTAAAGGCAACGCTGTCAGCGGCGTTTGTCAACCTTTGTTGCATCTCATCACTTTCATGTTCCAATTCAATGCAAGAGTTTTATAGCTTAGAAACAATGTGGTGAGATGTGTTGTGGTTTATTGAATCTTTCTGGTGCCTTCGACCTCAAGATGACAACTCAGACATACAACTCTATGATGCGGACTGATGGATCCTGTGAATAATCCGACAGTGATGTCGAAAGTGCTTAACCCCCTTGCTTTTCCAATCATATCTAAACAACATGCAGTTTGATCGATTTCAAAGAGTTCGGATATCGTTAAGCGCGATCGACTCAAGTCTTACTTTGATCAAAAGGGACCTCGACGCGCTCCACCAATAGGAGACCCCTTGACCTTAGGCTGAGGTTTGGCGTGTGCAGATATATTCACCCTGGATCCATACTCCCTGAAGCTTTCGGGTGACACTGATGTCTTCCAAGGGATTACCTTCAACAAGTATTAGGTCGGATCTAAGACCACTTCGAAGGATACCTCGATCGCCAAGGCTGAACGCCTTGGAAGCCACGCAGGTCGCAGAGCGTAGAACTTCCAGAGTTGGCATGCCAGCCTCGACGAGCAAGCATAATTCCTCATGAAGACTCTCCCCAAATGGTACCTGGGCCCCTGGAACAACATTCGCTGTTGAACCCGCGCAAATCGTAACGCCGGCTTCATGGAGTGTTCGCACGCTTTCTGTCGCGTTTTCATAGTTATTCCCGACCGTGGCTCCTGGAGCTACATCACAGCTCTCGAATTCCCTGATATTTGTGGCGGAAGTAGGGTCTTGGCTTCGGCTAGCGGTCAATCCGGGGTAATCAAAGGATGATTGTTCCGATGGCACTTGTTTCTTTGCCATGGTCAACGTCGGAATGAATATTTTGCCCTGTGAAGCCATTTCTCCAGCCATCGCCGCATTGATGGGTGCGTCAAGAGGAGCATGGGCAAAGATATCGAAACCGGCCCTCATGCCACGTTCGTAAGACGCTTTGCCAGTAGTACGGGCCACGGTCAACTTGTCGTAGGCGTGAGCGACGTCTACAATGGTTTTGAGTATTTCATCGCTGTGCGAATGCAGACTGACGGCAACTTTGACCAAATCCGCCCGGTCTGGGCCACTCGACTTGGCCGAGACAAAAGCTACTGCATCGTCACGCGTGCGAATCTCCACCGTATTTGAGTTACTGCGAAGACCCGGTCGATGGGTCTCCATTGGTACTGCTTCTGTACCGGAAGAAAGCATAGTAGGCAATTTTGTCTTGCCAGCGGCGTATACGCGAAGAGATTGACATTGCTCATTGTTGCTGCTGAGATCGATGACGGTGGTCACGCCATGGCGCGCGAAGGTATCCAGCGCCGTATTGATACCCTTGATGTTCACGTAGACGTCGATCAAGCCGGGAATCAATGTACAGCCACGGCCGTCGATAACATGATCTGGGTCCTCAATTTGGGAGTCATCCATGTTCGGGTCTTGGATATTGCCAGCCGACCTGGTAAACAAAAAGTTTCCAGCATTTTGAATGACCTCGCCATCAAAAACACATACGTTCTTGATAAGAACCCTAGTCATTGCTTGCAGACTTCGATCTGATGCAATAGACCCGGGTGACGTTTGCGCCTCCAATCGTAATGACTGAGGTTTCGTAGTTGTAGCCTCGTATTCGTAGCAGTTGGCTATTGCAGATGAAAAAAGAGTTCAGAAATTTGTTCGATGGTGATGAATGCCTTTGCAAAGTAAGAACGAGAGTCGAATTGGTAGGACGTACACACAATGTAATTATAGCCGCCACTTTCTAATAGAAACCTAAGGTATGAATGATGACCTGGCGATGAGACGGAACAAGGTTCTGCAATGTTGGTTCTGTCAAGTCACCGTTGAAGCCGACCAAACCTGGACGGTTCCGCCAATCGGAGCCTTCAAAGCTTTTGGACAAGCATCCTTTGTGGGTTGACTAAAAGTGGCGGTTCATGACATAGCTTGGCTGTCGCAAGATTCGCGAGCTAATGCTTGATGATTTCATCAGTGATTGATTCAATGTCATTCATTGTGAAATCATTGACGTGAAAATACGGCACAACCTCGATGGATACTGTAAGCTACAATCTTATTTCTTGGCCACATCTCCTATCCAAACTAAAGCTATTGTGTACAAGGTGTGACAACCCTTGCAGGCCACGGCAAATCTCAATGATTGGCTTGCATGACATTGACCAAGGCATGTGGAATGTTGTCCCCCGCCGCAAGCCGCAAGTAGGGCGGGATAAATTACAGAAAATTTGAAGGTGGAATGGCGTGTTGATCGTTGCCGATCTGTCGTCCCCGCACCTTACGGAATCATCTCCGGCGGTTCTTCTCCAATCAAATACAACGTGCCAACCTCCGGATGGTCGGTGACGGTTCTTGTCTGCAAGACAGCTGTCTCTGGTGCAATGTAAATGACTTGGTAGCCAATATCAATCCCAGCAAACGAAGCTTCATAAGTCACGTCTAGGTACGGAGGAGCATAGCTAAACAATCTTGGGTGAGGCTATCCCAACACATTCGTTACAGTAGTTATTTCACCTCAAACGACCTGACTTATGTAGGTACTAATGAGGTCAGCAGAGTGATCCTTAGTCAAGAGAGCGTACACTCATTACATAGGTAGATATTGGTTTTCTTCTCATAACCGCTCATTCAATATACTCATCAATAGAGACACAATGATCCCTGACTATTTAAGTGATGCTCATTACCTGGAACTTGAGACTGTGGCTGCTACGAATGCAAGCATCGATATCCCATGGCTCGAGTTGACTGTCGTCTAGTTCAGTAATTACATTGACTCCTTTTTACGCCAGTTCTCCCTTACGCGCTTCGAATCAGCTCTCCTGGCTCAGACATGTGGAATCGTTTGCGCCATCATCGTTTCCAAAAGCGTCTCTCCGGTGGCGAGGGCTTTCGTATGCCTGGCCGTACCGTCATACCCGTAATTACCGCCATACTCGCCCTCCACCTAGGCAGCTGCAAAGCCAAATCGTCCTAGATATTTGCCAAGTCTGTTATTTGAGGGGTGGCGGAAGGGCATCTGGGTTGTCTGATTCCCCAAGTCTCCGGAAACGTAATGTCGCTGTGACTTCACTCACTCGGAGACAAATCCTGCAAGGAGCTGCATATATTTACCGCCTCTTCCGAAGACTCTTCTCGTCTGTCTGAGAAGTTTAAGCTCCGGAAGGATTTATCGGGATTTGAATCGAAACCTTCGGCCATTGTGTGCCACCCAGACAGACTACCGCTCCGAGGGCGTGATGATGGTGAGACAAAGACGCTAACGCATATATGGCATAAGAACAGTACATAACCTAAATAGCGGTACCCGGGATCGATGAACAATAGGTTTCTGGCTGTTATTTGGTCTAAAAGTCTACCTGGGCTTCAAATCTCAACTCTTTGACGCTTTGCTTCGTTGACTATTGCATCGGTCGAAGCATCTCTACTATGGCTCTCACAGGCAGCAAGTCGAAGAAACAGCTATCTGCTCAGTTGTTAGCAGATTCACACATTTGCAAAGTCCATCATGTCACCGACTTTATCATCGTTACGGAAGACGTCGACAATCAATTTCAAAGCCTCTCGTCCGGTCATCCTAGCAAGAACTCAGGTCGCCCCGATGATTCATTCCCTTTTGGCCTTTTATGCAGCTACCGGGCTTTGGGAAGCCACCGACCCGAGCCACCGTGGTTGTCGTCTCGGCCACCCTTGTATCGTGACAGACGTAAGGGCATGTGCACGGTTATTATATCTTGCGAAGTTCCATCACAGTTATGGGAGCTGCGTAGACTGGAGTCCCGATCACATCTTCTGTGTCGAACTGGACTCTGTCGATGAGAGACAAGCGTTCCCGGCATGTGCCGAATGCGGTGTTCTCATTGAGATCCAAGGGCTAATTCTTGCCAACCGAAGACTCTTGGATGACGGGACCCAAGTTTCTACGGACGAGGACTTTCGTATCGTTGAGAGGAGTCTTAGCGGATACCTGCGGGCGTATGAGCTGAGGAGGGATGCCCACGTACGAGATCTGATAAAAGCAAAGAGTGGCTTGCTAAGGGAGGAGTTGCAATATGCCCAAAGTGGTATTTCGCCGTCGAGACTCAAAGATGAGGAAGTGGAAGAAAATAGCTTATAATGGGGGATGGGGGGGAGGGGGGGGGGGGATGATGGGCAACACTACGAGGTTCTGAAGTTTCCACGTGCAGCGTATGCGCCTACCAAGACCGGGCGAGCAAGATAGCGAAGGGAAGAAAAGGAAAGAAAAGCTGAATATTAAATTGATTAGCCATGATATCGAATTACGCTGTGAAATGTAAAGCTATTGGATTACATTTACATTCAATTATTTTAGTCTAGTAATTATACCCTTGTTTCATTAATAAAACATATAGATAGATAGATAAATAAAACCACCTCAAGCAGTAGACGTTAATATTGCTTTAAACCCTATTTCCGCATTCCATCGGGAGCGGTCAGTATCTTGCGAGAACCTCAAGTCTGCCTCTGGCCTCCATGGTGTTCCTTCCTTGAGAACTCATTAGTACTTGTTAAATATATTGCAAGGTAGATGATTGAACTAAGTCAAGCAAACAGCAAAAAGGTTGATGTGAACTTTCCTGCACATTGCGGAAATGAGTGATAAGTCAAATCGGTGCGCGTCGACACTATTCATTTTTCACACTTATGCAGATTGGTCTGAAGAGCACCTCAGTGCTATGCGGTCACCGGGGAAGTCGAGCGAACTCTTCAACGCACAAGGTCGGGCGGGGTTGACGACATGTCGCGATGGCGATGCCTTTCGAAATTGCGGCCTAGATATACACCCGGACTTACGATAGCTCAATATGAATGTCCACGAAATCACACGTACATGTGTTGTCCTTCCAGAGTTGCGGGAGCAGTGTGACGCAGGGAATATGGAACATCGACCAGCGTCTAGCATGGCGTCTACAAGCGGGCACCATCCGCAAGTCGATTCTCGAAGACAAGTCGGCTGTGCTACTTACTCACTTACTTTTCCCTCATGCTCTGAATCACAAACTCAAAACACCCGCCAAAACCTCCTCCGTCCCAACAACCTCCGCAAACTCCCCATCCAAACTCGCCAAGTTCACAGCATGCACAGTCTCAGCATCAAACCCACCCTTCTCATACGTCGCAACCGCGTCCCTCACCAACAACACACCATTACCATCCACCCCTCCATCCTCGCCCAGAACCTGCAAGTTAGCCGCCATCCGCACTGTAGTGCTCACGCAGTGATCAGTCGTCAGCCCGACCACTATAAGCTGCCGAATCCCGGCGGACCGCAGCGTTGCCTCGAGGTTGGTGCCGATGAAGGCGCTGTTGAAGTTCTTCGTGAAGACGGGTTCTGAGGGGAGGGGTGCTGCGTAGGGCAGAGGTGCGACGGAGGGGGTTGATGAGCCTTCGAGGTAGTGTGTTGGGTGGAGGGCGGAAGTAGGGGATATGGAGTGGTGGTGGACGTGGAGGATGAGTACTGGCTTTTGCTCTTGGGAGGTCGGGGTCGAAATGATGGTTTCGTTGTACTTGCGTGCGGATGCGAGGAGTGTCTCGACGCTGGATTCGAATGTTGGTGTGCTGCGTGATGAGCCCCAGTGGGTCGGGTGCTTGAAGCCCTCTTGGATATCAATCAGGACGAGCGCCGTAGGTGTGGTCGATGCGTGACGCATGGTGATGGACAAGCTTCGACAGCCGTTGAGTATCGTTTTGACAATGAGAACAATATGACCTGTTATTGATGATTTTCTGGCTGGGATATGACCGTCCCTGGTGATCGATGGGGGTTTATTATGGTAGTTGCTATTTACTATGCTTACAGATCAAATCAATAGACGCCCTTCTCAATTCGGCTAGTCATTGAAAGGGCGTCCAATGGACTTCAGGGAGTGAGAGAGGGTACTCGATTGCTACAATTTCGGCCCCTTCTTTGGCTGTCATTGGTATCATAGAAAGCAAGAGATGTTACCACACGTCGGGCTGGCCCGCTGCATGGATGTTATCGCCAGCAAAGCTGGCGAAAAGTCTCATTGATATGCTACGGATACAGCGTGCTGAATAGCGTCGTGAAGAGTTATGCGGGGTAAAGCGAATAACATGCCGTTCCGCATATCCGCCAACCTAAGTTCACAATCACAGATTTGGAGAAAGGCTAAAAAGCGAACAAGGCCATATCTCTCACATTCAGCACAAATGTCTCTGGACCACCATAGACACGATCAATAACCACAAAATGCAAAAGAGATCATCGTTCCCGAGAAGGAACTACGCTTATATGCCTCGTGGCGGAATCGAACCGCCGATCTTCTCATGTCACTAGGTACTAGTGAGACGCTATACCACTTAGCCAACAAGGCGATGTCTCCAAGGCGTCAGCAGCAAGCTCAAGGACCGCTGCGGCGGATCCTCTCCACCAGCCGACGACACCCCACCAACCTAGCGAGAAGGCATGCAAGTTCCGCTTCGAGAGTGTTCAGTTCTCGAGATGCTCGAGACTCTTCCTTTCTATCGAAGTGGCTCTTCAAACCCTAGCCCCAGACATCAGAAAGCGGAAGTGTATGGCCGGAGGTGAGTTATCAGTCAACATCCTCGTCTCTTAAGAGGGCTTACACAATCCATCTCTCCGGTTCTGAGGACCACAGCAGCACCCACCACAACTCATCTTAGTACTGAAAGTCCTTCGGCACACAAATTATATGATGCAAGTCCACGGTAAACAAGTCAAGAAAAAAGTCCAAGCATCCAATCAAGTCCATCATATAAGTATACTTTGTATTCGCTGATAATATCAGTCACCCATGCCGAATGGTGAGTGGGGAAGCCAACTCCAACAAACAACCGTCAAGTAGTAGCCTCTCCCAAAAGTCCCGTCTATTCGCTCAAGTAGCCCAGAGTTTGTAACAATCAGGTAAAGGTAGGTAAGCTAAGGCCCCAAAGAAGAATCGAAGTTTCAAACGGTTGTGGTATCTCGTGCGCACTCTGTCCCTCTTTTCCCCCCACGAAGCAGTTTATGCCTTCTCGGGCTTGGGGACGTTGGGCGCATCCTCAGCGACGTCCGCTGATGGGTGCTTCTTGCCCTTCTTCTTGGACTCCTTATCCTTCTTGATGGCTGCCTCGGCGACGAGCTGCTCGAAGACGAGGTAGTCGCCTTCCTCCTCGGGGGATCTCGCGGCCTGGAACAATAAGTTAGCACCATGAACAGAATGACAATCAGGAGAGAAAATATTACCTTGGAGAAAATGTCACCGATGATGACCAGTGCCTCAGCGCGCTCCAGTCTCTTGGCCAAGGGGATCTTCTTGTCGTTGAGGACGGAGTCGCACACCTCACGCAGCACACTCTGAATCTCAAACTTGGAGCCGCGCCATGCGGCAGTGAGGATCTTGCCTGTGACGCGGCGCTCGTACTCGGCCTTGCGATCCTCGGACCACTCCTCGCCGCCCTTCTCCTCCATGCGCGCCATCTCCTCAATGGTCTGCTGTGCGTCGATGGCAGAGCTGATGGTGTTCCAAGTCTCCTTCACGATCGTGCCCTTGTCCTTGACGCGGCTGAAGAAACCGCCGATGCCCAGGAACTTCTGACTCCGCAGCAGACCGGTGGCCTTGGCCAAGTACGTCTGGCCGATGGCGTGGAGGATATCCAGACCGAAAGACTCCATCTTCATGTTCTCGACCTCGAGACGAGTCTTTTCTTGGAACGCCTTGGTGACGTCAGCGCCCTTGTCGGTCTCGGTCCACACGCTTATTCTGTCGAGGAGCTTGCGGGCGAGGGTGTCGACACGCTCCTGGCGGACGCGGGCGCGCTCCTTGTCGTAGGCGGCGAGCTGATCGCGCTGCTCCTTGGTCAAGCTACCCTTCTTCTTCTCCTTCTTCCGCAACGACTCCTCCGACTCGGGCTGGCCTGCGGCTTCGTCCGAGGGCCTGTCCATAAGCGCAGGCCGGAGGGGGATCTGAGTGCGCTTTGCGGTACCCGAGGTACCGGACGGGCTCGGTGACGGTGTTCTAGCCTCAGCGGCGTATGGGGGAGGAGGCGCGTTGGCGGTGCCAGCAGCGGCAGAGTCGGCTGCCTTATGAGCCTCCTTCTCATCTTCAACGACGACGGTTGGCGGAGGAGCAGCGGCAGCACCGGCGGCGGCGCCAGCCTTTTCTGCGTCTCCAGCCTTCATGCTCTCTTTCTTGGCCTCCTCAGTGCCAGGGAACTCGCCGTCGGCAGCTTCGGCGCCCTCAGCACCCTCCTCACCCTCCTGCATGGTGATGTCCATAGTGGCCGTCAGATCCTTCATCAGGCTAATCTCACCGATCCAGTCGACAAAGGCATCGCCGCCAAAGATGGAGCTGAAGAACTCGGCCGGGTCGGCAAAGCCCTCGGAAGGCTTCGCGCTGTCCTTTCCATACTTGTCGTAGGCTGCTCGGAGGTCCTTGTCGGAGAGGACTTGGTAGGCTTCGCCAATTTCTTGGAACTTTTCGTGGGCGGAGGGGTCGTTGGGGTTCTTGTCTGCAGGGGGTTCTAGTCAGCTTCCGTGACGCAGTAGAGTGCAGTAGAAATCAAACAGGTAATTTTACATACCCGGGTGGTGAACGATGGCAAGCTTTCGGTAGGCCTTCTTGATTTCGATGTCTGTGGCGGTGGGCTGAACACCGAGAGTGTCGTAGTATGCGGTGTCGACGACCATGGTCGCAAGGAATGAGGGGTATGAGGTAGAAGGAAATCTAGGTATAGAAACGGCGCAAATGTTTTCTTCGTTGATAAACAAGAGAAAAAGGTTGAGTGAGGGAGTAAGAGGTCCTCTGCGGGAAAGATCGCGGGGTGATGAGGGTAGGGATAGACTTGCGAATCGTGATTCAAGCGAGAATCACAAGGAATCGGACGTAGCGGCGGTCGAATGAACTGGGCGGTGCGGCGTGCCACACCAAAAAGTGACCCAACTGCTGCAAGGTGCCCGCCGATTACCTAGATTTTTGGGTGGATTTACGTTTTCGCGGTGCCCCGCCAAATTACGTCGTTGGGCGAGACCTATGGGCGCTGGGCGGTCACCAACGGTGGGTTTCAGTGAGCATGGTGGTGACTTTTTGGTGAGTAACCATGCACTGCCATGGAACGGCCAGGCTGAATTACGGTACCTACTTCTGAGCCTTACGGCTGGTAAGGTAACCTGCCCTCCCACTGGGTGCTGGCAAGGTGCCATTCTTTCCCTCCCGCCCTTTCCATAGGCTGCATGGACGATGGCGATGTCCACTGCGGCCTTGGAGATTACGCGGTCAGGGACCTGCTGGCAGGGATGACGTTGCACGGTCCAGCCCATCTGCCGTTTTCTGTCTGCATCACAAAGAGTCGGTATCCAAAATACAGATTCCCCCTCAATCCAAAACATTCTCATGAAGGGCTCCTTTGGAAGTTTTGGGGGAGAAAAACATGGCTCGTGTCAGGTTGCTATCCCGGGCTCTACAGCGTCAGCTGTCACATTGCAAGCGACGATAGCTGATAGCTGCATCACGATATTTCCAGGCCTCCAAAGTGATCGACAACAGTCGGCGATCTGCTTCACAAGCTTTCAGAGCTCAAGTCAACCGGACAACGCCGAGATGACTCTTCTCCACCCCGGCTGCACCGACATTCACGCAAAGGACACCGTTCAATCTTCAGCGCCTGCCACCAGCCCGATGGCATCAGGAATCATGCTATGCTCGCTGCATCAATCTGGACAGTCTTCAACAACTCAAACTGCAATTTTTCTAGTTCATTCCAGTCTCTAAGTCTTGCTAGAGCGGCTAAGTTCCCATGTGCGCCAAATCCGATTTGCTTTTTTCCCTCTTCTATTTACACGACACCGTTGGCCTTCATGCGCTCGAAGCATCCCCTGTAGGCGTCGTGAACCTCGGGCACCGTGTAGTTGTACTCCTTGAGCTTCTTCTCCAACTTGGTGGTGTCGAGCTTGCAGTTGCTGCGGCCGGCCTTAATTACCTTGGCCTGCTCCTCGAGCGAGAAGTTCTTCCATGTGAAATCGGGACGGACAATCTCCTTGAAGAGGGAGAGCACCTCGTTATGAGAAATGGCACCGGGGTTGGTGAAGTTGTAGATGCCAGTGTCCTTGTGCTCGGCCATGAGGATGGAAGCCGGGAGGAGATCGGTGAGAATGGTGTTGGAGTTGGGGATATCAACGACACGGTCGTACTTGGCAATCTTGGTAACAAAGTTGCGGGAGTGGAGGTCGTCGCTGACGGGCATGCGCAGGCGGAGGATGAGGCAGTTCTTGTAGTGCTTCATGATCTGCAGAGTACCCGATTAGTGATTGATCCAGACGCCAGCGGCTTGTGATTAATAACATACCTCCTCGACGTGACCCTTGGTGTCCGAGTAGAAGCTGCCCTTAAAGTTGGCAGGGTCGGTCTCGAGGTAGCCAGCACCGCCAATGGGGTGGGCGTCGTCGTACTGGTAGATGCAGCCGGTGGCGAAGACGGTGCAGTGGATGCCCTTGAGGAAGCAGGCATCGGTGAGGTTCAGGGTGCCGATAACGTTGGATCGCATCGTAGCCTCCTTGTTGTCCTCGCACCAGTCGACATTGGGGCGACCAGTGCAGCCGGCGCAGTTGAGAACGTGGGTAGGCTTGACCTTCTCGAGCTCGGCGAGGACGCCCTCACGGTTCTCCATGCGGACGGTGGTGGTGTAGACCTCCTTGCCCTGTCCCTCGAGGAGGACCTTGAGGTGGTTCGCAACCCAGCCCTCGCCACCCCAGATGAGGAACTTGTTCGCAGAGTGTCCGTTGGTAGCCATTGTGGATGATGGTGGTGTTGTTCGTCTCTTGAGGATTATAGTTTGAAATATCGGAGGGTGGTCGGAGAGGGGTCGGGCGGGACTTTGTCAGGATTCGACTGGCTGCTGGGATGGTGTAAGTTGGTGACGGAGTCGGGTGAGATGTCGATTCGAACGTCTTATATGCTCGAGGCTGGCAAGGGAGAAGACAGCTGGGAGGGTGAGGAAAGAAGAAGAAAAGGACAAATTGAGTAATTTGTAAGACAAGCCACTCGAACAGCAGGGCAAGGGGAAAAAGAGTGTGAGACGGATTATTTATCTGGGGTAAGCGTGGCAGGTACGAGGCCAGGGAGAGGAGGAGGGGAGGACATAAAGTTTGGGTTCAGGTACGAGTCGTACTATCTGCCAATCTGCCACTCTGCCCTTTCAGCTGCGCGCGGTCTCGACCCTCTCGACCCTCCCGTCTTCCGGTATGCTGGTCTCTGTCTGGATACCTACTGCAGAGCAGCAGTAGTAGCACAGCCAGCAATAATTAGTCGCAGCGACTTACATTGGACAGATGGTGTGTTCAATGTGTCGTTCCCACCCCCACCTTCGGGAGGTACCACGGTCAAAGGTGCGACCCCGTAGCGAAACTTACGTACCTCGAGTACGAAGCTTACCAGGAGCTACGTTCCATATTGATAGCTGCTGTTATCGGAGAGAGTATCCGTAGCAGACAGCTATTTTCGTCCTGGCGTCCCCTAGCTTTGTCATGAGCTCTGGTGAAGTGGACTCCGTGGAAGATAGTCACCAGTAGTGGCAGAATATGATTAAGCCGACCATGAAAAATCATAATGGTAGCAAGAGACATAAGGAAAAAAGTAGCTACTTAGCTACGTGGTGTCGCAGCAGCTCCAAGACAAGTATCGCGGAAGTGATGCGGTCTAGGATGAAGGAGGCTAGACGGATGAAAAGCCTCCCTTGGGGGATGCAGACAGTGAGACATTGCCGTCCGATGGCTCACCGCATTATGCTCCCTTGGAGGTAATGGCGGTGCCACGGTGGTGGTGGCAATGGCGGGCGGCGGCAGACCAGCGAGGGTCGAATGCCGCGTCGGCCGTGGTGGGGACCAGAAGCCCGGAGCCGCAAAGAAACGTCCATCTCGGAAATCCTCAAGGGTCTTGGCCATGTGCTGCTGCGATGCCACCGTGGGATGTCCAGAAAACCAGACGATGGGTTGCGCGCTGATCGGATAGTCGGGCCATGAACATGAAGGGGGAGGCTGAGCCATGGGAACAATTGGACTGACGCCGTGTCGGGGGGCTGACATGCGTGGAATTGCTGCTGCTGCTCTCCACTCACACCTCGATTGGCGTATGCAGCAGAGTCGATAAATCATCTGTTGTCGGCTTCTTCTTTCTTTCGGTGTGTGAAGAGGAGAAACAGCAACAGAAGCAGCAGCAAGGTAACAATACCAAAGGTGCGAAGAAGATGCCAAGGATAAACGTCGCTAAACAAAAGTCATGTGAGTTGGGCCGTTGGTTGCTAACCAGACGAGAAAGAGACGACCCCGACGGAAGCTTCGTTCAAAAAAGGCAGGAAGGCAGACCCTGAAATAATGAATTCCTTCCACTCCCAGCATGGAAGGAACCGCCCTCCGTGCCCCGCACCTGCTGAAATTCGAGAATGAGAAGCAAACGACCCGGAAGGCAGGGACCTGCCCCGCCATCACCTGCCATCTGCCAATCAGATCTAGTCGTCCATCCCATTGGCTCGCCTAGCTTTAGCCGAACTGGCTCGGTCAGTGCGTTCCTGACACCAAGTTCAGTGACTGACACGCTGAAGTGGGCAGCGTTCAGCGGACGAGGTAAGATACACAGGCAGGGTATTACTGTAAGAGGCGCTATCTGGCCGTCTTCTGGCTGTCAGTAGACCACCCAACAGCAATGAGGCCAAGCCTTAGATGCCCTAGAGGCTTACCTAATGACCTCTACGTACCTCGAAATGAGGTGAGTGTGACGGGAAAATGGTCCCAGGTTGCATTTTCCATGGCAATTTGGAGAAAAGGAGCTGGGGTCAGCTGCACTAACGTCCTTTCCCCCGTTTTGGCGCCTTCCTGCCCGGATGAATTGGTCACTTTTTTGGACTTTTGATTTGATGACAGCGGAGAACTTCTTTCCCTCCTATTCTTCCGCGGTCTTGTTGTTGAATCCCCGTCTGCCGTTCATCCAAGGTCAACAATCCAGTTTGCTTGTCGACTCTTCTCCAAGCAACAGCCCGTGTCCTCCTTGCTATAAAACGCACGCGAATTTTGAGGTCATTGACTGGAACGTGAGCAAAAAAAGCAGAAGCTGAGACCACCTGCCAACGACTGCGCGCGCAAACCTTCAATCCGCAGCCCACGACGAACCCGCACATAGCCAGCTACTTTGGTCAACTCCACGAACTCTACGAGGACTGGCTGACTTAACTTTGCTGCCCCCTACGAGACTCGACTTCGTTCTTCCGTCGTCAACTCCCTAAGCCTCTGCGCTACTGTCCGATTCTACTGTGCAATCCGCCGTCCGCCGCGACGACAGACCGCCATCATGGGTGTCATTTACTACCTCCTTCACCCCAACCAGCTTCGCTCCATCATCCAATGGTACGCCGCCTGACTCCCTCTCACCGAGCACGCGCGCGCAGACCGCTTTGCTGCTTCTCTACCTCACATCTGCTAATACACTTCTAGGAAGGTCTGGCACGACCCCGTCCACCACCGCGATCCCTCAAAGGAAGACCCTACGCTGAAGTCGTGCTTCGAATTCCTCAACAAGACGAGCCGTAGTTTCTCCGCCGTCATTCAGGAGCTGAACCCCGAACTCCTGGTTCCCGTTTGCCTGTTCTACCTTGTGCTGCGCGGCCTCGACACCATCGAAGATGATATGACATTGGATATCAAGGAGAAGGAGCCTCTGCTGCGCCAGTTTGACAAGTACATGGAGACGGATGGCTGGACTTTCACCAAGAACGGTCCTAACGAGAAGGACCGCGAGCTCCTGGTGCACTTTGACGATGTCGTAACTGAGCTGAAGAAGATCAAGAAGCCCTACTACGAGATCATCAAGGATATCACGATCAAGATGGGTAACGGCATGGCCGATTACGCTCTCAACGCCGAGCACAACGAGAACGGTGTTGCGACCATCAAGGAGTACGAGCTTTACTGCCACTACGTTGCCGGTCTCGTCGGTGACGGCCTGACCCGCCTCTTCGTCGAGGGCAACATGGCCAACCCCAAGCTTCTCGAGCGCCCCGCGCTCACCGAGTCCATGGGACAGTTCCTCCAAAAGACCAACATCATTCGCGACGTCCACGAGGACTACCTCGACAAGCGCCGTTTCTGGCCCAAGGAGATCTGGAGCAAGCACGTCGACACCTGGGACGATCTCTTCAAGCCCGAGAACCTGCCCAAGGCTCTCGAGTGCAGCTCCGAGATGGTTCTGAATGCTCTCAAGCACACTGAGGAGTGCCTGTTCTACATGGCTGGTATCAAGGATCAGAGTGTCTTCAACTTCGTCGCTATCCCCCAGAGCATGGCTATTGCGACGTTGGAGCTCGTCTTTCGTAACCCTGCCATCTTCAGCAGCCACATCAAGATCACCAAGGGCGACGCATGCTACCTCATGACCAAGTCAACACAGAACCTCCAAATTGTGTGTGAGGTTTTCAGAGACTACACCCGTCGAATACACAAGAAGAACGACCCGCGCGACCCCAACTACGTGCAGATTAGCGTGCAGTGCGGCAAGGTATGTGGTGGTGTTTCTTTGTCTTTATCTAAAGACACATTTGTCTCGCGTCAGAAAGTCAATCGCTAACGGTTGACCCTCCAGATTGAACAATTCATCGACTCTCTGTTCCCGAGACAGGACCCCAAGCTGCTCGGAGATGCGGCGAAACAGAAAGAGCGGGGCCAACCGGGTATGGATGCAGGCGAGGCCTTCGTATTGGGCGGCATGGTTCTGTTGACCCTCTTTTTCGTATCTGGTCTTATGGTGAGTAGCTCCGAAATTTTCTTCCTCATTTCCCTCTCGCTCTTCCAACATCAACCTTCACCCTCTGCTTTTCTACCCTCAACTCTCAACTGATCACCACCCTCAGATTGGAACTGCCTGGTTCTTTGGTGCACGCTTCGACTCGTTGTGGAAGACGGATAGCATTTACTGGCCTGGCAGCGAGACCGGCGCGGCGACGCCGATCGAGCACAAGGAGCTGTAACTCTACCAGACAGACAAGAACAAAAGTTGTTCTTTGACTGCTACGCTGCATCTGACTGTTGACGGTACATATTGACGAGGAGTTTTCGGTTGCTCGCCGCCGGCATGGCTACGAAATATTGAGGAGCCCATACTAATCTTGCTAATACACACCATCCTCGTGATGGGTTTTTCGCGACGCATCTGGTCTTGTTGCTTTCATATCGATCGTCTGTCCGACATGATTTACACAGTGACATCCACTATCCCTCCTCAAACCAAGCACGGATGTCAAATTGCAATTCAGTCCCATCGCAAGGTGGTCATGACTGTGGTTGTGCCGAAGAAGTGCTGATATCAAAACCCACCGGCAAAGACCCCGTCCATCACGCGGCGGGTACGGGGCGGGCGTGTCTTCCATTGCTCTCGGGACGCGCTCTTTTGCTCCGGCTTGCAAACATTCTTTCACCATGTTCCACTGTTTCACGTTTTTCTTCTTGTGACTGCGACAGGCCCTGTAATAGCCATAAGGCTGGGTCAATTGAGAGCTTACTCGTCTCGTCTGGCCCCGGGGCCTACGGCGAAGAGGTGACAGGCGCTGTCACGGCATCAAGTAGATGAGCCTGTCGCCAAGACCGACATGACCTGTCTCTTGAGTACTTTTCTGGAGGAACTTGTCCCGATTTTGAAGTCCATGGAAGAGCCAAAGCGACGACCGATATATTCAAATCATCCCGCGGCCGGGGAACCGTTGTAATAAGAAGACACGAAAATTCATAATCCAAGTCATCGTCCCAAAGCCCCCAACTCCAGTCAATTGGTCACCAACGCAATGCAGAAATCACTTGGCCTGCTTGACTTGGCCACTTGTCGAACATGGACTTGCAGGTCGCGTATAATCAGATGAAGCACGTAGCGCCGCGGTGCCTCTATATGTACCTAATCCATTGAACCCATAGAGACGCCTAGGCTTACCAGGTTGCTGCTCAGTATGCTCTTCTGTTTTCAGGCCCGCCACCAAAGTCTTTCGTCTGGTCTTCCTTTCGTATCGTTGCAGGAGACAGCAGTGCGCAGTTGCAAGCGAAGAAGATGCGGCTCTTGGAAGACGTCTCGGCGCTTATGCGCAAGGCCGATCCCGATTTTCCAGGTACCTACCTGATGTACCTACACACAGGCATACCGGGACCGTATTATGTGTTTTTAACCTTTTCCGCCTTCTCCCCGACACGGCGACACGGCGACACCTGGGTCAAGTCTGGGGAATACATGAAACGTGAAGATCCAGCTTCAGCCTTTTCAGCCCTGCTTCGCTCCCACGCCGGCCATCCCTCCCTTTCTCTCGGCTCGGGTCAGAGACGAGAGGCCGGAAACCCACGAAACCACGTGAGTTGCGCGGATCACCTTGGCCTTATCCTCCGTTGTCCTCTCTCTCTCTCTCTCTCTCTCTCTCTCTCTCTCTCTCTCTCTCTCTCTGCGTCTCTCTCGCTCGCTCTCATCCGCTGCGCGCGGGTGGCGTGTGGCGGGGCACGGCGCCCGCGAGAACGGGAGACCCGGGATGGCCGTTGCTGGTAGCCTGGTCTCCCCCCTTCGACGCCAAGACCCGAGATCTCCGTTTTGCATAGCGGTGTCAGCGCCGGATTGATGGGGAACGTTCAAGGAGAATTGGGAGAGGCGAAAGGACAACGGGACGTTTCGGACCGGTTAACAAGAGACAAGCGATTCTTGGTATCGGTGAATCATGCTTCAGCCAAGGCTGAGGCTGGATCTAGCTTCCTTGCAGGCTTCAAGAGTACTGTTTATTTATGTTTTGTCGTGGTGTGAACATCTCCAACAGTCTGGCCAAGACATTTGTATATATCTGGTATTTGTCAATACTATAGCATTATTTGTACATGCCCTGCTCTTGGCTCGTCCTTCTTGTAAAGGCGTGTTTGCGAGAGCGGTCGATCACCACGCCAATGGCAGGTATCTGGGACGTAGATGGCTTCAAATTTGTGACGATGAGTGAATGCAGGCACCCTCTTCTACAGCACAGTCATTCCCATTGCCTCTCGTTCTCGTATTGGACTTTTCACAGGTCGTCGGATCTCGCATCTCCCCTTCCCTTTCCCACCCGGTCCCGAACACCTATCCCCGAAACGTGAACGTAGAACAATGGGCTCCCGGGCGTACTGCTGAAGAAAGTCATCCCCTTTCCTATTCCGTTTCTCCGTTTCCCTTACCTTTTTTCCCCTTCGGACGCCGGACCACAAACGAGCAAGGACGCATCTCTAATTCGTGCTTCTGTGCGTGTGTGTTGGAGATGAGACGAATCCGCCCGCGTGCGGTGGGTGTAGGACTGTACGTCGGTCCTTTGAGCTGACCACATGCTTTTCCCTCGCATCTTACCTCATCTCACAGCCATCAGAAATAAACATGTGTGAGTGTAGTGAATGGGTGCCTCTGACGCACTCGCACCTCCATCCCATCTCCTACCATCCTCGCCAACTCTATTCAGTCTCCCCCAACACCCAAAAAAGAAGGTTAAGAAGGAAGGGGGGGAGGGAGGGAAAAAGAATCCCCCCATGGAACCTAGTTTCGGAACCCGTCATCCGCGCAGATGCCAAAGCACCATCTTACTGAGAACGAATCGGGAAAGGCATCATGTCCGTCCCATCATGTGCGACATCAATCTTCCATCTTTCGCTTCCACGGCCCTCGGATAACGGATAACGGCACGCAGTGGCACGCAGTAAAGCACCTCAGTCTTCGGGAAGCACCGTGTAGAGAGGAAACAACACATAGCAGATGCGAGAGGGAAGGCACTACGCCAAGTTCATCCCATCCCTCGTATACCTTAATCTCCAAAACGCGAGAAACACAAACCTTCACGCACACCACCCTCCACCACGACAATTCTCGCCCATGATTCTTGTCCGCCTTTAGGTACTCCTTCCTTTCCTCCCCTCCTCGGGGAGTTGCGAATGTTCTTTTCCCACCAAATTGCCCCAACTGTCCGGAATATGTCATGGCGTCATTCGCGTTTTGGGTTTTCTACCAGTCCTTTTGTCGCAAGGATCAGGCCGAACAATACACCTCTTCATATCACCTACCTGTAGAAGTCTAATGTTGACGTTGACTCTGTTTGCGTTCACTGGAAAGGAGTCCGCCAGGAAGCCGCTGGGTCCGTATGTAGAGTTGGGGAAGAGACAATTGTAAATTGATTAATCACCTAAAATCGTCAGATGTAGTAGGTTGCGCAGATAAGGTTTCCTGCTTGTTGACGTGTAATCTATTTGATGAGATACATAACTGCCATCGCCTTCCTCCTTCGACGTCACCTAGGTTATGTGGATATCGAGGTCAGGTGACGTGATGATAGCGCTGCAAACCATTGTCATTCACCAGGGGCAGGTGATACCATCAGAACTAGCATAGGGTGTGCGTGTCGAAGGGCTATCATCGCTGGACACGTTGATACACTCACTTACTCACAAGGCAAAGTCAGTATCAAGTCAAGTCGCAAGGCAGAGTAATTTGTTTGAACGTGAAAGTGAATAGTCCGTAGCTGTCTGCTCTCATTACCAAGATCTCATTTCGAGAATCTCTGTCTTAAATACAATGTGATTTTTTGGTCTCAAACGAAACCAGAAAAATGTTCAAGAAAACAGGTTTTAGAGAGAAAAGCGAAGAGGAAAGAAAAGAGTTATAGGAAAACCCAAGACAGAATGAATTTTCGAGTCCTGATGAAGTGGTACGGGGGAACCAGCCCGTCGAGGGTTTTTCTACTCTTTTGGGGTCTTTTTTCTTTTGAGCCTGTTTTTTGTCCTCGAAATGCGGGTTTGAAGGCCCTCTCTTTCTTGCTTTGTGTGTCTTCTCTCTCTCCTTTTACATACAATTGAAACCATCCGACAGACACCCGGAAACCCCAGGTATCCCATCTTGGATGGTGAAGGCTTGTGCTTTGCTTGCTGGTCCAGGCCGCGCGCCAATGCAGTGATGTGTGCGAATGACTGGGTATCCTCTAAAATGCCGTGAATTTGTGTTCATCTCCCCCTCGAATATAAAAACACATGGGGGGAGAATCACTTATTAAACCAAGGAAAACGTGTCGAAAAAGTCAACGTGACGCCATCATGCCTTTTGAGGTTTCCAATGAAAGAAACGCTAAAAGAATCCACCAACGCGGAACACATTGGGGCATTTACCATCAGGGCAGAACTTCTAGAGCTGTCCGTTGTTGGCAATCAGGTTGGTGGTGCCAGCCGTGTTGCGCTGGACAGAGGCACCAGAGGCGGTGGCGAGAGCGAGCATGCGGTCGGTAACAGCCTTGACGGTGTTGAGGCCCTCAAGACCCATCAGGTAGGCGGCAAGGCCAGCAACGTGAGGGGAGGCCATGGAGGTACCGGACAGGGTGTTGGTGGCGGTATCCGAGGTGATGCCGACAGAGAGAATGTTGACACCGGGGGCGAAGATGTCGACGACAGTGCCGAAGTTGGAGAAGGAGGCCTTGCGGTCGTTGCGAGCATCAATGGCACCGACAGTGATGGCGTTGGGGGCGGAAGCGGGCGAGGTGTTGGCAGCATCCTGGTTCTCGTTTCCGGCAGCGACGACGGGGACGATGCCAGCGTTGTTGAGAGCCTGGATAGCGCGGTTGACAGCAGCGGAAGCAGAGCCACCAAGAGACATGTTCATAACAGCCTTGCCAGTGAGGTTCTTCTTGGCGACGTCGTCAATGACTTTTGGTGATGTTAGCTTCGGAAATTTGCATAGGTTAAACTGTGGGGCTGTTGAAACTTACCGAACTGCATGCCATCGAGAACACCAGAGTTGGAGCCAGCACCATCGCCATCAAGAACCTTGACGCCAATGAGGTTGACGTTCTTGGCAACACCGAAAGTCTGACCACCGATGGTACCAGCAACGTGGGAGCCGTGTCCGTTCTCATCAGTGTCCTGGTATTTTTCATTAGCCTCTCATCTTACTCACTCACTCTCAAGACGATTCCTGGTACTTACAACGTTGTTGATGAAGTTGGCGCCAAAGGTAGCACGGCCCTGGAACTCGGAGTGGGTGGTAAGGATACCGGTGTCGACGATGTAGGCAGTGATACCGTCACCTCCTGTCTGGTCAAAGACGTAGCCAGCCTCACCGGCAGCGGCGTGAGACATGCGGACAAGGCCGGGGGGAGCGTTGGTCTGGGAGACGGTGGCGGAGATCTTGACCTTGGCATCCTGCTCGACGTAGGCAACCTCCTCGGCGTTCATGACGCTCATGATCATGGAGTCATCAGCCTCCATAACGGTGGCGCGCCACGCGTTCATCTTGAAGTTGCGGGTAGAGGTGCTGAGGGAGCGGCCGTCAAGGGAACGCTTGCCAATGTTGCGCTTCTTGATGGAGGCAGCGAACGAGGACATCTTGGAGGTAATGGCATCATCGTCAAAGGTGTTGTTGTAGACGACAATGTACTTATTGGGAATCAGGTCGGCGGCGTTGAGGTTAGAGATGGGAACGCCCATGAAGGAGCCAGAGTCGTTGGTGGAAGCGCCGCTGTTGCTGAGGCCGAAAGGAGCGGCGAGAGCGGCGGGCAGCACGGCTGCGATGAGAGCGGTAGCGCGAACCATGTTGGGCGGTTAATTCGAGGGGGTTTGGTGGTGTATGTAGATACGGTGAGGTTGTTGATATTTAAATAAAGAGAGGATACGGGAGAGAACTAGCTCGTCGTCGTCGAAGAGGTCGTCAAATAAAAAGTACTGATGAAGAAGAAAAAAGTGCCGAGACCGCTGGTCTACTTTTTTAATTTGTGGCGGTGGTTGACGAGGAAAGAACGAGTTCTTGTCGTCGAGGTTGGGAGGTTCGGCACGGAAGGTGCGAGCGAGAGAGTGACTCGATGAGGTTGGGAAGGCGCGAATGAGTGCGAGCGAGAAATGCTGAGAGAAGGAGCAACCAAGAAGGATTCGGATACCAGTCACGACACAAAGCCCTTGTTTACTTTTTTCTCAAATCTTTTCCAATGCGATAAAAAGCTGCCGTTACCAAGTTGAAACAAGGTGTAATAAAAGAGTAGTCGAAGAAGCGGAAAGAGGCGGTAGGTTGTTTGGTATTTAGCTAACCGGCCACACGGATGAACGTGAGGATGAGGATAGACTAAAAGAAGAGATTTATGGAGGATGGGAAAGAATAGAGAGAGAGACGGAGCAAGAAGAAGTAAGAGACGGAAAGCCAAGCACAGCTGGGCAAGATGGAGAGGTTGTGGACAGTAACTTAAGTATAACGACGGACGATGAAAAAAGAAGGGGACGGGAGGAAGCAGGGAGTACGGATATTGGGACTAGGTAGTAGGAGTACCCAGGAGTAGGGGGATAAGGTAAGGTACATACAAGGAGGGAAGATGACCGGGGGTGTCAGCGGTACATGAATCCAGGTACCTGCTCTCAGCATCCGTACCTTGTAGCCTGTCCGTACGGAGTCCCTGGCCCAGGTTTGTCACTTGTGCGTGTCTCCATGTGCGTGTGTGCTTGCTTGGTGTGCTTTGGTGCTCGACCTTGACCTTGACCTTGACCTGGGGCCCTGAGGTGTGGTCTTTGGGTCCTGGAGGGGTGTGTGGCGTGTGTGAGTGGACCACGCGAGGATGTACCTTTGCGACATTGTCTGGATGGATGGATGGATGGATGGATGGATGCTGCAGAGAGAGACTGGACAAGGACAAGAGAACGAACGACGGACGAGGTACTGGCCCCGAGGTGTCTGTATTCGGTAGCGAGAACATTCGTAAAATATGTTATTCTCTATGCTGTCTCACTCTCACTGCCTCATTGTAGGATCGTGAGGGGAGAGAGAAAAGATGCAAAAGAGACAGGCCGAGACTGAGGCCAGACGGGGCAGACGACAGACAGTGCTCAGCACAAGTGAATAACGTCAAGGTACCTGATGAATACGGCATCTCGAATTCTGCACAAAAAAAAGTGGACGGGCATTCGAGGCTCTGGGCAACATCTGCGGCAGAACAAGGAGTAGAAGCCGAGAAAGGGACGAGAAAAGACGGGACAATTAGACGACGGCGAAGACTTCGATCCAGTGACCAGCGGGAATTGGGAGAGGCGACGGGAGAGAAATGGTGACGGACGGGGAAGACGGGGGGCAGCAAGGAGGGAGAAAAGGTACGTATCGGCGAAGGTGGGCTGGACCTAGGACCTGGAGACGACCTGGAGACTCTGCCCAGCGCCCAGCGCCCCAGCGCACACTGCCCAGCGGTGCTGCCGCCAGCCTGCGAAGCCTGCGCGTGTCTGAGGAAAAGGGGATACGTACCGAAATATCCGTGCACCGAGGGCTTGGCTCCCATTTGGGGTTGATGCGAAAAGCCGCGACTTTTTGGCAATATCGGTGCCGGTGCCACGCCGCCCAGCCTGTGCATGGCATTACGCTACATACTACGCGATAGAGTGAGCATGGGGAGGGAAGACGAGTAGCAGCATGGCGTGGCGGCAGTTTGGCATTGTGCACACTCTGTGGCAGACACGTCGACTCCTGCTTCTTACGACTCCGTTTCCGTATCACCACTGCTGCGAGGTAACCTAACCCTCATCCTCCGTATGCCAGAGACTGTAGTAGGCGAAGAGAGCAAAAGGGAAGTCAGGAGGTTCAGACCGATTACCCACACATTTTACTCTCGGGAGGAAAGTCCCAGGGCCGTTCTTGGCACTAGTCTCAATCAAGGCTTGTGCTTCACCTTTTTCTGGTCGTCGGAAGGGGACTGACGACCGGGGTGGGTGCTTGTGGACTTGTGGATAAAGTCGACTGACTGATGCTTCTCCCCGAATTGTACGCAGTATGGGCCATGCCATGTTATTGTTTTTCCAATATTGATCTTTTTTTTCTGCTTTGTTCCATCGTTGGTATCCACGGTAAATCGCCGTCGGGCGGTAGAAAGTATGAAAACACCACACTGTTGTACGTAGGTGACGTACGAATTCAAACAATGAAGGGCATGCGCGTCCCGGGGTGGAGGGACCGCACTAAGGCAAGGTACAGAATACCACACGGCGGCAGTCGGCGGGATGGATGGATAGATCCAATGGTGGATGGATAGTGGCGTTGGCGTTGTTGGCTGTTGGCTGTTGGCTGTTGGCTTCGACTCACGTACGGCGGCACGCCACAGTTCGATTGGGTGGTGATTGAGATTTACCACATCCCCCCAGGTACACAGTTACACAGGTAGGCACACAGGGTCCATTCCCGGGGCGCCGTCGCAAGACTTGCGGCACCCGACTGCCAACCGTTCCAGCCATCGGCGAGAACTGGGAAATTTGTGGCATATTTTCTGTTAGTGCTCCATGGCAAATGGCGCTGAAGGTTCTGGACCTACCCAGTTGGGTGTTGTCTCACTCCCTTAACCGCAGGGTAATCAAAAGAGACGCCACAAGAGCGGCAGAGGCGCCGTTTTTCAAGGGAACGGCGTCCGCTGCAAACCGCCGCCTCTCCGTTCACCTGCGCCTCTTCTCTCTCTGTGCCTCACTGCCTCGCGGTCTCTTGGGCGGTCAGACGGTGCTGTCAGTGTCTGTGACTGACGGAAGAAAACTGTTGAATCTGGCTCGCTGACCACCCGATCCCATCCATCCATCCATCGCGGCGAACCAACAATGGGGGAAAAGGTCGGATTGTGTGTGCAGATGTACGGCGTGTGTGTGAGAGAGATGGGCTCATGCCATATGGTTGGCTCTCCCCGTCTCTCGGATCATGAAGGTCTCAGTGCCAGCACAAACCTGTGACAATGCGCATCGTTGCTTCTTCTGATTCTATTAGGTTCTTTCCACGCTTTGCGTTTGTCTGTCTCAACCCAAAATTTTCTCATGTTGTATACCTACCTATTTGCCTCCTTCCTCCACCGGGTGGTTCTGGTTCTTCATTTTTCCATCGTCGTGGCTAGGTTATCAAGGCAGGAACAAGAGACATTTAGTGGGGGCGCCTACCTTACCCCGTAAGGTAGGTACCTGCCCTCTGTCTCTCCTTTCTTCCCTCCCCTGGGAAAACTGGCAGGTGTCCAACCCAGGATCATAGTACGTACCCCCAATTAAATGGTACGTGCTCTCTCGCTCGTCACGGAGACTAACCTCGCAATGGGGAAAGCGTCAAGCCGTAGCGGTTCCCCTTTTGGGCGCTGCGGCAGCCAAGCGCGCTTCTCGTTGGCCGTGCCAAGTCAAACAAGGCCGCCCCTCTTATTATTCACCCCCTTGGTCCTGCCCATCCTGGATTGGTAGGCCCTGGCAAAAGTCGATCCTCCCCTCCAGGGCTCCGTCGTCCTTTCCTCTCCCCTCCACTAGCGCCGGTTTCGACCCTGTCATTTCGACTAAATCTGTAACGTCCAAGTTCAGCGCCTCATCGCAGAAAAAAGGAAAGAGGGCTCCATTGTCAGCTTCCTCATCGTCGTTGTTGTCCTCCATGGTCGAGCTTCACCTTGGAAAAGGCTCCAGTGCTCCACAGAATGGTCCACGTCGGCTGCCCACGTTGCCCAGTCTCAGTCGCCGTCTCTTCGGAGTTTTACCGTCGAGGTTGCTGTAACCGTACCTTATCTCAGCAAGCATCTGTGCCTTGCAGCCCTTTTCTCGCCTTTTCCTTGCTTGTTGCTATCCGCGAGTCGCCGTTTGCTTGTCCCAGTATCAAGTTGCACGCACTCTCTGGCAGTCTGTCTGGACTCGAATAATCAGCCGGTCTTGTCCCGTCACCTCTCTGGACCGCAGCCATCCCGGTCTGGCTCTAGTCCGCAAAGCCCCCTTACCTCAGCTTTGCTGCCAGGCTAGGGTAGGTGGCCTTGAAGCTGTCAAGTCAAGCACCATGTCAGGCCTCGCGAACTGACGGTACTTTGTCCGTATGGACCTGTGGCAAGGTGTCTGTCAGTCCCTCGACCCTGAACCTGCCTGCTTGCTCAGCAGTCAAGTTAGACCGCTGAGCAGTTCAGATTCTCGACCTAGACCCTCCCTCTTGTGAATCGTATGCCCCCTACATAGTATCGCCCGAGTCGATGCCCTCATCAAACAGTCTTGGGCTTCTTGGCCTTGTCTCCGTCAGCGCTCTCGTGAGTCTCGTCGAGACTCTCCTCGTCAGCAGATGTCTTGACTCTACGCTGTACCTCTGGGCATGCGTCGTCCATATCCCCTCCTTTCTCCTCATATTGTACAAACGTCAGAGTCTCTGATATACAAATCTCCAAACTTGTGCAACCCTCATAATCGTACTCTCCCAAGTTCCAACCCCGGGCCATGCTTGTAAACCCATGGATGCAGCCATCATGTACAGATACGCTTTGCATCTGCAGCCTTCACTTTGTCGACCCGTCATCCAGTCCTCTTCTCCTGCCCCTACTGTACCTCTTCCCACCCCCTCGAGCTTCATCATGTCTCTTATTCGTGGGGTCCCCCGTCATCGACTGGTCCAGTTTGTACCCACTCATCCCGGGGGGGGGGGGGCTGAAGCTTTTCTAATCTCGTCAACCATCGTGACGATGTCGCCGCCGTCACTACCGACTGCCGTGTGCCGTCCCCTCTTTCTTGGCATCCCTGACCTCCCATGTGCTTTTCTCTTGCTGTCCCTCTCATCCGTACACGAGCAACGGTACGACTGAGCATTAGCAAACCTACCTTAACTCCATCTGCTCCGAGGCACCTAGCACGGGACGGGGGGCGTCAGGGCGACGCACGGAGGCCCCGATCTTGACGTGAGCATAACTCAACTTACCTCTCACCACTCGTGACTTGCGGCTTGGCCAACATCGTGTAACGGTAAAGGCCATGCGCCGTGATGCTTTCCACTCCTTCCCCCACAACAAATAACAGACACCGACTGGCTAATCGACGACGTCAATGTAACACAACGTGTGCATCCTGGCCTGCTTAGCCACCGTCAAACAATGAACACGCAGTCTGTAGATATCGCCATTCAATGCGCAAGAAGCAAAGCCGATCCTCATCAGTACATGCCGCGTCAAAAGGATTAGGCGTCATGCAGAAACGTAAACAATTCCAACGCCGCCGTCTCTTCAGTGACGTTTGGTCGAATGCGACCCTCGAGGAGGTCCTTCGCCCAAGCTCACGAAACCGTTGAAACCGTGCCCTCCCCTCCCTCCCTCTCCCCAAGCCTGGGGTTAGACTTGGGATTGTCGCGGGAGATTGACGGACGTCTGTGGTATCGTTTTGGCATGCCGTGGGAATCGAAAGGGCAATGCGGAGAACGGACCAGAAGAGTGAGCGCAGGCCGGCCGTGGTCGTCGTTGTCGTCCGAGTTGCAAACACCACCGCCTGCCCCCCTCAGCCTCAGACATCTCATCCCCCCTGCTGATGTTGCTGCCACCACTGCACCCCATCTGTCAGACATGTTGCTTTCCCCAGCCCAGTGCAGCGCAGCATTCGGTGGGAAATCTTGACGATCTCTCGTCGCAGGAACCCAAAAAAGAAGGTCAGAGGGAACGCGCCAAGGCCATCTCCCGTCGTGCAGCGTCGGTTGTCTTCGAGACTCCCCCAGGGGCCAAACAAGCAACAAGGCTTAACTAGGTAGGATGCATGTAGGACGTCTCGTCTTGTCGACGGTACGAATACTGTAGGTATCTGTAAGTGGTAATGTCTAGTGACACAATAGCCCGCAACGTCTCTATGACCCGTGGCATCGGTTCGTATTCGACACTTCATTGTTGAATGTCTTACACTACACGATCAAGACATTTCATCTATTGGACGCCGGCTGGCACAATATCCAGCTCCTAGATGTTGCAAGGTTCCTTGCTCAGAGTCGATCGGCAAGGTTGCTCCGCCCTCTACCCTATTTTCGACGTTAATGCGCCCAGACCGAATGGTAAGTCAGCGAACCCCCCCCCCCCTTTGGACGACAACCACCGAGGCTGTACTCGACGCATTCCTTTACAGAGTACCGTGGTAGGAGTTCTGTAGTGAAATTAACTTTGCCGTGCGTAAACTTCCGACGTCGACTTCATTTCGAGCCGCAAGGAGATCGTCGGCCGGGGCAGAGCCGTTCGCTGGGCCGATTAAGGTCAAACCACCCCGCTGCCCCGAAATGAGGCGAAAGTGAGAGCGGCAGGCTGCCCGCACGATCCGCATGACGGCTTCGACTCTATCCGCCGTTGCCTACGCGGCTCGATAGGGTATCTAGCACTCAATCTGGAGGCCCGGCTGCGATGAACTCTGACACCTATCGTGGCATTCATAGTTCGTTCGGGAGGCCTGTCTCAGAGTCTCAGTGCCTGCTGGTGATTCAAAGTTCGAATGGTTGTCTCCGCTTTGGGAGGATGAGCAGATTGAGAGACGACTCAGACGAGAGATACTCCCCTTGGAGTTTAGCTCAATAAAGCACCGTCCACTCCCTCTAATTATTTCCCGCATGTCTTTCGTAATCTGGCGTGCGTCGACAGCGTTGCCAATCTTTTAGGCTATGTCGCACGAGAGAGGAGCCAAAAAGGCCGCGCACGTTCGTTCAATCTCGGGAGCCTCCCATCTCGGAATGGAGCGATCTCCCATGCGCTCTCGGGATCCATAGATCCCAGGTTCACACGAATAGCGGTGGCTTGCTGGCGGACATTTGCTGCGTTATTGTGCATGCGTATCAGGATTATGCAAGGCCAAGGCTGAGTTACTCAACGTTGTATCCGCGTAGTCGCACACAACGGCTGTGGTGTACTACTGCACCATTGCCTGCCCGTGGCTGTACATTGTATGGTTTGTCTAACAGCCAAGCCTTTTCAGCGTGCGATTAGAAACCAGTCAGAGACTCCAAACAGCCCCTTCCTAGGAGACAGGCAGACAATACACGGTCCACCGAGCGAGTGTCACTGTTAGGTAGTCCGACTGCTGAAGATGCAGCGATACGGCCTTTTCGGGATGCGGGAGGGCATTCCGCAGCCTCACGTTGTGCTTTCTGTACGCTTTCAACCTTCCTTTTGACCGTATAGCTGACGACGGCGCGCTTCAGCTTCGTTTCCCGTCCGTTTGGATACTGTGGAATGTTTGGCCGTACCACGCCATCTGGAAGGGATAGCAACCAACATCGGTCTAAAGTCGACGACAATGTGCGTGAGTAATGGCAGGCTTGGCCCCGCTGCATCAGTGCCTGTGCAAGACTGACTTGCATCGCATCAGTTGATCGCCTTGTCATACGCGAATATGCCATTATTATAATCCCTTGGATCCTCAATGTTATTGTCACAATGCTCAGACTCTCGATACGAATACTTTGGGATACCTTCTGCATGTGGCCAGCCCTAGAGCATGACTGGCACGTCCCTGCCAATGAGTCTTAACCGAGCCGATGGATGAAAGAACCTGGCAAAGCTAGAGACAGGATAGTGACCGAGAGGTTCCCAGCGGTGAGGGTACTGTGATTGAGATAGATTAATGGATAGCAATAATTATGCCATGGTCCATGGGTGGTATACATTGACAAGGCCGATGATGGAGGCGAAGGGCTGATTTTTTTTTCGCGCGGCTGAAAGGGGGTTCAACTGCTGCCCCCACCAAGGCAGAGAAGGCGTGGTGCGTGCAGCGTGGGCCATGGGCGAAGCCATCGACGAGGATGTCGTCGAGCAGAAAAAGTGACGACCCAATCGGGAACTTTGAAACGGCGCGGCGTGGAGGTTGTATTTGTATTTGATTGGCTGTAGACTTGGACATGACAACGGATGAAACATCGACGGCCCTTGACAAGTCGTGCGTCTCGAGACATGCAGGGATGAGGCCAGTCTTAGATTCGCCCAAGTCGTGGTTGGCCTGGGAGGCCCCGGCCGAACAGGGGCCACTTGGAGACGCCGCGAAAGACGGATGAGGTGACGAATGCTGCTTCAACAGCCGCCCGTGGTCCCCTGCGCCGCCATCCCATCCCATAATAACAAAGTACGGCTGACATCTAGCCTATTTGCCCTGTATCGACCTGAATGACAGGCAGTAGACAGGCATGCATTTGCTGGTTGTTCCTCTGCCTGCCTGTGAACCGTGGACCGTGGTAGTCCTCTCGAATCTTGACAGGTCAGGGTGGACCTGCGGTTGTGCTCAACGTTGGCTTCGATGCGCTGGTGGGACAAACCGCCAACAAGCGTCAAACTGCTGCGATGCTCAGGACCTTTCGGCCTGTTGATGTTGGTAAGCGATATTCGACGAAGCCCCCTCCTAGGCTCCTCCTCCATCAGTCCACTTCGGCCCCCGACACCGCCGTGAACTTGGAAATTCGAGGAGGGGCGCATCCCCCGACACGATGCGACTCTGCAGACAAACATCGCTCGCTTGTCTCTTCGCTTCGATGATATCGAATTATCGATTGCTTCTAGACTCGGGTCCGGTCTTTGTGAGCTCATCGTATCCACCATGACATCCCAGACCCGAAATAAGGTAATCTGGAATCCGGGAGATGTTATTGTCGGAAGTTGGACCAGTAACTCGGCCCACGAGGATGAGCCGCGGCGTATGTAGGGCTCCCGTTGTCTCCGAATCAAAGGATGCTGCTCCTCACCTTCCGAACAGCGGGTATAGGAACAACAACTTGCATTGATCAGCGCTTCGGAAATCTTGAAATCTCGACCGTTACTTCCAAATTTCCTTGGCTAGGCTTGCAGATAGCCCCAGTTGTGTGTGTGTACCTGTCGATCCCTGACGGAGGGCTCAAGTTGTCAGCTGGCCCGTTTGTAGATCGAATTGCCAAGAGCCGCAGGCAATATCGAATCAACATTGTGACTTGGCTACAATGCGATGTACCAGATGGTCCATACATCTCTCTTTCGCTTGTCCCAGGTACAGTTGAGACCACCTCAACGTTATCGGGGCCGGTCTGTGGTACGAGTGTTTTCCGACCGCACGAATGTGATGGTCACCAGCGCGGGTTTCTCGATGCCCTGGCAGGTTTCAATAAGATCATACTCCAAACTCCATCAGTCGTCATCGGTCTTCCATCATCAGGCTGTCGTGTCCCGGAGTTGGCGCGTCTCTCTCCGCTTGTTCGTCTCGAGATGTTGAATAGGCATGTTGATGCTCCCCTGCTCGAACACCGCCAAGACTTTTGGGACGTCGCTCTCGGGGATGCTGCCATTACTTATTGCACCTCGCTTATTGCAATCCTGCTGACAAAACTTCGAAGTGAACCACTGCGTGCGCGTTCGAGTACGAGAAACGTTACCGAATTCTGGGGATGCAAGCAGCTCGTACCGCACATCCGACGTTTGGTGCCGCAGTAAGGGCGTATTTCCACTGTAATGGTGTCAAAGTGCAGCACATTACGCAATTCGATGTTTGCAGATGCTGTAGATCATGTTTGTGATTCGATATCAGTGCGTGAATATGGCGACAGCTCGGAGCTGCCGCCAAAGGCCTGGTCGGTCGCCATGCCGTTTGCCGTTTGTCGGTGAAGAAGCTGCTTCCGCGGCAGGTTCCAGACCAAATCATCTCCGTTGCCCGCCGCCATTCCGGCCGCGCGGGTGTGGCCACTGGCCATGTCTCGGCTCTCCCCCACCGGGCAGAGCCCCGCGACATCGCATCCCTGGATTCGGCTCATCCGTCGTGCGCCTTGGAAAGTCAATCTTTCTTTTGCTATTAAAAGAGTCGAGACACGTGCTATCCTCCACAATCCGAAAATGCAGGGTCTGGCGCTTCATCTCAGGGCGATATGTGATCCGAACGAGAGGCTCTGAGGCGGTTGGCATGAGGACGTCGGCAAAATCTTGCGACGGCTCAACACGTGTCGTTTCAATAACATTGTTAGACTTTGCTGGGCGTTTACGCCGAGAGGACGATCAATCAAGAATGCGAAATGCAAAATCCGCGCCTGGGACGATGTTTGACTCAGGTACGCTTGAGAGTTGGCGTCCAGACTTGGCGATGGTCGAAGCTGATTTCAAATTCCAAATGCTTGGACGTTGCAGCCAAGCCTGCAAAAGTCAGTCCGAGGCTCTGCGGCAATGATAAAGAGACGTCTCCCGCATCGTCTGCCCGTAACGTGATGGCCTGTCGTACTGACTTTCACTCTCTTCTCGTACCCTATGCAGCATTGCTGAGGTCGGTAGTCCTGCCGAGAATTGCTGTCAACACGACCGGCCCGGATTCGGTCTGATAGTCATCGGGAAGTATGCTGTTGACCACGATTCGGATCGCGGTTATCTGCGAGGTAGTAGCTTGGTCAGCCAGTTGCCTGGATAAAACCCTCAGAGGCAAGCTTACGGTACAACTGCAACTTGCCATGACATGGAATCAAGGTTAAACTCTGCCGACCCCCCGAGCTGACTCGAAGCCTCCGCGTGACCTCTTGCTCAGAAAATAGGTTCATCGCAGCAACAGCCATGCTTGCTGTAGAACGAGTTGAAACGGTGGAAGGTTGACGAAGCCTACCCGAGCAACTCAATTGCAGCTGTGTCGTCGTTATGCCGAACCTTGGTCTGGGCCCTGTGGACGAATTTTAAACGTCTACTAATATGTGACGTTGGCATCTCAAGCATCTGTGGCTGTACGGCGTACGATAACAACACTGGATGGAGGCGTAGCCCGTTGTCGGTAGTATGTATGCCTTGAGTCCATGGCAAAGGTCGTGGTAATATCTGTGAAGTTGGAAATCCAGGTATTTGATCAAAAAAACTTCGATGACGTGATGAAGCCGCAGTTCGTTGTCAGGTTCTAAGTTCATGCATCGGTCAAAGGTGGTATGTACCTTATGGCTCGACGTCGTTACTTCGTCGGTCTTTGCGTTGCTTGAGTTCAATGTAAGTACCTGCTGAGGTAAGTAGGCAATGAAATCGGGCATTTTGCAAGTGGACTCCCGACCGGGCATGTGACTGTCAGGGAAGCGATAAGCCGAGATTGTGCGATAAGGTCGACCGATAAGACACCTCGAGAAAGTGGCTCAATTTACACTCCCGATCTTGCAACTACCTTAAGAAGATGATGCGATGGGACTGACTCTACCCCTCGGAGCTCGTCACGCAGGGACGGCTGTGCACGTCTCATCCACGAGGTGGGCAGTGAGCCCGTCTTGACTCTGACGTCCTGGGCTGCAATGCACCCTGACGTTGAACGCGCTGTGAAGGTGGTATTCGGTGTCAGGCCAGCCAGCCAAACGGGACATTCGTATGGTTTTGCACGCGCATGTCCCGTCGGTTGATGTGCATCAAGGTGGGGGGTAATAGACTGTCAGGCTTATTATATTGTGTACATTCTTGGCCTCGAAAGGCTGTTTACTGCGGCAACTGTCGCCCGGGTGCTCGCGAATGAAGAAGAATCAAAGAGAAATCCAGCAAAGGAGGAAAGGGTTTACCCTCATTCCTTGATTCAACCTTGTGTTTCCATTGCAACTAGCCGTCTTGCACATCGCCTTTTCACTAGTATATTTACCTGGCACTCGAAGGGTCGATTGAAATAAGGTCCCTTGAGTTGAATAGGTATCCATGCATTCGATAGAAAGTCTGGGCCGGGGCAGTAAGTTAAGGTATGCGGATATGTAGAGACTGACAGTAAATGAGAAAATAAGCTACCGACTGCCGTTCCGTGTATCCTGTTGGTGCCGTCATCTTTCATTGTGCTGTCATGCTTCCTTGGAAAAAGTTGTCTTGTTGATGTTACTTTCCCCTCTTTTCGGCCAATAAATATAACTTGCGGAATGAGTATCCATCCATCAGAAGCCAACCACTTCATTATTGACTGTAATTAATTTCCTCGCCTTCTTGACCTTTTTTGATCATTCGGCAAGTACATCCCTCTGGCTCCTCGAGAGTTGAAAGGATTTTGTCAGGTATTTCCGGCAGTCTATCGACCTCGCCACGGAGTCGTTACCACATTCTGTCCGTCCAATCTTCTATTGTGCCACACCTCACTCAACTCACTGCCTACCTGCCTGTCCACTGCGGAAACACGAAAGCAAACCACGCCACCCCCGTCGCCAGTTCGCCTGCCTCACCAACGCAGCAGCAGCAGCAGACCGAAACTGCAGTAATTAATTGCCTTTACCTTACCTTACGGCGTACCTTGGTGGCATAACAACAAGCCTCAATCGGGGTCGCCTCCCCTATTATTATTTTATCTGACCGTCCTCACCTTGCAGACCTAAAGTACCTTTTAGGCTTACCGTGCCACACCGGTACCCGCAAGCCGCACCGCTCCCGCACCACCGCTGCCTCACCTAACGCAACGCAGAACACAGGCGCAGGCGCAGGCACAGGTGCAGCAGGCGCAGCACTTTCCTTCCTGCCTTCCCTTCCCGGCCGCTCGACCATTTTCCAATTGTCCGGTACTCGTTTCATTTCCAGACACACAGCATTGGACACACCAACAAACCCTTTTTCCACTTCCACATCCAGATTCTACCTTTTGCTTCTGCTTCTGCCTCTGTCTCCTCTTAGTTTGTTGTTCTCTTTGTCCCGTCTTGTAAGGCGAACTTTTACGACGACACCTTCTGCCGTAGTCCAACCTCTACGAACACCTATCGACGACACTTCTTCCCATTTCTTTCCATCAACGTGTCACTGCTGGGCTCCCCTCTCTTCTTCTCCAAATCATCTCTCAGGCTCTCTCCTCAGGTCGCATTCTCAGTCGTCAATAGTCGACACTTCCATTCTTTCGCCGGACCCCGACCTACCTCGTACTGTGTGTATGTGTGTGTGTGTGTGTGTCTACCACCAATCACTCCATCGCTGTCTCTCGCCCTCTCACCACCTCACCACCTGGTTACCAGGTAGCCATACGATTCTCTCCCTCCGCCTTGGCCTCCACCCCCTCCTCTGCTCTCCTCTCCATCGTCTCCTCTCCTCCCGCCGCCGTCCTTCTTATCGGCGCTTCCACTCATTGGGCCGTTTCCCTGTTGCTGCGCACGCGACCGACCGCGTAAAGTGGCTTGGGCGAAGCGAAGAGACCCCAGCGCAGCGCTACTTTCCACTGGGACCAACCTGACGAATACGGCCGCCAGCCGACCAAAACAGCTGCTCAGCATTGTTGTGACCCCCCCGGTCTGCGTTATCCAGGGTCTCTGAATTATTGGCACTTCATTTCCCCCACCATCGTCAAAGCAGCCCAGAGCCAATCTCCCTTCGCCTTTTTTCCCTTCCGCTTGATCAGCAATCCCGCTATCGCCGCCGTCGCCGCCGCTCCCCCGTTTCCCCCCTTGGAGAGAGCCCGTCTGGCCATGATCTAGGAACGGCTTCAACCCTCCCCTCTCCGAAAATCTTAGTTTTTCGACCCAAAGAATCGCCCACTTCGACCCCGACGACCATGTCCGTTTGCGTCGAACAGCCCTTTCCTTCAACCGACGACGACGCCAACGTCACGAACAACGTCCCCCGAGACCGAGACCCCTCCGGTACCGATAGGCGACAGTCGCGAGACGACTATCATGCCAACGCCAACGCCACTGAAGAGTTGACCTCGATTATGACAGCCTCTGCCTCCATCCTTTCAACCATACTCAACACCTCATCCAACCCAGTATCACCCGGTCCATCAAGCCCACCCCTCGAGCAGGCAAAGAGCAATGAATTCGTGCCCCCGACTCGTCCAAGCAGCACGCCCTTCTTACACCCCGATCAACGGAACTCGGATTGCTGCACTCCGATGGCCGACGACGTTGATGCCTACGGCTACGGAGGCCCGGGCATCACCACTCCTTCCTATACTCTCGAGACCCCCGAGGTCACGCCCTCCCTGAATTTGAATGACTTACCGGCCGAAATTCACGAATGCATTCTCGACCACCTTTTCGGATACCGAGTATCCACAAACTCCAAGAGCTCGGTAGGCATGCAGAGTGTGACCAAAAGTTGGGGAACCGCACTTCGCCATTCCCGACGCAGGGAGTTGTCGGAACTTGCTCTCGTCAGTCCCGTCTGGAGGATCCTCATCCAAGAGCGCCTATACCGTCACATCAAAATAAAGGCCACTATCGAATCGCTAGAGCTGGCCATGATGTACTTCAGCGAACACAACCACCTCCGGTACTACGTCAAGCACATTGAGATCTGGTTCCCAGTCTTCCAGCCCAAGTACGGTCCGTTGGCGTTGAGCACTACTCTTGCTCTTCCCACGGTAACAATGGACGGATTGACAAACGCGACCTACACACTCCCCGCAAACAACTGCAGCCTCGAAGAGGCCTTCACCTTTGTCTCGATGGCTCTTCCTGACGTCTGTGTCCTGACTATCGAGGGAGGGGAAAGAAAGAAGGCACCAAAGGTACAGCACAGTTGGCATAAGCGACCCCCTGGCTGGCATCTGCCGACCCTTCATTCGGTTCGTACCTTGGTCACCAAAGGCCAGTGGAACCTGATGCGCGAAGACTCGGATTTCTCAGCCTTCCTCGCGGCTCTCCCCAACCTCAACGAGTGGCACGGCTCCTACAGCAAGCCCAAGTCGAAGAGTTACCTGAGCATGGCCAGCATTCTACCCAAACTACCCACAAATCTCACTTACCTCAACTTGTGCCTGGAAAGCGACTACCGGCGGGAGCTCACGTGCCCTCCATTCTACATGAAGGTTTCCAACCAGGTTCACTTCTGCTCGAAGCTGGCCGAGGCAACTCCCGCGCTGGAGCATTTGGCTTACACCGGCCGCGTTTGCAAGAATTTCTTCAATATGGCGGCGATCAGATCGGATTCGAGAACGACACGACTCAAGACGATTGACCTAACGGTCAAGAATTGCTGTCGGCCTGTACCTCAGTTCCACGATTCTGGCAGCGGAATTCAGGACATGAACTTTATTCACTCGTTCGAGATGCTTGTGTTGGCAGGCATTCACTCCATGTCGACTCTCAAGGCTCTGGACTACCTGCGGATTCGCTTCGTGGACTTGGGTAAGTCATGTCTCGCTTTTTTTATTCTTCTTGCATTCCGTCCCTGCTAACTAGTCCCAGACTCTCCCGTCCCTCCCTTGAATCCCTACTTTGTCTTGAGAGACGGCTGGTGTTCCGGTGTCTGGAGCGACAACATCCTGGCAGAGCTGAATCGAGTCCGGCCAAACGCAAAGTTTGAGCAGTTGAGCGAGTCATTCGGCGAGGTTGGTTTCAATAAAGACGGTCGCATGATTATCAGCCCCGATTACCCTCGATCGCGAGTCTTGTCTCTCAAGCTCGCCAACTACGCACTTTTGGCGGGCAGCGTTGCTGCATTGCCCTAAAGGTTTTGTTGAACCCGCAACACCACACCAAGACGCCTTGGTACACTCCCGCATAGCGACACACCCGCACAGCGCACAGCGCACAGCGATACATCCGTACGGCGGGGTTCCCTATTTTTGAAATTTGACAACACCACACAACGAACATGCAAGCACAGCAATAAGGGGTTCACTTGAGAGGCGTTAATTTGAGGTTTCCGCGCCATAGATGGACAGCATCATACCCCTAATTTGATTTGGGAAAGTTCTGGGTCTGTGATTCTTGCTACCTTGACGGAGTTTGGGCTTGGCACGTGGGACGAGGGGGTAATTCGGAGTCTATAGGGCGGGAAGACTTGGTACTCCTCTATATTTGCGGCATGCTGTTCGTTTGGCTCTTTGCATTTGCATGCTAAAAGAGTTGCGGAAGTCTACTTTTGCTCCAGTCATACACAAGGTTAACAAAAAGGTTTCTTTTCCAGACAACAGGCCTTGTTACGTTTACGTGCTACCGTTCCATACTAGTCGCAAGTAACGTGATGTGGATGGAAAATTGTAGCGGCCATAGTCGCAGCTCTATATCATTTCCACGAGTACTGAGGTCACCCTTTCCTGCGAATCTCCTAGACGTCTAGTGCCGGTGAGGTTACATGTACCGTTCACTGACGGCTGAGGCACCAAAGCCCCGCAGGTTCTTCTGACAGACTGCCGACGTCAATACAAGATATGGGACAGTCGCGCATTTGGGGTTGCCATTGATTGTCTTGTTCTGCAGTCTATGTTTTGGTTGGCCTCGAAACGAGTACAGACTATAATGATGCTTCGAGATATGGACTATGGTTTTCGTCTCATTCTTAAACCGGTGAATAAACCCTGGAGAAAGCATCTTATGCCATGGTCATTTTTTTTTTTATCAAGACTCCGATACTACGTCTGGGACGCTACTCAGAAATGGTCTTGATCGTGGTAGCAAACGCGAGAAGCAAAGCTTGGGATTTGGCTTCTCAAAGTACGGCAAGCATGGGCGATACCTATTGGAACTAGACCATAACCTAGCCAAATCCTGGATATACAGTTATTCGGGTTTTGTGTAGGGTTCCTGATTTAAATTAGAGCAGCTCCCTTCGATTTCTGATCTCCGGATTACGGCTGAGAAGTTTGAAATTAGTCGGCAGTGCAGAAGAAAGTATTCCATCCCCTAGCTTCGATTTACCAGACAGCAACTTCACCGTCAACCCGACATTCCAAAGCCAGACCAAGACCAACATGCCGACCAAGCACGTAAGCCACACCTTGGAGACCCTGGATCTGAAAATCCCACTAAGCTGGAGTGCCGCATTGGTGTAGGCGCCCTGGAACATCAAAAAGTCCCCTTCTGAGCCGATCCAAGGAAAACAAACGGGCAGCGGAACTCATCCAAAGGAAGACCATGGCCCACCCGCAAAAGTAGACGGTATCCTATTCGGTTTTCATCCCCCTCCGAAGAAGGCGCGAAAGACGCCCGGATATGCCTAGCGGGTGGCCTATGATGAAGTTGAAGGTGAGAATGAGGATTGTTGCGAGGGCGAGGGCGAGAAGGGGATCCACCATAGGATGTGGACTGTTGCGGTCCATGGCGACTCGTGGGAGCCGGCGGCGAGGGCGAGTGAGGCAATTTGTGTTACGGAGGTGAAAGTATTGGAGATGCTGGAGAGGCCTGCGAGTTCTGCGTCGTCGTGTAGTATGAGTAGGAGGATGATGGAGGTTACCCAGAGGGTATAGGATATTGGTGTGAGGCCCGGGAAGCGGAAGTCTACTTGGTGGAGGGCTGTGGCTGTTGTTGCTTTTTTCTGGGGGGGATGAGGAACCATTGTTCGGAGAAGTCGCGGATCACGGTTCGACTTGGTCATGATAGTTCGTTGATGGGTGGGTGTGATAGCGTCTGTGGTGGGATGTTGGTTGGTTTGGGGACCAACGGCATTCCGGAGACGCCCATTGAATTGCTGGACGTGGAATTTGGTGTTGATGCTGCGATGAGTGATCTTATTGGTGATGATTATGTTCCACATCAGAAGGATTTCGAGAAAAGAGGTGAGACAGGGGGGGGGGGGGCAAAGTAAAGATCTCTCTCTTCCCCCATGGCGCAATGGCACATGGCAACATGGGGGGATAGGATGTGAAGATGTTGGGTTGGGCCAGATGATATGCAGGGCGCCCAGGTGGGAAACGCCTGAGCGGATAGAGGACGGATAGACCAACGGGTAGATCGGTTTTTTGTCGATTATTACACTAGCCCCCAGCTGCGCCATGCCGTAATCATGACGCTCTAGAACAACATCGTGTCGTACACGATGTGGGAAACGTTCAGACGCGCGGCTTACTCACCAAAAGTGTCACCTCGAGCTCAATGCCGTACATCCATTCTTATCGCGGTTTACCTGCCTCATGTTGATCGCGTTACATCGCCTTTGGCAGTAGGATTCCGGATCAACGGTTCGCGCACCAACCCTTCAGATAGAAGATCAAGCGAAACAAGGGAGAAAAGTCATCATCGCAAAAAGAACCATGGGACTACCGGCGATGAGACCCCTCCTGCTAGCGGGCGGCAAGTCGACCCGGATGGGCACACCCAAACACCTCCTCCGGATGCCCGACGGAACACCCCTGTACCGGCGGCAGCTGCAACTGCTACGCACCATCTTCCCGGAGCCGCAGACGATCTTCATCTCGCTGGCGCAGGAGTCCGAGACAGACGAGTTCCTCGATGAGTTGCTGGCGCAAGCCGCCAACCAGTCTGCCGAAGTGGAGGACTGCAAGACACCGCCGCCGAGGATACAGATCCTGCGCGACTATCACCCCGCAAACCCGGATGCAAAGCATGCTACTGCCGGCGGCGACAGTGGCCCCGCAGCGGGACTCCTGGCAGCGTACCGCTACGACGCGTGGGCTTACTGGGCAGTGTTGGCGTGCGATTACCCTCTGATCCCCGCAGAAGCCTTCTTCCACCTGTTCGTCAAGCGCGACGCCGTGCCCGTGACGTGTTTCCGCACCGCCGAAGGGGTATGCGAGCCGCTGCTGGCGATTTGGGCGCCGCCTGCGCTGTCGCGTTTGGCGGAGCGGGTTGCGCGGGGGCATCCGCGGCCCGAGGAGACGGCGAGGGAGCTTGACGGGTTGATGGTTGATGCGCCGGCTGGGCGTGAGTGGTGGTTGACGAATGTGAATACCATGGAGGAGTGGGTGAAGGCTGTGGAGGAGATGAAGTTGGGGCCGCCTGGGAGGGGGGAGATTGCGCCGGAGGGTATTGTTGCGGATGTTGTGTAAGAAATCAAAAGTCACCACCCTGGTTATCAAATCGACATGCGAGCGTTGGTTTGCCGAGTTCGTGTATTATTCCACAACATGCAAAGAGTGAGTGCGCTCCCAAGGCAGGTACATCTCATCCGGCTCTCGGTGGACGAACAGGGCAAGAACCGGGGGACCCGCACCGGAGGACGGCCGACGGAGCCGAAGGGTGGGAACCCCGCCTGTCAGCACCTTAAACCCGAAGAAGGGGCATGATTTTCGGTCTAAACAGCCGGGAAGCGGGGCAAAATAAGCCAAACCCCACTGGGCCGACGTCGTAAGACGTTCCCGCAGAAACAACATGCACCAACGACCAGGCAGCAGCGGGGTGCAAACAGGCAGACATTTGCATTTGAAGAAACGACATTCCATGTCAATTGCTGCCGACTATTTGAAGGAAAGTCCATTGCGGTCTTAGTGATCTGGTATTAAAGTTTGCGGTGCAGACCAACAAAGAATGTATGTGGGCCACCCTTCCGCTCAGCCGCTGTCTACCAATCCTTCCGATTTACCCCATCTAACATGACGATAGCAACATCACATGCACACGACTAGACAAACAGAATCACCATGAGCGCACCCTTAGAACAGAACGGCTCAGGCCTATTCAGCCTACCATGGGAAATCAGAGAGAAAATCTACGAGTACTACCTCTCATTCGATCACGACGACTTTGGCGACACAGTCCGGCCGCTGCACGTCTACTTCGAGCAAGGGGAATACAAGAAACCCTTACCGCCGCTCATGTTAACTTGCAAGCGCGTCTACCGCGAACTCCACCAGCCCGTCCACGCCGACGCCATCATGCGCGTACACTCCCACGGCTACGGCGACCGGCGCATCGGCTTCGCCGTCCACGGGACCCTGCGCTTTGAGCGCCTGCGGCGGCTGTACGTCCTCATCGCCATGGAGTATCCCAACTGGAATCGGTGGCTGGCCATCTTCGCCGAAGTAGCGCGGCGGGCGGAGGGTTTGGCGGAGCTTGTTGTTGATTGGGAGCCGAGGCCGGGGCCGCCGAACCCGAAAGTGTGGGAGGCCAAGTTGACGGAGAAGAAGCATGATGAGTTCTTTGGGGTGTTGGCCGCGTTGAAAGGGTTGGAGGTTGTGAGGTTTTATGGGGAGATGCCGGAGGGGTGGAGGGACAGGTTTGAGAGGGAGGTTGATGCGAGGCTTGTGTGTTATCGGTTTAAGTGGTGGAAGGAGACTGGGCTGGAGTGAGAATTAAAGAGGTACTGGATTGGCTGGATAAAAAATAAGGCGTTTGAGGAGTTGAGATTAATGATGCTTACAGATGCCATGGCAAGACGGATAAATATCAGGCAGAATGATCTGAGAGGGCCCTGTTGTCTGCTGAGATCATGCTTTGTAACAAAACACTTAGGCCGGATGATTGGAAGATACTACCTTGTGAGAAAAGGCTGCTGGAGTCATGATACACGATCTTTCTCTTCAAGACCCTCTCACGTGACATGCATCTTCACACTTCACCTGTGAAGCACCCCGTGAATATTCACTGCTCACCTGCTCAACCACCTCAGGCACTTCTCGCCAAAGGCGAATACGACGAGTATTCCATCTTCAAGCCATACCTCGACATCCCCTACTTACCCTCTCGAATTCCTCCTGGAAAACAAGAGATCTTTTCCTCACCCACACTCTCACTTGCTTCTTTGGCAAGGCACTCTTCACGACCTTTGCTTCCACAGCAGAACCTTTGCACCGCGACAACAACCAAGCTCTTTGCTAATGACCAGAGAGTCACTCACAATGAACGTGCAGAGTATTCGCATCGTTGCTGGTATGTTTTTATTTTTTTGACGAAATTATTGCTGTTCGATTCGAACAACGCAAGCTCGTTTCTTTCACTGGATTGGCGAATGTTTCAAGCACTCTACCCTGCCTTCCCAACCTGAACAGACCTCAAAGAAATATTCTGACATGATATTTCTAGCTGGAGAGGATTCTCTTCCTCACAGCGTGCGTGTCTGCTACGAGGGCGCAGAGGGCCGAGTTGTACCTTACCCTGCTTCCAACTATCGCATCATTACCGAGGAGACCCACCACCGTGAGATGATGTTCAACAGACACATCGTCAGCTACTTCCAGCTCTGCATCAACGTCATAATGGCCTACTTTTTCGGCTTCCTGGTCTGCTACGGCATGCTCAGCATCATCCGCCCTTGCTCTGCTCACGGAACCGTCAACCCGGCCTTCGAGATCGCCGCTCGCCAGGAGTACTCCCTCGATAACACCATGAATCTTGCTCACTGCAACATCCAGCTCGAGAAGCGCGGCTACATTGACGAGGCTGCCTTTCGCCGAGCTCAGCTTACCAACTCCCTTCGTCATGCGGGCATTACCATGCGTGACATCGACTCTGTTCTCAGCACCGACCATGAGATCACTGATGACAGCGTCAACTGGCACACTCCCGATGCTGACATCTTCGCCACTCGTGATGATGGTTGCGTTCTCAGCATCGAGACTACTGAGGGTCCTTTCTGTATGTTCTCCATACTTACCTGTTTCGTTCCTTCCCTCAGACTTTGCTGACACCATCGACAGACGTCGAGGGAGAGCTCGACCGCTTCGACCTGACCGATGGCCAGTCTGGCATTCCCATGTACCTCGACCTCCAGATCATCGACACCGAGACCTGTCAGCCCGTTCCCGACATCTGGGTTGAAGTCTGGCGTAAGTCCATACACTCTCCTATCCCTAAATCTTGGACATCCAACTAAATTCCACTACAATAGACACCAACTCCACCGGCATCTACTCCGGCGTCGTCTCCAAGGCCAACGGCGCAGGCGAAGCTGACCCATCCAACGCAGACAAGACATTCCACCGCGGCCTCCGCAAAACCAACGCCAACGGCGCCGTCTGGTTCGGCACCAACCTGCCCGGCCACTACTCCGGCCGCACCCCGCACATCCACATTATGACCCACGTCCCGGGCACCGAGCGCCTCGCCAACGGCACCATCCAGGACAACGTCGCTACCCACGCGGGCCAGCTCTTCCTCGACCAGAAGCTCGTCGATACCTTCCGCAAGCACGAGCGCTATGCCGCCAACGAGCAGACGTTCATCGAGAACAAGCAGGATCACTACTTCCGTCAGGAGGCGAACTTTACGGATCCTGTGATGAGCTATGTTCTGCTTGATCATGAGGATCGTGATATCGAGAAGGGTGTTATGGCTTGGAAGCTTGTGGGTGTGAACATGGCCAATGTTCGCGAGATCCACGTGGCTCATCAGTTGGAGGGTTAGTTGGGGAAGGGGTTGGTTCGCTGGTCTTACGGACCGGTGGACATGACATCACTTCGAATCAGTCTTTTGCCTCATTGCTCTTAAAGCTCCTCATTAGTAGCTTAGATGGATGGGCCTGTCTCATGCTGACCCGACATGGAGATAAATGGCCTTTCCGAGAAAGCATCAATGCATCTATATGCAATACCCCAATGCTACCTTTGCGCCTGTAAGAATGAATTCGATGTAAAATCAAGCTTGAAACTTTACTGCCACTCGACTTTCTTGTCAAAGTCCAAGAAGCCTTGAATAATGATGATCTCATCCCTGTATGCAATAGCCACACTGTCTTTGGACACCGTCCGTATCAAAAGATCGCCTGTACGCCAGAAAGAGGGAATAAACAGGTGCTGTGTATAGAATTCGCTCGTTCAAAACTTTTGAGACTGAAAGAACTGATCCACCCGCCCCGTATCAAGAATATGACTGCGGAACGAGTGATCCCCAGAATAGCCTTCACGCTCCCGAGAACACTGCTGACGGTGCAAGAGACGGATACTTGCTTGGAAGCAGTATGAATATTGCTACTAGTGAGTAGAAGGAATGTGTTCTTGTTTTCTGCTTGTAAATGGAATGCTTGCACCATGGTGTTGAACTCGACACGGGAAAACCATTTGTTCGTCAGTGTTGTATCCTTGAAACCTGGTGGCAGAACCATGGAGATAGAGGAGAAAGAAGCATTCGATCTGAGATCATCCCAACGGAAGGGTCGTACAGTGCTCTGTTCTAAAAGAAGTAGAAGAGACTTGTCAGTCGGATGCTGCATCCATTGACTGCTGTCTGTAGAGAGCTGACTTGGTGAAAACGGTTCCGGGGGAGTCTTGTTTTGCCACAGTTCTTCACCTCTCTGTGTAGAGAATAAAACAGCAAGACCATTTGGTTCAATAATTGCTTGTGACACCGATAAAGACGCCCAAGAGTTGAACACAACATCTTGTTGATACCAGGGATTGTGGTGTTTAAGATGAGGAGATATGCGCATTTCAATGCATCTGGTTGATGCATCAACGCTTACCAAGAGATTGACCTTCGGGTTCCACTCGACTACGCGAATGCTTGCGGAGTGATGCTTGAACTCGACAATCTTCTGTCCGTCTTTAACATCGTGAATCGAGACGGACCCGTCTTCTCTACCACATAAAACATGTTTGTCATCACCCATGGGTGTCAATACAGTAACAAACTTGGCCTCATCAAAAGGCCTGGTTACAGATCTTTGAAGATTGCTTTCGTCTGGGATGTCATCTTGGTCGCTGGACGTATCGTCGGTCGCATTCTGCCTAAGTAGAATAGAAGGCTCCCAGACATTGCAAGAACGCCCCCGGACATCGTAGAGCCTGAGGGTGTTGGAGGAGAATATGATGCCAACCACAGTCTCTTCAAGAAGTTCAAGTCGATGTAACAACTGAAGAGAGTCGAAGTTGAAGAGCGACACTCCTCCTTCGGTATCTCCGGCCGCCAGGATCATGCCATCCGGCGAGCTGGCGAGCACTCGCGAGTGCAGACTGACCGAGCCGACCTGGTACCACTGGTCTTCATCAAAGTGAATCACAATGATATCCCCATCTTGATATGCGACGGCCATCAGGCCAGATTCTATTGCGGGGTTGAAGACAACATCCAGAATTTGGGGTGGACGTAACTTTTCGGAGCCCTTCTTCTCTATGCGAAATAATCTCTCGAGCTTGTCTTCCTCGTTAAGATCGAAGAGAGTCAGGTGGGAACTGCGATACGTGACAGCTGCGTAGCCGAGAACGGGGGAGAAGCGGACAACCTCTGGGCAAAATCTGTCGAGACTTTTGTGATGATCGTCGGAGTCTGAGTCAGATCTGTCTTCGATAATGCAGAGCGAATCAAGCTGCTCTCCGTCCCGGGTCGAAAAGGTAAGGACTGCCTGCTTGACATTCCCTTTCAACGTTACAAAGACTTTGGAGTCGTTGGCATTGAACGAGACGGAGAACGCTGTGCTTTTGATCTCCTTTTGCCAAATGCGTTTGCATCGTACGTCCCACAGAATTAGCTTTCGAGGGCTAAGAGAGGCGAGGACATTGGTAATATTGCCGAAGGCGAGTTGACGAACAGCTTCGCCATGTTCCATTGTCGTCAGATGCTCGAGAGTCAATGTGCTCAGAAGCCTGATAGTCCCATTTGATAGGCCTACAGCTAGTTGTTGCTCCCTGGAGGCGACAGATTTCACAACCGATGGGAACAAAACACACGATAGTCTCTCATCCCACGAAACGTGAGAGCCACTGACAACTTTCTGTGAAGAAGCTCCGGCAAAGGTCCTGTGGATGACTGAGGAGGTTGGACAGAGGGCTGGTATGAATGCGTATATTGATTCAGGGCATTCAATAAGCGTTGGTCCAAAGATTGTAACTAGCCGAGTCAGATCAGCGACCCAGGTGTTGACCATCTGAATCTGGCCGTCAAAAGGCGGACTTCGCTCTAGTTGCCGGACCAGATGTCTCTGGAGATTCTGAATGGAGGTGATGAACGGGGCTAGTTATCCCAGCCGAGATATCTTTTCAATCCAATTGAGACTCTTGTTGTTGATAAAGTCGACGAAAGCGGAGAATAATTTCGAAGATTTTGATTGTTGTATGGCGCGCAAAGGCTTGACTGTTGAGGAACTTCAAGCAAATGGCTGCAATTTCCGCGTGGCCAGCCCGGTGATCTATGTAGAGATTCGATGCCCCTGAAGTGAGGTACTCTCTGACCGTTTGGTGCATGAAGTTGATCTCCGAATTGTGCCCTGTCCTAACAAGATTACGACAAATCTCTGCAAATATGTCACCACTTATTGATGCAAGGAGGGTGTGGCCGATGTCAAGCCGGATTGCTTCCTTCAACTCGTCGATTTTCATTGGTACTGGTGCGCAGACCACCCATCGTAAAATGCAATTGGCTTTGTCCACATTTGCAGAGTTGGCGATACCTTCCAGAATCTTGCCATAAAACCCGTTCATCTCGGAGGGAACTTGATCCATAGCTTTGTGCATATCCTCGAGACTATAAAGACTGTCCAATCTGTCGACCATGAGAGACGCCCAGAGGAAGATGCCGCGCGATCTCTCTAGTATGGATGACACAATTGTCTCGCTCGAGTTATTGTCATCGAGTAGTCGTGAAAGTCTTGGCCGAGATCGAATGTACGCTGCAATGTCCTTCATCGATTCTTCCTGGCCAGTGTGTAACTCAAGTCGCTCGATCCGTTCGTTGTTTAGAAGCTGCTCAACTGGTGCTTCGGGGGAATCAGGTCTGCTTGTGAGGAATATTCGAAGCGGTACAGATGGTTCTATCTTGGAGAACTTCTGCACCAGGGAGACCAGCGACTTCTTGCCGCATTCGTCAAGAGCATCAATCACCCAGAAGTGAGGTTGAGGATATTGTATCTTGAAGAGTCGTCTAAGAAAGAGAGTATTCCAGATGCCAGTATGGTCCTGTGTGTTGACTTCATCGCCGTTCTGTATCATGGAAAAAAAGTTCTGTCGAGCTTCAAAGTTGCATTCGGTCATCTGGTATGCGAGGCTGAGCAGCATCTGGGTTACTGTGGCTTTGGTGTCGTTCTTGAAGAAGAAGTAGCTGCAGTCGAGATTGTATGATTGCAGATACTCAATGACATGACCAGAGACAACTGACTTCCCTGAACCAGGTGCTCCGTTGAGCCACAGAAACCTGGGAGGTTTTTGGTTCAGTTTACTCGTGTCGAGCGGATCTACATCCTCGTCGTCTTGGTCTATGTCAAAATCGAGCCAACGATGGAAGCTCTCATTTTGTGTGATCCACTGGCAGATCCCCCTGTGACACATCTCTGACACCCCTAATAGATCGTTTTGTAGCGACTGGGGAATATTGAGGGCCCTTGCGATCGACTTCATCTGGGTGTTTTGTCGCGTGGCGCCTGAACATGTTAGGAACGGGCAGTGCTTGGATTGACACAACATGGACAGTCTTGGTCTACGATTTCAATCGTTGTCTTGAAACGATCGACGAGCATTCGGTAGTTCGTGTCGGTGGTTGTGTGGAACTTGCACACATGACGATGGTCCGCATGGATCATCTCTACGCGCTCGCCTTGCAAGCCTGTGGTACTGTTGTCAATATAAGTACCACCCAGTCATCTTCTGGAGGTGCTGGAACTTACCCATCACTGCTGATTCTTTGTCCACAATATAGAATCCGGCAGTGGGAACAGCTTCGTGGAACGACCACAAAGCGAGGTCTTTACAGACATGGCGGAAGTCTTCGTTGATATCCTGGTCAGTAAGGCCAGCTGTCAGTATGTTCTTTTGTAAACGAGTTCGGTTGTTTTAGTTTGTACTAACACGAACTGTGTTCGATCCTGGCAGAAGCTCTTTGACGTATTCCTTTGCTCCCTGGGATATCGGTAATGACAAGTAGTGTTTCAAGTACGCGGCAAAGTTCGAGCCCCTATGAGGCGTTCCAAGAAAATACATTGAATGAAATCTCGGTAGAAGTCCCTGATATATTGACTGCTGCTTTGCAAGAAGATAGGCCTTTGTACCATCTGATTAGAGCAATCCAAAGCCAGTTGCCAACTTCTTTTACGCACCTGCTTTATGATAAGGCCACCCATAGAGTGAGCAACAAAGACGATTGGAACCTGACTCAGTCAGCGAGGCGAACTCAAGCGGAATCGAGGTCATCGCTTACATCTCTTGTCTTCTTGAGAAGTTGAGAATGGGCTATATTTGCCAAAAGCGACTCTGCAAAATCTCGTATTCGGATCGCGCTGCGTTGAATTTTGAGACCAGTCAGAGTCATAACCGAAGCTATGCACCCTGACATGCTTGAAGCCGGGTTCATATGGCAGCCATTGCTCTGGCCAGCACGTCGAGGCATCTTCGGGCCGCAAGCTCCACGTCTTCCTCGAGCCCCCTTGTAAGCCATGGACCTTGAAGGATATCCGTCAGTTTCTGCTATGACTTTGAGTCAGAACAGGGTTTCCCTTTCCATACGTACAAAGATGAAGTCCACGCGTGTCTCCGAAGGCTCGAAAAGAATGTTCAACCCCAAGGGCCCCTTGAAACTGTTGTCACCAGTCGCAATGGCTTGGCCTGTGACAGATGAGGAAGGCCTGCGTCTCCATCCACCTCGAAATAGCGTTGGCGCTGAATGTCTATGCGGTTTGTTCAAAAGTGGTCGAACTATTGCGGTCGAGTAGCTAGGTGAGCGGGTCTCAGGGCTAGTTTCGGGCTCTTCTTCCTACAATATTCACGACCCAGTGTTAGCGCCAATTCTTGCGAGGAAATAGGACCAGTCGGTCAAACCTGATATTTGTCGGAAGAAGACATGATACATCCAGAGCTCAGTCAACTCAAGACGATATCTCTTCTGCACGAAAGCTTGACGGGATAGTAGTGCAATAGAGAACAGAAATTGTGGATTGTGGTACGGTGGAAACAATGCGAGAGGAAAACGTGATCCAAGAGAGATGGGTAACATTGCAGGTCGGTGGACGACCAGATGGTCCTCATCCGATGGGTTGCGGAATCTACTAGGAAGAGCAAAATATGATCTTGGGTGGCCAAAATCAGGCTGTGTGTTGGCCGTTCTTGGCCCCAAGCCACAAATCTCACCTGCAGAGCATGTCATACTCAGGCTCGGTGTTCAGAGGCAGAAATACCATCAATCTCATGTCGCCTTGACGGACTCTTGCAGTCCTTGGAAGGATCACGAGACACTACAGCGGGTATCTCATTGGTTACCGAGCTGTGCCACATTTAACCAGGCGAACCACCCTACTGGAGGAATTACCACTCCTTTGAAGGCAGTGACGCCTTTCTCAAAGTCCGAGGCGGCTGGGGTGAGTAATTGGATGCGGGGAAACTGCCTGATATTCCCCTTGCGGCTCAATCACACCGAAATCGACCCATACTTGCAGCATAGCCTGCTTCGCGGTTCATCACGACAGACAGGAGCTGATGTACTACGTGAGCTGTAATTTCTTTTCGTCGCGAGAATCGGTAGCCTGAGTCTCAAGGTGCAAGCACAAAACTTTGCTCAGGCCCACCGAGGCAAACCACCGATGATATTTCCAAAACGATCAACCAGCGATATTGAGACCCCGAGAACTTGCGGCCATAGCCAGCGACCGTGTAGAAGTGGCTGTGGATGAGAATCTTCTTGCGGGTAAGCCTATTGTATTCATGACTAATGATAATATACTGAGGTTTGACATAGAACTTCCTAAGGACGGCAAGGTGATTGAGGCAACATCTCTGGGACTGAGCGACTGGTGCGATACCACACAGTACAACGTTCAATTTCCAGATGGGATCATTCGGAGATTCTTTGAAAAGGCATGATTTCAAGTTATCTCAGTACTCGTAAGCTCAACATTCCCTGACTGGTGTCACAGAAAGCAAGAGGTGAGGGGGGCTTAGAACATATTCGAGCACACTGGCATTCCGAAAGCAGCGTATACAAGTTCGTCCCTGAATACATCCCTCGGCCAGTCGCGTTCAGGGAGTATGCATCTCAGCCGAACACTTATTTCCTCCTTCTGGAGTTTGGGGACATGATTGACGATGACATCCCACCTCCAGAGACATATATGGCGGTCCCAAGTGCGCTTCATCTCCGCAGTGCAGGGAAATCTCCCACAGGGATGTTTGGATTCTCAGTGAATACTCGCTTTGGCAACCTGACACAACCCAATGGCTGGGAATCTTCCTGGGAAGTATGGTGGACGACTCACATGAAGTTCCTGTTGCAAAGGAAAAGAGTCATTCGCGGCGCCTACGCCGCCGAAGATGAGACAACATTGAATTTCTTTCTGGATACAGTGCTTCCTCGTTACTTGCGTCCCTTGGAGACAGAAGGCCGCTCTATTAAACCAACACTCTGCCACACAGATCTCTGGCCTGGAAACGTCAAGTACAAGCTGGACAACGAAACCATCATTGTATACGACGCAAACGCCCTATGGGCCCATAACGAAAGTGAGTTGGGAGAAAATTAGATCTGTAGTGCTGTCGAATGTGATACTGCCGGAACTGACATTTGTGAAGTTGAGTTGGCCCCATTCCGCAACCCAAGATATCCACTTGGGAAGGCATACTTTCGAGAGTACTGGAAGCATGTACCAATTTCCGAACCTGAAGAAGATGCCGACAGCCGCATAATCATCTACCTGATCCGCCATCAGGTCTGCCTCGCCAGCCTATACCCCAATGAGCTGAAGTTGAGAGATGCGTACGGTGAATATGAATTTGCTCCTCGGCCACGAGTCACAATCGCGAAGTGCTTACAAATATTCCATAGATTCCTCAGCAATATGCGTCTTCTAGGTGATAGGGTTAAAGACAAGAGTCAAGAAAGAAAGGATGTTGAGAGAGCCCAGGTTTCCTTTGAGTCCCAGATCGCTGCACCAGTTCCAGTTGGTTTGGTGTAGTAAACGTTCAGTATTTGAGAAATCGATGTTTGAGGGAATTGAACTGATGAAGCGTTTCACCGACATTCCAATTGAAGAGATGTGATCAATTTTCAGGTTGTCAGATTCAATTCCTGCATGTGATGTTGCCATGTTGCGGTTGCAGCCACAAGCCTGAGGGTCAACAACCAACTGTCTGTCAACTGCTGTGCAACGAGCTCATTTCGTGTGATTGGTTGTAACCCCGCCTCCCAAGAAATGACGGCTCTGGTTTTTCCGTGACATGAAGAGCAAATTTCTGACACTAATGAGGTTTTTCCAGGACAGAGCAACTGTCTTGTTGCTTACCTACCTCGTATCCTCAACAGCTCGCGCTCCAAAGTCGTTTTCTAAGTTAACTGAAGGTTGAAGCTTCATCAACTCTACCTAGACGAAATGGCCCGGGTCAACGATCTTGAAGGTACCGATGGTATAGTACCTCTGGAACCTATCCTTACATCCCATCAAGACGCTGAGCTCGAGAACGAGGACGTCAACGAAGACGAGCTTTTTACGGTTTTTACCAAATGGCAGAAACACTGGATCAGCCTCAGCGCATCGTTTTCGGCCATGTTTTCTACCATGAGCAGTTACATATACTACCCGGCCATTGTTCCCATCTCTCGAAATCTTAAGGTGTCGGTCTCCCTGATCAATCTTACAGTAACCTCGTATTTGATTATCGCCGCGATTGCACCTGCCTTTATGGGGGATATGGCTGACCAAAGTGGCCGGAGACCAATATTCTTCTTGATGTTCGTCTTGATGATTGGAGCAAATGTTGGGATTGCTCTCCAAAGTCCATTTCCTGCCCTACTGGTGCTTCGTATGCTCCAGAGCTCAGGTGCTTCTGGTGAGGATCAGTGCCTGACTATCATGTGCCCAGACCGTCTCTGACACCGAGTAGGGTTGACTGCCATTACCTACGGTGTTATATCGGACATTACATTGCCGAAAGATAGGGGAGGTTTCGTTGGTGTATTGTTACTCTTGTAGGTTCATCATTTGCCTTTACATACTGACTACAGGAATACTTACATTGACGCGTGCGCAAGTACAGACATTGCCCCTAGTCTTGGACGTGTGATTGGAGGCGGCATAACTCAAGAGCTTGGATGGGGATGGATATTCTGGTTCCTGACAATTATTATTTCAATTACAGCTCTTACCATGCTGTTTTTCTTCCCCGAGACGCAGCGCAACATCGTGGGAAATGGCAGCGCCAACGCCAGGGGCATTTACTGGAGCTTCTTCACTCTGATCAATAAGAGCCCCCAAAGGAAGAACGGAGGAGCATTAAGAAGTCAAAATTCCAGGCGACACTGGCCAAACCCGTTCGCCTGTCTGCCGATCTTGAAAGACCGCAGCTCACTCGTAGTGATACTCCTGTACGGCATCACATATTCCGTGAAAATGACGCTGCAAACATCGCTGGGTGCCCAGTGTTCGGAGATCTACAAACTAGACTACCTGACTGCGGGATTGATATATATCCCTTCCGGGGTCGCCGGAGGTATAGGATCATTTACAACCGGTTTGACATCCCTCTATCCTTAGACTACGTAGTATGGGCTGACGGATGAGATAGGGAGAATTCTCAATCGGAATTACCGAACAGCAACAAGCAAGCTATCAGAAAGTAGTGACCAAAATGGCATTGCGCCCTCTAAAGTACAGATTGAACAAGTCAGATTGAAGGGCTTGAACTTTTTAGTCACTATAAGCGCGTTAGGAACTGTTGGATACGGTCTCGCGCTCATGGCAAAAGCGGTAAAACTGCTCGTAATCTCAAGTCACAACATGGCGCTGATATGGTCTAGCATATGGCTGTCATGATTATAATGCAGTTTATCACTGGAATCACCACTGCTAGTCTGTTCACGGTACGAAGCTTATTACAAATCTAGAATGGAATGAACGAGGCTCTAACCAAAACACCTAGATGACAGGAACACTCTTAACCGACCTCAACTGCGAAAGATCTGCTACAGCACAGGGTGCGTCCAGCATAGTGAGATGCTTGGGAGCGGGTGCGGCAATTGCAGCACTACAACCACTCGCCGATGCTGCGGGTTTGGGTTGGTGTTTTGCTATCTATGCATTGTTCCTTGCCACTGAGTTGCCTTTGGCTTGGATCATTCGCAAGAAGGGACCGGGTTGGAGGAAGCAGCGCAGACCTTGATGAGACGCAGTCTTGTCGGCATTTGCTTGGGGCAAGGCTTGGCTTCTGGATCGATCACCCGACTGTTGCGCACCAACCCAGACAAAGGAACTCCCAACTATTAGAAAGTCATATCTAGTAGACAGACGACTTGGAGAAACAACCGTGTTCTCGATGCCTAATCTTTGTGATGCCTGAACTTTGCCTCGACAGCAACGATTCCCATCACAGCCATCGAGACGCTAATTGTTATGAACACAATGGCAACCCAGAGGCAGCAGTGCCTCTCGTTGGCCCTGACCTCGCGCGCCGACGTGAACTTGTCGCACGTCTCGCAGTGTTGGTGCGGCTTGAAGGGGTTGAAAGGGGCCGACGGATCTGGTCCCGAGTGATCGTGTGCCAGCTCGATATCGCGCTCGTCGTTCTGCGGGATTGTCGCGTAGGCTGAGGCTGATCCTGATGGAAGAAACGCGTTTACGGGATGCTCGTCGTGGAAGCCGTGCTCGTCGTAGGCTGGTGCCGCCTCGGAGGGTGATGTTTTTGAGGGTCCCATTGCAGTTGCGTCTTTCTGGCTCTCTGTGATGATGGACTCGCGATCGACTTGTGGGTATCTTATTGTTACCTTGCGTCAAGTCCAAGTATGATAGTTTTCTACCTTGGCGATGTCAGACGGATTGATGTTGGGACTTGTGAGGCCAACCAACAGTGTGGCTGCCGCGTCAGCATCTTCAGCCACGGCATTCCGGTCATTGTATTGGTCGATTTACGCCTCTTTTCTGCACAGAGGGCTGAAACCGTTTTTACATTTCAATCACGCCGCAAATGCTGCATGCAACTGAGGGGGACGATGGCTCGGTGTGGCCGTGCGACGCGCGGGCAGTGCTCAAGACGCACACTAGGTTAGTCACTGGACCGGACTGCAGTGCCAACGCGCCTGATGTCATCCTTCTCTTGGGCCTGTCAGCTTCCATTGGTCATAACCATCATCCAGCTGCCCTAAATCAACGCTCAGCACCACGTGATGCCGGCGATGGAGGGAGCATGTGGCTCTTGCATCAAGTTCCTCTCGCCTTTAACGACGGTATTGTTGGAGGGGGAGACGGGGCGTAAATAGTAACGGTTCTTGACCTCCACGTGCTGGAGGAATGCTGGAGCGTCTTGGAGTAAGACTAATTACTAAGCGAGAAGTGGGCGATAACGTGGGGTTCCAAACACATTTCTGGGGGAGGCAGATTGAGGTGGACTCAACTTTCTAAGAATGAGATGAACTGGAACTTTTGAGTAACCTTGACATACATAGCGGGCAGTAGTCAAGCCGTGCAATTGACATGAGCGAATTACTCGTCTCGCAATCTAGCATCTATCGAGCTTTCTTACCTTGCATCGCATCACTCAAGGTCGTGATTACGCGACATCCCGCACTTTGCAATACGATATCACCGTAGTACATCCCAGGCAGGTCCTAATGCTCGCGAGCCTTTGATCCCTGTTGATATGCCGGGGAGGTCGGACTTTTTGTTTCTCTCCCGCTCTGCCGCGTTTGTATCGATCCTCCAGGCTCCAGGCAAACAACCCGCCCAACGCCGCCCCGAGAGTCGCTAAGCTTGACAAGCTTCGCCAAGCTAGCCCAAGCTTCGGCTGCATCGTGCGCCCGAAGCTTGATCTATCCGGGGCCCTGTCTGCTCCCACGACACTAAGACACAGTGATCGAATCACGAACGCGTCGCGAGGGCCGTTGGAGCTTCATTGTCGATCTGCGGAACCGGCCTTAACCTTAAGAGGAAGGTGACAGTTCGTTCCCGGCTGCGTCATCTTACAACTTTTATGCGGCCTTCAAGAGCCGAACACGCGATTAATACCCAGAAGTGCCAGGTTCCTCTGCGCCGTTGGTCACTAAGAAGGACACATGAAGTTTACATGACACCGAGACTCGGCCAAGGCCAATCAGGCTTATCAGTACAAGCTCATTACCAAAGGACCTTAAGGTTCAAGGTAATCTGAACACGGCTTTTCTCGATATGAGCTTTCCAAAAGGCCTAGATGAGTCCAAGGTACCTTTGGAGGAGACCGGCTAGCAACGCTTTCTCGCATGCCGAACAACCGACCAACGTACCATGAACCAACGATCAACATTTGCCTGGACCCACTGCTGTTCAATCATCGAGAAGTGACCCATTCTATCAGGGGACTTTTGGGCACTTTGGACCTTCTCCTTCTGCCTATGGTAAGCGTCAGGGCCTTTGTGAAGTGATGCCGTCATATACGAAAATGTTCAAATACCGCGGCCGGGCCAGCTCTGGTCGGAGTAGAAGTCTTCACTCGCTTGCAGTCTCTCCCCAGTCAAACTCAAGATGAAGCTCCTCAACCTCTTCAGCGGGCTGCTTTGCGCCTCTTCTGCGCTTGCTTTCAAGAAGCCGACCAAGCCTACGCTTCCGAGGTCCATTGTCGAGAGGCGCGCGGCCAACCAGCCCTTCTCTCACCCTGAGATTCAGAAGCGCGCCTCCCAATTTTTGACGGAGAAGACTAAGGGTGAGTAATTGGCGGGCATTGAAGCTCTTGGTCGCCAAGCTGACTTCTCTCCAAGCCTTCGCTGTCAATGGCACTGGTATTCCCGAAGTGCCCTTCGACATTGGCGAATCCTACGCTGGATTGCTCCCCATCTCCGACAGCCCCGACGAGACTCGCGAGCTTTTCTTCTGGTTCTTCCCCTCATCAGCCGCGCAGACCCCTGAAGAGGTGGTTATCTGGTAAGATAGCAAAATAATAGTCGGATCTGAAGCAACCCGCTAACGTGCGACAGGCTCAATGGTGGACCAGGATGTTCCTCTCTTTCCGGTTTCCTCACGGAGAACGGCCCATTCACTTGGGAAGCGGGCACGCTTGCCCCCGTTCAGAACCCCTACTCATGGACCAACTTGACCAACATGCTGTGGGTCGAGCAGCCCGTCGGTGTTGGCTACTCCCAGGGAGTACCCAATATCACCGATGAGGTCCAGCTTGCGACCGAGTTCCGCGGTTTCTACAAGAGCTTCATCGACACCTTTGACCTCAAGACCTGGAAGACCTACATCACTGGAGAGTCGTACGCCGGATACTATGTCCCATACATTGCTGACGGTTTCATTTCCGCCAACGATACCGACTACTTTAACCTGGCCGGTATCTCGATCAACGACCCCATCATCGGCGACGAGACCATTCAGCAGCAGGTTGTCATCCTCCCCTACGTCGAGTTCTGGAACAACCTCTTCTACCTCAACGAGACCTTCATGGAGCAAGTCCGCGACCGCCAGGACTCGTGCAACTACTCCTCCTACCTCGACACCTACTTCCAGTTCCCGCCGCCCCAGGAGCCCTTCCCCGTCCTGCCCGATCCCTACAACAGCGATGTCTACGCCTGCGACATGTTCGATACCTTCTACGAGGCCATCATCGAGGTCAACCCCTGCTTCAACATCTACCACATCACCGAGACCTGCCCGCACCCATACTCCCAGCTCGGCATCGTGAACAGCGGCGACTACACCCCGCCTGGGGCCGAGATCTACTTCAACCGCACCGACGTCAAGAAGGCGCTCAACGCACCCCTCAACTCCAATTGGCAGCAGTGCACCAACGTCAACGTTTTCGGAAACGGAACTCGTCGCGGCTCTGACCAGTCCAACGGCCCCGCCATCACTGGTGCCCTGCAGCGCGTTATCGAGTTCACCAACAACACCATCATCGGCTCTGGTGACCTCGACATGCTTCTCAGCACCAACGGTACGCTTTTCGCGATCCAGAACATGACCTGGAACGGCGCGCAGGGTCTGTCGGAGTACCCCACTACGCCTCTCATCGCTCCTTACCACCCCGAGTACAATGGTGGCGCGCTTGCCGGCGCCGGTATTCAGGGTGTGTGGACCGCCGATCGTGGATTGACCTTCTACACTGCTCGTCTTGCCGGCCATGAGCTGCCCGGATACACTCCTGGTGTCGCGTACCGCATGCTCGAGATTCTGCTCGGAAAGATTGACAACTTCAGCAACACTGATGACTTCACTACCCAGACTGGTAACTTTACCGGAAACGGTACCATTTACAAGAGAAACCACTAGACGGGTGGTTATAATGATGATTGATTCATCTAGGAGGTTGAGGATTATGCCACAATCAGACTAGAGAGATTTATAGTAATAATGTCTACCCATGATCAAACTTTTGACCCTATCCTACGTTGCCTTATGGACATGGATGTTTTCGCAAATTTGATACTAAGAACCAGATATCGGCCACGCATTTGCCTTACTTCTCTTACCCCGACTACCGACGTCCGATTGATCGAAGCGTGGAGGAGTGACATTAGCATGGGATCAGGCCTAAGCATTGAGCTCACCTGGCGCAAATGCACTTGACCCTACCAAGTGCACCCCATCCACCCAACATTGCCGTAACGCCTGTGAACAAGATAATGCCGCCATATTGTCCGCTATACCCCCAGCCCTTGCCATCTCTCATCCACCCATCCCCAGTTAGTAGAGCTACGCTCAATGGCCCGCTAATCACGTTGCCGATTCCTCTCCCACCAGCCAACAACCCAAAGATGAACCCCGTGTCCACCGCCGGGCTCTCAGCCTTCAACTTAGACAGCACTCCAGACCAGGTAGAACTGAACCCGCCGGCGAAGAAGCCGTATGTGATGCTGAAGACAGCCAGCAGCGCTGTCTGACTCGAAAATCCCCAGAACAGAAATACTGCGAGCGCGGAACCGATGGTCGATATGAGGATCACGGTGGTGACGCGGAGGTGGTCTCCCAGGCTGCCCATGACGATGCCGCCGGGGATGGAGGTGACGTTGATGAGGACGAGCAGGGTCGTTGCTACAGTTGTAGAGACGTGGAGTTGTTGGACGGCGTAGGTGGAGAGGTAGGTGTAGGGGAGGAAATAGCCGAGTGATTGGAGGACGTTGCCGATTTGGAGCATCCAGAAGGAGGGGAGCTGGATGAAGTTGAGGTTGATTCGGCGTACGGTGGAGGACTGGGAGACGGGGATACGTGGTTTGAGGAAGTAGAGGAGGGGCGCCGAGATGAGAACCTGTGCGCTTGTGAGTAATATATTCAGCGCTTGCATGAAAATGGACGAGTAGTACCGTTGCAACACTCCAAGCTCGGAGCGTGACTACTGGTCCGAACTTCTGCAGACAGGTTTCCATGGCGAAGGGTAGCCCGACGCCAGCTGCAGATTTTCCAGCCCACATGACTCCGTAAGCCAGGCCCTTTCGCTTGACAAACCACTCATCCAGGTACAAAGTCGTTGGAGTGAATAGTAGCCCGCAGCCTAGGGCACATATGACACCTTGCGTTGCGATCAACTGCCACACCGTAGTCGCAAAAGAGGATAAGAGGAAGCCGGTCGCGGTGAGGAGCAGTCCAAGTGGGCCGAACCAACGGCGTAGACGGGGCCATCTACTCAAGATCGTGAACGTGAAAGGGGAGATGAGGTACATGATGCCCTGACCTCGTCAGCACATCCAAGTGATGATACGGGAGTGGATTCATGAACATACCGTCAAGGTGGTCCCAATCACTGCAATATTGCTGGTATCGCCCTCAAGCATGCCAGGGTGACTGCCGTAATATTCCTGGAAGACACCAAATGCGAGGGAGTACCCTACAGAGTCCAGAGTCAGATATCTTCTCTTCAGCGGTTGGAGTGAGGGGCACACGAGTTCACCTACCCCACACGGGAAACTGGATCAGACTGCATCCGAGCAAGACAAGCCATGCCTCCTTTCCCCTGTCTGCCGGCGGCAATGGCGCCTGTTCAACCTCATTCTCGCTTTCTTGCTGTGTTACCGCTTGACTGACTGTCAATGTGCGACCGCGCAAGTCTATTGCCTCGGGCTCGAAGTCCAGATGTTGGTGGTTCATGATGGCTAAGTGACATCAGTGGTGTGGTTGCTGCCGCCGAATGATGGTGATGATGGTAACTGAGGGCGCGTACTTAAAAGAATCGCGAAAACATTCGGCAGGGTGAGTCACAAATGAAGAAATTCAACATGACGTTGGAAATCAAGACTTAAAGTCATGATCGGCTGACATACGGAGGCTGATTGGCTCAAGATAAGTAGTGAGGCTACACTTGCGACTAGGCTGCGGGGTCAGCACCAAACATTCTGTTCAACATATTAAGAGGACCATTATCTTACCTGAGACAATGAAATGTATGTCAGTAAGAAGTAGTCGTACTGACATGATACTACTGATATTGATCTTTGCCATATACACATGCTGGAAGATGGAAAGACGATCACTCAAGAATTGGATAGATTGGAGCCTATTATACGTTCGGGCAACATCCTATTGCCGTGGATGAGGTCGAGATCTTGGTGATGGTGAAACCTTCGAATAGGCACCTGTTCCATTGTCGATGATGAGGCGAAGCAGTACGACCCAAAAAAAAAACAGGACTTGACTTGTGGTCTAAAAATATTTCTTTAACCGGGCGCATCGCCGTCGCCGCTTCAACTTATCTCGCCCGATCTAATCAGAGCTACAATGCATGTTGTAGCTGAGGTCTGGATCGGAGCTAGGTGGGCTCGAAATCAGCCCAACAATAATCACGACGAATAAACACCAACTTACCCATCAGAGGGAATGATAATCTGGCCCTGTGGCGTCCACGTTTGCTCACACACCGGTCTTTCACCGCCGCAACTTCTGCATATCTTCTTGAATGCATATGCTGTATTCTAGTCAGTATCTTGAACACGAAGCAGGTAGCAAGATTCCTTCCAAAGCTTACCTGATCCGACATATTTCTGGAACCAAAGACGGATTCTCTTATTGGGAGCAGTCGTGCATTGGAAGGTTCCCCCATGGGTCCATTCGTCCGTTGTATTCATGCCCAGTGCAATGCTCAGCACAGATTTAATGGGCCTCCAGTCAGGAGTAAGACTGATCCTCCTCTTGACGGAAACTTTCTCCTCCCAGGGGATCGCCACAGTCTCGGGGTCGCCGACGAGCCCAACATGCTGCATCTTGGAAGCTGCCGTATACGAACTCCAGTATGACTTGACATCGCGAAGCTCCCATTCGTCCCACATGAAGCAGTGGTTCTCTGCGGTGGTCTCTCCATCCGAAGTCGGTCCGTTTCGGAAGCTGGTCATTGGGATGAAGGTGTTGAAGTTACGGATGTAGATTGTATCTGCTGTGCCAGCGCGAGACACCAACATCCCCTTTACATCGTTCAAGTCGAAAGACTGGGAGATTAGGTGAGTCGGGTGCTTCAGGTGCATTCGCAATCTCATTTCTTTGAAGTCGATATTCTTGACCCGAGGTGGCGCGGATCTCTCGACGAGGTTGGCAGGAGTCCCGATTGCCAGGCCAGCAACGGCCAAAAGAGTGGCAAGGAAGCGCATCTGAGGGCGTCTCCTGGTATGGATTCTGCCTGATTAATGTTGTAAGATGGGAATTCTTAATGGCTGACGATGCCGGCTACAACGTGCAGATGGCAGTGCTTCTCCGAATCGAACAGAAATCCGCATTCCGACAAGTGTACATACGATAAAATGAGATTGAAGAGTATCTCCGGCACCCCGGAATCAAGCTTTTCTGAAAGCGAAGCCCTAGGGCAAGGCAGGTGAGGACATGTACGACCCCCGCGACCAAGTTTCCCACGCTCGGTCAATGAGAACATATACGGCACGATCTGATAAACTTTATTGTAACCAATTAACTAAGCCGATATTATGGCACAGTTGCCGCGACTCTAGCAAGGTTCGAAAAATGAGGATGGCGATGATGGTATGACGTATTGACCCCCATGAGTACATGTAAGGAGCGCCTCAAGCGCTGTTACTGAAGGGTCTAAGTGCAACACTAAGAATACATATCCTATCATGGTCCCTCGTCTCATCAAGTGAGCCCGCGTATCGGTAACATCTGCATTGCTGATATAGCTTCATAAGCTTGGATGTTGCTGTGTGTTGTCCACGTTGGCAAAGGCCTGTTATTTTTATAGGAAGACTATCAATGGAGTCTAACAAAATTCCAGATTTCCCAGCGTTAAGTGGCCTCGAGCATTTGAATGAAGTTGACCCAGCATCATTCAGAGAGATGGGAGTTCAAGAATTGAACAACATCATCCATTCCTGAAGGTGAATTAAACCAATGCCCTCCTTCTTGATACTCTTTCCACTCAACTTGTGCACCAAACCTACCCAGGGTGTCCCTCAAGATACGGCCATTGGCAACCAGCACCAGGGGGTCATCAACACAATGCTCTAGTAAGATGGGAGTATGTTCCAGAAGAGCACATCCTTCTGGGACATCCCCAAGCCCGAGAAGTGCCCGGGTATCGTTGAGATTTCTCCCAGGGAACGGCATGCGGCAGGAAAAGCCGACAAAGGCTCCGAGTCTGGATTGCCCCGGTGGGAGTCGTAAATTGAGTAGAGTATGGACGCCGGCTGCTGCGCCTTGACTTATTCCAGCCAGAATGATGCGGTTCCACTTGCCTTCTAGGAGCTCCGCCTCTGTGGTGAGGATCTCTCGGATGGCGGCGACGCTGTCTCGGAGCCCCTCAGCTTGATGCTCTTCGTGATCGGCAAAGTTGTTTACGTTCCAGATGTCAAACCATTGCGAGACCTTATCGCCGAGCGCCATCGCCTTTCCTAATTTTGCTTGAGGAAAGACCCAGCGAAAAGATGGGAAAGCGTCTGCCAGAGTGCGATCTTGTGAGTCGCTGGAGTAATTTAGTGACTGCATGAAGTTCTTTGCATTGTCGCCCCGCCCGTGCAAGAAGACGACGGTATGGGTGTGGGTTGTTGATGGTTGATGATAATTGAGTGGAGAAGGCATCGCGAGCTTGATGGAGCTACGATTGAAGTGGGAACGCGAGTGTTGAGTGATATTTGTGGAGTGAGAGAACCGAGCAAGTGGCTGAGTGACGCCAGGAGAATTGACGGTTTTAATGCATCTGATCGCCAAAGCCCAGGCAACAATGGCGACTGATGCCTAAAAGGTCGAGACCAATTCAACGGTTGCTACTGTTTACACCGTTCGAGTTGATCCAACCAACGACTTTTAGCCAACGTTCAGTCTCTCCCAAACTTACTTTTTACGAGGCGTGCGGAATGAATCCAAAGAACGGAAATTTTCGACACGTCCAGACTTATGGATTCTTAAGCAACGTAAATACATGATGTTTGACCGGTCTTCAAAGAGTTCAGGCAGTCCCAGTAAGCCCCCTATAACTTCCGAAAGCATGCAATCACCACTATTCAACCAGGAAATCCTCAAATTCTGCCCATTGATCTCCGATAGAGCCTGGTGTGCTGTTCGAAATGGCGAAGATGCCGTACAAAGTGCCCGTCATGTCGTAACCCGAAAGCAGGACGGGGTCAACGTTTCCGAGACTTTGCCACTGGGTTCCTTCTCCAGAACTTTTGGCTCTCCAGAGAAATCCGTATTCGTCGGGCTTGGTCTGAATGCGGAGCTCGATTGCCCTAGCAGACTTGGGTATGGCAGCCGAGCCTAAATCGATCGACTTGGGCTTCTGATCTTGGATTGCCACCAGAATGGAAGATATCTTGCGCTCTTGCGGATCAATCTGGATGACTGCATGCCGCAGGCTATCCTTGTATACCGTTAAGCCGACCAGTGGTAGTCCTTCAGACCCTTTGGAAGACAGATGTATCGTCGTCGAAGCTGATCCTAAGTGAGATCTTTGCCTGCGGCCAACGAACGTGGATGTGCCTGATGTGCTAGCTAGGGTCGAGGTCTGGGCGCACAAAGAATAGGCATTGTCCTTGGCAGAGTACGAGTAGTTTTGAGAGATGGGAGTCCGGATGTAGAGGTCTTCAACTTGCCGATTCAGATCCTTGAAGATACCGTGCTGTCCCGCGTTTGATCCATCTTCTAGGTCAAGATCTAGGCTCAGCTTTGTCTGAGAAATTTTGGGCCATGCATCCTTGGGCCAGTCAACCGAAGTGAGAAAAGTTTCGCGGCCTAGTGGATGGCGTTGAATATTGTCATCATCGTGTCGTATTCCTAGGTGAACGCAGAACCAATTTCCTCTAGTGTCTTGGAATAGATCACCATGGCCAGTCCAACGAACGGCTTCATCTTTCTCGAATGCAGTCAATAAAGGGTTGTTCGGACAGCCCTCGTAAGGTCCCCACATATCTTTGGATCTCGCCATGTTGATCTGGTGACCCTCAAAGGTCGAAGATTCGGCGGTCAACAGATAGTACCAGCCGTCTTTGAAGTAAATGTGCGGCCCCTCAGCATCATCTTTGCCGGCGGCACCCTTCCAGAGAAATTTCGTGTCTGACAAGGCTGCACCGGTCTCAACGTTGATTTCGAACTGGCGAATTGAGCAATCTGGTGCCCATGGAGGCCCAGTTCGATAAGAGCCGTGAAGATATGCCCTTCCGGAAATCTCATCGAAGAATAATCCTGGATCAATACCCGGGAACTCGAATGGCACTGCATCTGACCAGCCATCCTCTGAGAATATCATGTCTTCGTGACAGCTAAGCAAGAAGTTCTGGAACTCGTGTGCTCCATCAGGCTTCTCCCAAGCATATGTACACACAACATAAAACTTGTTTTTGAAATGACGGAGTGTTGGTGCGAACAGACCGCCGTTGATGATGAGTGGGATGCCATGAGGCAGAGGGATGAATTTGGTAAAGGCGCTGGATAGAGACAGCTGAGTGGTTCGACATAGGGCATGACCCTTCAGCTCCCAATCCACGAGGTTTGTAGAAGTGTAGATGGGCAACCCAGGGAAAATGTGGAAAGAAGAATTGACGAGGATGTAAGTGCCATTGTGGACAACTATGGTTGGATCAGGAGCGAACCCTGGGATGATGGGGTTGGCAACCTTCATTAGGACGCTGTCTAATGTTGCTCGAGCTCGCTGATGTGTTACTTGAGGTGGTTGAGGATAGGGTCTTCTGACTTAGATCCGGGGGCTAGAAATCCGTAGACAATACAACTCATACAACACAGGCACGACATTGAATAACCTTATCATGTCGGGAAGTCCGAGGTGTATGTAGTCAGTTTCCGACTCGGACTCACTTCTCCCGAATCTTCCACTCCCCCGTTTCCCCGGATGTTCCACTCGCATGTCCAAAGTACGTCCACCCGTCGTCCACCCAGGCCTACCCCAATCCACACCAACGTCCACCCAAAACGTCCACCCAAGCTAGACACATCAATGATACCCCAGATTCCCCCCCGCCATTAGCTTCCCCGGACAATCCATAATTCATTGGATATCCTGCATGTGCAATTAGCTAAGGAATGTGGTTCCGCTTGCATTTAATATCAAGTGGAAGTCGAGTCCATCCTTGCTGAAAATCTGTGAACCATATCCCGTAGCCCCTTCAGTCATCGAAACAAACAGAAACATGACTTCACCAAAGGCTGACGACACAAAGATGCAGGACCCGGAGTGCAATCACTTTGAGACAGCAAAGACTGGTACCGGGATTGCAACTGTCGGGGCTGGGACTGGTGAAGACATCATCAACGCAGAAAGGCAGCTCTCGGTCCTTCAGAATACAAAAAGGCATTGGCGAGCTCTGCTCATAGGTAAATACTTTCATCCATGCAACCAACCCAAACACTTCTCTAACAATCATGAAGCTTCCGTAGCCTTTTCCGCCGGCATCGTCTTCGCCTACGATACAGTCACCAATGGAGCCTCGATCTCGATGCCCTCGTTTCTACTATACTTTGGCGAAATCGGACCGACAGGACCCTATCTCCCTTCCATCTGGACCTCGTTGTGGACTGCAATGTCTTCACTTACGCAGGCCCTTGGTGCCATTTTGGTTGGCTTCGTTTCTGATCGATATGGGCGGAAGTGGCCATCCTGTGCTGCAGCTGTTTTGACTTTGGTCGGCGCTGCGGTGCAGTATATCGCTGTGCCGCGTGCAACTCTAATGGGTGGCAAGATGATTTCGGGTCTGGGTATTGGTGCTGTGATGGCCACTGCTACGACGTACATCGGTGAAGTATGAGCAGACTGGAATTCCGGTCCTTTTTAATAAGCTAACTAACAAACTTTACAAGGTATCGCCTCTGAAACTTCGCGCTCCATTACAGACCTGTTTCGTCATCTTTGTTCTTCTCACTCAGGGTCTGGCATTGGGCGTGATCCGCATATTCGTTCCTGATATTCGAGAGCAAGCGTTCAGGACGGTCATTGCTATCCAGTGGGCCGTTGGTGGCTTAGCTGTTATCACCTGGGCTGTGGCACCAGAGTAAGTGTCAGTTGCCCAGATAAGAATGGCTCTTGTACTAACGCCTGATCTCTAGGTCCCCTATTTGGTTGATCAAGAAGGGCAAGATTGAAGCTGCGCGAAAGGTCATGCATAAGATCTACGGTCCAAACCACCCCGATGAGCGCCTCGAATATGAGATACAAGCTATCCGCGCGGAACAAGAACTCGAAATGAACAACAACGCTACATACGCAGCATGTCTTCAGGGCCATAACCGGAAGAGGTCTTTGACCGTCGCGTTTCTTTACTCGACAGCCAACATTGGCGGCGCCCCCTTTCTAGCTCAGAACATCTACTTCCTCATTACTGCCGGTCTTGAGGCCGTTCACTCTTTCGACATTGGTATCGGCGGCTTCGCTTTTGCTGTGCTGATTATCATGGCTAGTGGGGCATATCTGCAGCGTATTAGTCGGCGAAACGTCGTGCTGCTAGGCCTCGTGATCAACCTTCTTTTCATGGTTATTATTGGCGCGCTTTACTGGGCCACAGGCAAGGGCGGCCTTTGGGCAATCGCTGTTTTGATGAACCTACTCATCTCCCTACAGGCGGCGTTCCTGCAAGGCGCTGGTTGGCCTATCGCCGCCGAGATCCCATCGTACGCGCTTCGTGCCAAAACGCTGTCTATCGGCATTTGCGCGCAGACCTTCACGACTTGGCTGTTCAACTTCATCACCCCTTACATGTATAACGTTGACTCTGGCAACCTCGGAGCCCGTACCGGGTTCATCTACGCTGGGACATCCGTGTTCTTGCTGGTAGGGGCATGGTTTCTTGTCCCAGATACCACGGGTATGACGACGGAGGAAATTGACAAGGCTTATGAATCTGAACTGACGCCCAGGAGGTTTCAAAAGCACGCTATTCCGGCTCATATGGGCCATGATGGCAAGTCGTTGCGAGATACTTGAGCTAATTTCTCCACCGAAGTTGCATGATTTGGTGGTGCAGTGATATGAAGACAATTCGACAAGAATGTATGTGCAATGAAATTTGATTACTGCAGAAGGTTTAATATTGCTACTTTGAATAATCTTAACTGCGCTTTCTATGGTATTGTGATGTTCGTTGATCGTCATATTCTTGAAGTCTCATTAACTTAATATTACCCTTTCGTTCTTAATATTTTTCGCAACTCCGAATGGTTGTGGCTTTTGCCCGAGTTGCGTCAGACTCCTGTGCAGACCACTCGCATGACCTCTCTCATGAGAGGCCGGCTCTTGTGCATTACCCCATTCGGGAGAGTTGGACGGTATTCCTCCTCTTACAGCACACACGGCGGCAAAATCCAGCGTCGGATAGCCGCATCTCTCTGGCCTCTTTACACAGACCCTTGACGTCGCTATGATGATGGCTAATGATATGCACAGTATTATGCCGGCTACTGTGACGAAAAGCCACCTGCTAACAATTCCTGCAACAACCTGATGGCTGAGGATGGAGATTGACAGGGTGGAGTACATGTCCTCTGGTAGACCTTCGCGAGGAGTCTTGAGTTCCCAAATGGACGGGCCAGATGAGAAGTAATTTGCGTGAAAGTAGCTGAATGGCACAGAGAGGGCCTTCCTGACGGCTCTCAATGACTGCTTCTTGGCCACTTCGCTGTCGTTGATCGGTAACGCTGTGACTGCATAAATTGCTAGTGCTGAGTTGTCGCCCTTTGTAGCTGGGCCACTCTTGTTAAAGCCTGGGACTACAGCGGATAGCGAGAGCATGTATTCGTCGAGACCGATGATGTCCTGCTCTGGTGGTGTCATATCCGAAACGTCGAGAATTGAGAAGTTTCCGCGGTCATATGTGACGGTGGCATAACGTGAGTATACGTATAGTGATGATGACAGTTCCAAGGGGTTTGTCCAAGCGGTGTTGTTGATACAGGAACTGGTCAGTTGAAGTGCAATCGGGCAGTATGCTGATCCTGTGAGACAGTTGTCAGCTTCGAGATACAAAGCAGTGTGCAGAGCCATTCATGGCTATTCTTACCAAAAAGCAGGCCTTTCTGTTTGCCAACAGCGGCACACCAGTACGAGGCGGCGCTGTCGGCACCAATAAGGAAGCAAGTTCCATTTGTGCGTAGAGCATCGAGATCATGTACTCTCCCATACTCTAATTGAACGACTCGAGTATTGGGGACTACGTATGCCGCAGAGTCCGGGTAGCTGGTCAGGTTGTCTGCTTGAGGCGCAATTGAGACCACACCGCCGGTCAGCAGATGTGATTCGTCACACGGGGCCCATCCGCCGTCATTCCCAGTGCACTTTCCTACGCCCTGGTGCAATGGATCCAGGGAGAAAGAATCTCTGTCGGACCAGGCCGGGCTGCCCATCTGCACCAATAAGGCGGTGGCCGTAGACTGACGAATCTCGTAGATGTAAGAGGCGTTGAAGGGGGCAATTCCGGCGGACACGTTGTATGTCTTTTCGGGGAACGTGACCAGTTCGATGGAAATAGCACCTGAAGACCGTCAACATGGTGTACAGTTACAGTCTTAAATGTGATGATAGCTTACCCATGAGAATGATACCCGGCAAAGGAATGGAGCAGATAACCAACAGACTTTGGAGAATCAGAATGCGTTCACAAGTCTTCACTTAATCTGGCAGAAAAGTAGACTCAAACTCACCGGAACAGACTGGAGTACTTCTGCCTCCACTCGGCAGTTGCCAAAAGTCGAAGCAATCCCCATACTCCCGTACCGGCGTCAAGTCCTACAAAGTGCAACAGACTGACGCCACCGGGGCGAGATGCTAGTGCCCACTGCAAGTCTTCCACAACCACAACCACAAGGGCAGCCAAGACAAGAGCGCAAAGCTCAGTCATCACGCGAAGGATCAGGATCGAGTTACTAGGCGATGCGACAAAGAAATTTTGTCTCATCAGAGCCTTTGCCGATCCGGTCGAGTACACAGCCGTTAGCGTCAGCATCAGGACCCCAACAAGCCACAAACATAATGTCCACCACACGAATGGGCTCGTCTTTTTGTCTCCATTCTTGTGGGATTTAGACGTAAGAGATATCGTGTCGTTGAAATCATTGCCCTTATGACTATAAGAACAATCTTCTCTGTCCGGCGTTGGAGGATGAAGAAAGTTTGTCTGGTTGAAGGAAACTGTGGTCTTCAGAGGTGAGGGGTGTGCTGAGCAAGCCTCTTCAACTTTGGCGTATTTCGGCCAGTCACTATGGTTGTCGCCTGCCAGTTCGATGATGCTCCACCTTCGATGATCTTCTGTGTTTTTGCGGTTCGACCAAATGCCTTGTTGTGGAACATTTCGAGGAGCTCTGGCGTGTTCGTTGAAATCGTCGAGATCGATCGTCTCATGTCGCGGCTGTGGAGAAGCCATCGTCATCGTGGGTTCTCGACAGCCCAAAATATGGCTCTTTCTGGCCAAGACGGCCGGAGCGGCAGATGGGGTAGAGAAGTATTGGGATACACAACGACCTGCGTTTGCGCTAGGTAGGTATCGGAAGAAATCAAACAATGAACGAGCGTAGTATGTAGAGAGCGTAGGTATGTGGTCAGAAAAAACGAAAGATGGGTTCTTGCGATTCTGAGAAACGCGGTATTACCTACAATCATTTCTTGTCCGAAGAGTGAACTCCATCCTGCTGGAGAGCTCCTGCGGGGCTGATCGCGATTACCCCGGCCGACGAGTCAGTTGTTAAGCAGTCGGACTAGCCGCGAGTCGTGAACCCTGAACAACCTCTTTAAATATAGAGAGGCTTGTAGGTAGACCCTAGTCCCGAGAGGGCCTTTTAATCTATCATACTTCTTCCACGCACTAAAAGTTGAGACGATCAAACCAGGGATAAAAAGCTCCTCAGGATCCGAGTGATAACTGGAACTCGAGAGGAAGAGAAAGGTCAAACACCACGCCTTTGGAATTTCCTACCCTGGCCTTGGGACCTAGAGTTACCGGATAAATTGTGACGTTGATGTGACATTGTAGCAAACCCGCGACGGTGGTCCACGTGGTTGAGTGGAAAACTAGCATCATGGGACGAAGTGCGAAGCTTTGTAAAAACTGGTAGGATACGGAGGAAGGTCCTTCGCTTCAGTGTAGATAGTTGAGCACGCAATTGGTAGTTCAGCCTTAAAGTTCTGAGCAAGGTATATCCTGCTGCGCGAGGAACATCGATACATTCGGACTCGTCCGAGCCTGCTTTTCTTAGCTAAGAAGTGTTCTTGTTGTCCTGGACAAATCTAGAAGTATATGCAACTAAGGATGCTCATTCTGTCCTGGGTCCCCCCAGCGACACCGTTTGTTGTTTTTGTATTTGCAATGGAAATGACCGTGCTTGAAAGGAATCCTCGTCACTTGTTGACTTGTCTTGCCGGCGGGTGGAAAGATAGCCAAGCCGAACACCGCCTTGGGCTCCACTAAGGTACGCTCAAATTCACGATAGGACTCGGAACAGCATTTTGCCTAGCCTATTGGTGATCAAGACTTTCGTTATAGTACGTTGGTAAACCTCCCAAGAACCAATCCGTTATCACACCCATTTTTAACCTACGGAAACTTGCTATCCAGCTGACGTCAAATGTTTGAGACGGTAAGTTGAAGCTCCCGCCCTACCACGGTGCTAGCGGCTGGCCTCAACCGGCCACAGGAATCGTTGGGGTAGAATGAGTCGGAGATGACCGTGAGGGTCTGTAGCTCCGCCAAGAGAGCTTTACATAGCCATCAGTTTCAGTTTTCGTAAGGGTGCCCCCCCGGATCTGGACGCAGGGCTAGCCCATGAAACGGACAAGGGTAGTGTAGGGACTCTGACTTACCCACTATCCGTCAAGACTCCGGAGACTCAAGCAGAAGAATGCATCAAAATACAGCTTTGCTAGCACAAGTCCAGTTGGCAGAAGAGATTGTCAAGTTATATTATACAAATGTAGGCTACCAAATCAATCGCGATGCTGGATGCCGTCTATCTTGGTACCATGGAATCTACTTGACATGAGTACACCCGGATACTTCAAGTGAAGTGCAGTGATTGATGATGTGGATCAAAAGCCCCAATCTTCCCGAATCAGTCTTGCCCCATTCTCGCCTAGCATGTAAACCGGCCCCGCGATGTTGACGTCCGGAACAGTGGGCATGATGCTGCTGTCAACAACCCGCAGACCCTGAACGCCATAGACGCGCAGACGCGGATCAACGACGCCGCCGTCCTCCAAGGGCAGCATGCGGTTCGTGCCACTAGCGTGCCAATTGGGGACCGTGGTCGCTTTCACGTAATCAAAGATAGCATCATCATCGTCAGAAGCGATGTTCGCAACGCCCGGCGCCACTTCGCCGTGGTCCGGCCCAACGGTCATGTTGGCGAAGGCCGCATGGGCAAGAATTTTCCTCGCGTCGCGGAAAGCATTCACCGCTATGGCGCGATCGGCGGGATGTGAATAGTACTGATAAACTGTTAGCCATCACCACAGGTCAAAGATGAGGCATGGTCTCTGCAGCCGGTTAAGAGGCTGCATAAAGGTGATAAACTTGCGTTGGGGTTGATGATGGGAGCATCCGACATGCCGCTTGACTGAATGGTGACATTGCCCTTGGATAACGCGACCATGCTTGATACTGTGATAGAAATGTACGACCCATCTGCTGAAGGTTCGTACGTCGGGCCTGGGCTGTTGGGATAGAAGAAGGACTCAAAGAGAAACTCGACAGTTGAGCGGTTGGTGAGACCCGCCTCAATCACCGCGCCGGCGCCGATTGACTTAAGCTGCTCACTGGACAACTCCTGGAAGCCGTTCGTGATGCCTCCAGGGGCCGTGTAGACACCCTTACCAGTTGAGTAGTACTCATCTTGCGAGGCTTGAACGTTGGTAGTGTTGAACATGAGGTAGTGGGTGGAGGCTTCAGGAACCACGGTGGCCGAGATGCTGTAAACATTGTGATCCATCATGCTGTGAGATGTCAGATAATATGACTCTGATCGGTGAACTTGTTTGAATCTTACTGCTGGCCAACGTTTTCGTTGATTACCACTGGCTCTATATCAAAGGCCTCCAGTGTGGCTTGCGGACCAATTCCCTTCATCAAAATAAGCGAAGAGCGCGACCAGTAGAGCATCACTAGAAAAGTGATCTTACCGAAACCATCAACATCTGGGGAGACTGGAAGGTGCCCAAAGTCACGATGACTTCCTTAGAGGCTGAAATGACACGGTGGCGTCCAAGAGAGTGGTCGATGAAAACAACGCCACTTGCTATCGGAGTTCCAGTGGCATTCCTTGTAAAGGCTATGGACTGAACCGGTGAGTCATGAAGGATTAGTAAGTTTGGGCGGTTGGTAATGGCCTTGTAGTAGTCATAAGCTGAGCTACGTCTGTACTTGGAGTTGATGGTAGCAGAGCCTTGCTTGACGCCCACATTTTTGCCAGTGTTCAAGTCCACAACAATGGGAATATTGACAGCCTCGCACGCCTCAATGAAAGCGACACTTGAAGGTGGAACGAACCCCTGAAAACCAATCTCTAACGGGCCATCTGAGTAGGCTGCGGGGTCCCAGGTTTGGTAACGTTGGTCGTAACCACTTCCATTGTTGGGCGGGTTGAAGTGAGTAGCCTGCGAGCTAAGTCAGGTCAAAGAAATCATTTGAGCCTATGGTCTGATTTGTACAAACCTTTATGAACTTGGGGAAAACCTCTTCCCAACTCCAACCAGGGTTTCCAAGTTCAACCCAGTGATCATAAACATTGGCCGAACCGCGGCCATAGTACAAGCCATTGAGAATGCTGCTGCCACCAAGACCACGACCACCTGAGAGATTAGGAGTCGATAATATAGTATCACGAAGGGTCTCCAAACTTACGGTGGTAGGCAAGTTTTCGACCACCGAGGTACTCCTGTGGTTCAGTGTAAAAGTTCCAATCGATCGCAGTGCCTTGATAGACTGTGAGCATACTGGTCTTGGATAGAGATGTCAATAAATACGGCACTTACCCGCGATATATTCAACAGCACCGGGTGCCTCGTGCATAGCAACGACGTGAGGGTCAGGCCCAGCTTCCAGGACCAGTACTCGTTGATCGCCGGACTCGCTCAGACGGTCCGCGAGAACAAGACCAGTTGTTCCGCCTTCATCTCAGATTCAGTCTCGGGATTGACGAATGATTTGGGAAGATCTTACATACCGCCAACAATAATGAAGTCATATTCAAGACCAAGAGCAGATCCGTTGTTTTGGGCTGCCTTTACGGCAACAGACAGCTGAGCAATAGACCCGAGAGCCACCGAAAGACGAAGACACCGCATTCTGGAGAAATTGGCATATGGGAGATCAATGAGAAGAGTGGTCTTGTGAGCTTGTAAATTTCAGTTGGCAAATCCAAGCCTTGAGATTGTGACATCTTATAGAGATTTCATCTCACAGCACGCCAGGCTTGATTCTTACCTGGAGTTTTGACTAAACCTTCGTTTCCTCCCTTTTCACGCGTCATTATCTTCTGACTCCCCTACCTTCTTTCGGAAGTAAACGAGGGATTGGAATCCACGCTGATTCAGGAGTCATGCAAGTTCACAGATGCTGCTTCAAGCTGTGGTCAAGCAAGGGAACTTCAGGCATCCATTCGGGCACAATATACGATGGAAGATTACTCAGAAGCATGTTTCACAGTATGAGAAGAGCAAAGAGCCTCCTCCGTGCATTGAACACTGTCTTCGAAATTTGACTAGTATGAAGAACTCGTGATCTTCAGTCAGCAGTACAATCGTACCTTACCCACTCGACTGCTTGCATGGTGTGCTTGCCATGTTGTTGAGGGTGACTTAATGCCGATATTCTTACCATCTGCCAGTAGAGATAGGGCTCCTGAGGAGAAGGATATTGGTCCAACAAGCGACCAAAATTCATCTTGTCCCAACCTCCTTCAAGGCCATCGGTGATCGCCCCATCTACCTGAGAGGCGCAGCAAAGATGTGCTGAGTACCTCAGCCCGAAATTCGGGGACACCGGACACAAGATCCTTCCCGTTTGATGCCATCTCCCCTGCCTTGTCTGAGAAGTTGAAAGTACCTTCAGTGACTAATCTGACCTAGCTCGGTTAGCCTCTCCATGCAGACTACCAGAGTGGGTAGCACGAATCTGAATCTGCATTTCGAGTCCCCTGATGTTCCGAAGTTTACCGATTGCGGATAACGATGTCAATAATCGTGTTGTTCCATGGCTTCATGCTTCTAAAGCCGCGTCCAAAGCCCATTTGTGCAGCAGAAGTTCTCACTATCCAGCCCATCGAATGTCAGCACCTGGAACCAATTAGACACCAAGCTTTTGGGCCACGCAGCAAGGCGGGCTGAAGGATCTTGGCAAGGATGACATCCTGTAGCTAAGAGGGTAGCCTGCCTAGCTGCGTGAGGCAGAAGTCTTGGGGAAATTCACCCGATTGGAATCCACCCCACGAACACCCCGCAGCATATGCATCTTAAACCGCTTCTGATTCATCGCCTTATGGACGCTAGGTTCGTGATCCTGCGATGTTTACGCGCAACAGGGCACGCACAAAGCCTCATCTATTCAGAGTCTTCACTTCCACATTCATGTTGGGCACAACCCCGATTGGACAGAGCATGACGGATTCTAGTCAGCTTTGGGACTTGGATCTCGGTTCGAACTCTATCACTTATCATAAGCTACATAGAGGGACTACTAAGCATAATCGAGCTTGCGTAAGGTACTAGGCAAGGGCGAGCCTATAATCTTATTGTCTTCTCCACATCAGTGAGATGTAGATCTCAAGTCACTATGAGGTACTTCTCTCACAGTCTTGGGACGATCAAGAACGTCAAAAAAGGAAGTCGCAAATGTCCAAGGTCATTTGTAAAGGTGGCAAAGATGTCGTGATGCGCTAAAGTCCGTGTCAGCCCGAGATGTGACGGATTGGTAATGACGGAGACAAGTGGACCAGCCTCGAGTCTCTCTCGGCTTCATCGCGGCGGGGGCCAAATCGGAACATGAGGTTCGTTTACTGAAAGCCTTGGTAATGTCAGCATAGTCACCCTGTCAGATTAGGGCGTCTGCAGTTGACTGGAATTACTGAAACCGTCTGGTTGGGGCCTAGAAAAATACGCCTCGTTGAGGAAAGATCAGTGACGTTACATGGAATGTGCCACGAAGCCGATATTTACAAAGAAATTGTAGACAACAGAAAACTTTCAAGAATTCCTCATTCCCAATCCTTAACATTACAAGGTGAAGCGAAGTAACAGAACGACATCGCCTAAATCTTGCAAAAAATGGGATCTCACAGCACAAACCTACATGTAAGGTCTTAATGTCGTTGATTTGGTCGCCAGCTGTACTCATATGTGTCATTAGAAGGTCACCACTCTGCTCCTCGACTGCGACAACACCCTCGTCCAGTCCGAGACGTTAGCATTTGAGGCATGCGCTGATCTCACCAACGAGATTCTCGCTGCTCGCAATATCGGTCTAAATTTTACAGGCCGCCAGCTACAGCATGAATTTGTCGGGCAGAGCTTTCCAGCCATGGTAAATGAAATTTGTTTCCCTGAATTTGGATTTTGAGTAACGGAATCTGTAGATGCGCTCGCTGGAAGTCAAATATGGAGTCTCAGCCAACCTCTCCGATTCTGAGTTGGGGCATTACGCCCTCATGGAAGACGACCGTGTCGTCTCCAAGCTTGTGGAGAAACTTCAGCCATGTGAGGGAGCCAATGCTGAGCTGGAGCGACTGGCAGCTGCTGGTAATTATCGACTTGCCGTCGTGTCTTCGTCCGCACTGCGCCGTGTGCGTGCGTCGCTGGAGAAGACTGAGCAGGCTAAATTCTTCCATTCCGATGATGTCTTTAGCGCTGCTGACTCGCTGTCTGTACCTGCGTCCAAGCCTGACCCAGCCGTGTACATCCACGCTCTCAAGGTAATGGGGAAGGATTCCGGCGAGTGCATTGCAGTTGAGGACAGTCGGTCTGGTGCGACTTCTGCAAATCGGGCAGGTATCATCACGATTGGATACACCGGTGCTTGCGAGAATGTTGACGAAGCGGAGGTACTGAGAGGGGTGCTGGAGAAGGCCGGATGCAAGTTGATTATGAGCAACTGGGCAGAGTTTCCTAATCTGCTGTATCGTATAGAGAGTGAGTTGATATGAGGCATACCCAACCAACTCCATCGCGGTAGAAACACAAGACGTTCCCGGAGATAAATAAACGGCTGTAAGGGAATCTGTCAGCGTGTCATGAATCAAACATTCTTTTCCGGTATCAAATTGAACTCCAAGCGTGGCGTTCCACAACTTTTATTCTTTATCCATGTTTGATTTGTGACGTATCACAAAGACGTTGTTGCTGCAGGAAAATCAAGCTACCCATGTGCGAAAAAGAAAGCCGATTTTGAGCGACTAATTTGCCGTGATGTCGTGAAGCAAACAGGAAGACAAGTGGGTGCATGATCAAGGCGGTTACGGTAGCATCAAGTCAAGAAGGAAATCCAATCCCAATAAACAAGGAAAACGCTACCTTGAGGTTAATTACTGCGAGTGTGCACCGTCACCTAGATTTTGGGTGATAAAGTGGATGAGTGACTACATGTCCATCTTGATCCATTTTTATTTGCCCTTCATACTCGACAAGCGCTAAAGTCTGTCAAATTGTACACCTTCCTCATCTGAAGTTGATCCCCTACGGTGAACAAGGCTATGTGTGAAGTCCCAAATAAGGTTGTGCGTCTATCTGCGGATACCGGCTCCTCCTAGTTGTCGCCCGCAGGGCTCGAACTCTCTTCTCCGCTTGTGTCCTTGTTTTGTCTTGGCTGTCGAGGAAGTAATATCCACAAAAGGCCGAGAACGACACAGATGGCAAGCACAATTGGCTGAAGAGTTTGCACACCTTTTGCCTGTGCTATAGCTCCAACCGCAAATGGCAAGATAGCTCCTCCTGATCCACCAAAAGCGGCGGCGAACCCAATGGTGCCGACATGAAGCGAGCGAGGCATAACTTTGGTGATGAGAACCACTGCCACAGGATACATTGGGCCTACAATACTACAGTCAGTCCGTAATCTTCACGTTTTGTACATGGCCCTGGAACTATTGTAGGTTGACTTACCCATGGCCACACCAATTAGTGCTGCTGCCACTGCGCTCACGACAAGATTGGGCACCAGCCAGAAGATGAGTTCTAGCACAATAGTCACACCGAGATAAAGAAACATGGCCCAGAATTCTCCAAGGCGAATCGTTACCGAAGACAAAAAGAGACGGCCAGCCGTCATGCCGCCCCAGAAGCCGGTTGCTACTGCTCCGCCAGTGACCGAGGTGGCGCCGCGAATGCGAGTCATGAAGACAACTATCCATCCGCCGAGTGCAACTACAAAGTCCAGAAGTTTTGGTCAGCTATGTTTAACGTTGACAACCAAGGGATATCAATGATTGACTCAGAGAGAACAGGATCAGAGAACTTACCTTCAGCACCGCAGTACCCGAAGACAAAGAATGCGAAGATCCACGATAGTTTATTCTTCAAAGCTTGGCGGGTCCGGCCTGACTTGCCTCCAGACTCGGTGGGGTTCTCGGACAAGTACACAGCGCCTGTCTGAGTCCAGAATGTAGCAGTGAGAGTGACAAACTCAACCACCGAGGCCGCAGCCATGACGTAGTAGAACGCAAACCAGCCTGGTTGACCTTCCGCAGAGAGAGCAGTAGCTATTAGGGGAGCTATGGTTGCTCCAAGAGCGTAGCAGGCTTGCAAAATGCCGGACATTTCATGCGAGTTCGCCATTTGCCCTATGAAGGAACACCAAGCAGCGTCTGCTAAGCCATTGCCCATGCCTACGAGAACAAACAGGGCAACCTACATGTCGAGTCCAATCATTAGCTGGTCAATTGGTAGTTGCAGAGATCCATTGACTTACGAGAACAGGATAGGGTGGGTGAAACGAGAAAGTTAGATACGGAATCAAATGGCACAGGGGAGCAATACATGCTACACCTCTTTGGCCAAAGTGAACATGCATGAGATTGTTCACTGCAGATGCAATGGCATATCCTACAAAGGGAGAAAGAAAGATTAGGGAAACCACGGTATGGTTCAAATCATAGTAAGTTTCTAGCTAAAGCCATTGTGAGTGAGATTTGCTTTACTGGGCGAAGGGATAGATTTTTGAATTACCAGAGGAACCAAAGCCTGACTTGTGAGTAATTTGATCTTCATAAGGTAGAGTTTAGGGATCAAAGATGGAAGTCTCGGACTTACACCATAAGAGCCATCGTTCATTCCTACCACGACAAACGACCAGAACGTTGCAGCGGTTCGATACGTGTTAATCGGGGGTGAGTTCCATCGTTGCACGGCGTAAACGTTGTCAGAAATGGTAGATGGGCTGTCATTACTTGTTCCATGCTCCCCATTTGCAGCAGCCCGACGAGCCTTTTCTTCGTCGTGCTGAGGAAAGTTCGACACGGGCTGGATCTCAGCCGCGGCACCGACTGGCGTAGCTGCGGTCGCAATGATGCTTGCCATGACTCTGTAGAGCTCTCTTAGTAAAGACTTTTGAAGAAACGATAGCACAGAGATCTCTGAACAAGTGTATGATAACTTTTGCAAACGAGATTGATTGAAACTGAATGAAGAACAAGACGTGGGAGACGTGGTTAGACAGTAACAACAACGATGAAGGACCTTCTTGGTTGTGCTACCTGAATGGCGATGACGAAGCTATGTCAGCGTAGATATGATAGGACAAAGGCCAGATGTGACCGCTTAACACACATAAGTTCGAGAGGTGTGTTTCATCGAGAATGACTCGCTCAAAGTGACCTCGAATGGTCTAGCATCAAAAGTATACAACTGGGGCTCTTTTGGGGTGGCTCGTATGAGGAACAAGGTCAAGATATTTGCCTAAATAGGTAAGAGAAAACCAGTCCCAGTCACAAGGTAACGAACGTGATAAGCTTTCGAGGCAGATATGATACTTGTGCAGGATCTTTTGTAAAGGAAGGATCTATGAGATCCACGGTAACCTTGCGTGTGTTCATTACCCGAAGGAGGGTTGTATCCGGATGGCTATGTAGTATTCCTGAATGAAACACAGATGCAGAGCCTCCAAGAAGCTATCTTTCTACAGCGCGCTTAGACATTGGGCCGCTCCTTGCACAAACATGGATCCTTAATGACTTCGATCTTCACGTTGCATCTGACGTGCATGCCTGCTATCAGTTTCAGGTACAGTGCGTATAAGTGTGGACCCTGAATGGGAGTTCCGATTCCCAGTTGAGTAAGAGTTGTATCTGTCTGACTGTCATCAAGGACAACGCTTAACGCCGGAGACCCATCCCCGTGGGAGTGGGATGCAAGGTTCACAACGGGGAACCCGGGACCATCGGGCACGTGGATGTGCCCGAAACTCGCGTCATTAGTGGCTTCTTACTGACCATGGTGAAATGCCATTACGAAATGAGGTGAGCCGCATACTTGGCGGCTATCGTAGCCCTGCTACAGTTACTGCCATGCTTTGCGGTGTGTATTGGTTTGATCTTGGGAGGTACATGCGGATCGAATCCTAGACATTTGATCCACTGTACTACTGCCTTGTCGGTTGATACTGATGTCGCCCCCGCATGGGTTACCTTCCTCCAGGGTCTATCATGCCTCAACACTACTCGAGCAAGACGCCATGCCTACTTCAACTGTGGTTTCGAAGCCTTTTAGTTGATCTTGAATCAAAAGTATCCGAAGAGGGCTTTCCGCCTGTGAGATGAGCAATGGGTGTGTGTCTAATGCGTCAGCACTATAGCTGTCCTGCCTTCCCAAATGGGACTGTAGGATGGCTTACGGAGATTCGCCGCTTTCTCACTTGTTTGCGAAGCTTCCAAGGTTGAGAGATTCAGGGTGATTGGTGACGAATTTCAAGAAAGAATATCAATTTGCTCCTCATTTGCACTTGCACCAATAGTGGAGAGTTAGGTATACGTACTTACCTACTTGGTCATCTCACACTGGCGGTTAAGGTCAGATATTGTTTCCACGTAAGTTTGCTAAGCCCTACCAGTGGGATTTGGAAATATTTGCCCAGAATATGAGAGTTGTGATTGTTACACAAGTTCGTATAGACCATAAGCAACTACTTTAGTCAACAGCGGCAACAGCCTACTCCAGACATGAGAGTTGGAGACGAGGCATCCATGAAATGACTCGATTTCAAATTTTCGTGATTGTCAAACGAGGAGGACTTCTCCGACAATCAGATAGTCACCATCAAAGTACCATCTATGTCTCTAGATGGTTAGTGGAACATGGTTGGATGTAGGCAGCTGCCTGAAATGCAGTACGAAGTTTCATGGAAGATGGAACATCCCCTGCTTGCGGCATTTCAATCACAGCAGCTCGGAGCGGACTCGGGGGTCGAGAAATTGGTTGGCAAATCTAATACCGACGGAGTTCGGGGTTACTCTGGGTACGTCTTCTCAAATTTTCATTTCAGAGTATTTAGTTCACAAGAAGTCGCATCTCCGAAGCAGGTTTTTTTCTTTCTCCCACCAGCCCAGACATTACAATCTTTCATCTACATCCGTATCAATTTTACCTTGATTTCATACCATACCCCCAAAGCTTATCATGGGCTCCCTCGCAATCGCCGATGACCTGGTTCCCGCAGAGAACTCGCTCTTTTATCAGAGCGTTTACCCTTCCTCAGCTCCTACAGTTGAATATGCTGATGGACTATACTTCACCCTGAAGAATGGCCAAAAGATTCTCGACTCTACTGGTGGAGCAGCAGTTTCTGCCATCGGTCATGGAAACGAGCGAGTCAAGAGCGCCATCATCAAGCAGCTCAACAAGTTCACTTATGCTCACCCAGGCTACTTCCAGAATGATCCTTCTCATGAGCTTGCCGATATTCTGGTTAAGTCGACCAATGGTCAGTTGTCGAGAGCGTGCCTCCTGGGATCTGGTAAGAACAAGACTTTGACAGAGTTCATAGGACTGAAAACTGATACTTTGGGCAGGCTCCGAGGCGGTCGAGGGAGCTATGAAGCTTGCTCGGCAATACTTCCTTGAGAAAGATCCCAAAGCTCCTCGTACCAAGTTCATCGCCAGGGAGAGCTCCTGGCACGGCTGTACTCTGGGCACTTTGGCCGTTGGCGACTTGAAGGCCCGTAAAGAGCCTTTCATGGACGTCCTGGCTGACAATGTTTCCCATGTGTCTCCTTGCCATCCCTACAGAGAGCTAGAAAGTGGTGAATCGGTTGAGGAGTATGTAGAGCGACTGGCTCTTGAGCTGGAGGGCGAATTCCAGAGATTAGGCCCAGACAATGTGTGCGCCTTCATTATCGAACCGATGGTTGGTACTGTAAGCTATACTCAGCCTGGTCCGTTTCTCCCTAGTTCTCTTGCTAAATTTTCCAGGCCCTCGGATGCGTCACAGCTTTGCCCGGATATCTGCAGGCTATGAAAGATGTTTGTCATCGTCATGGTGCTCTCATCATCTTCGACGAGGTCATGTGCGGTCTCGGGCGAACCGGCTACATGCACGCCTGGCAACATGACAATGTCGTTCCTGACATTCAGGCCGTGGGCAAGGGCCTCGCAGCTGGATATGGCACAATCTCTGCCATTCTCATTCATGAATGCGTCATCGAGGGCCTCAAGCAGGGCAGCGCCTCCTTCCAGCACGGACAAACGTACCAATGTCACCCGCTCAACGTTGTCGCTGCCGTCGAGGTGCAGCGCATCATCAAGGAGAAGCACCTTGTTCGCAACGCGCGTCTCATGGGCATCCTATTTGGGCACCTCCTTCGTCAGGCATTCAAAGACCATCCCCACGTTGGCGATGTTCGCGGCCGCGGCATGTTTTGGTGCATTGAGTTTGTGGCAGACAAGACTACAAAGGCGCCCCTGGACCCTTCCTTGAACCTTGCTCGCCGTATGCGTCTTCGTGGACTTGAGAAGGGCTACGATGTCTGCCTCTTTTCCTCCACGGGCTGCGCCGATGGTTGGAACGGAGATCACTTCCTTCTTGCCCCGCCCTTCACTGTCACCCCCACGGATGTGGAGGAGATTGTTTATCGTGCCAAGCGAGTTGTAGACAGTGTTTTTGACGAGATGAGAGCAAAAGGGCAGATTTGAGCATGATGGGCGATCAAGAGTTACGTTCTATGGTTGTACTGGTCTCTCACTAGTTTTGTATTTTCCTTTCCTTTCTATCGTTTCTCCTGCATTTCATGTCAAGACAGTCTGTCAAGCAAACTCACGTTGAATCGGATACGGTCACCACGCACAAAACCATATAGATTAGATAAGTCAAAACTTTGATTGAGCTCTTCAGGTCAAATAGTCCACGACCAGGATGCTACAGATCGACCCTTCTTCGGCCTCATTGAGCCTAGCTAGTGTCTGCTGAAGGCCTTAGCTTGGACTGGGGTCAGTAGGGCTGGCCGAGAACGCGATCAGCTCATGCCCCGCGCGGGGCTAATTTAGGCCACCCTTGAGCCATTAGGAAATGGTGCAAGGGGCTTGCTTATGCTTAATAAGAAACCGGTGCAACGCAGGGCATTTAAAGAATAAATAGAGGTCAGCTCACTCACCCCCATGCATACTTGCACTCACATTCACCCAAAACACACAAATTACTAGCCTGATCCTTTTACCGAATATGGCATCTCTGGACAAAACAACGCTGTTCACCGTTGAGGCGGATCCCGGGACTGATATCTGGAGAAAGCCCGGACACAACGCATGGAACAGTAAGTACATTTCACATACATGCCACCTTAACCTCTTCATCTCTTGGGTCTCGGCCTGCCGCCTAGAATCCAACTCAGACCTCTCCCATAGCTATTGTTCATATTGTGACACTTGTGACATGTGCTGACGATTCATAGTCCCAAATATCCATACCAGCACTGGCCCCCTGAAGAACTTCCTTTCAGTTCGCGTCACTTTCTCGGCTCCCTGGGCCCACTCATACGACCAATCTGGTGTGCTTCTTGTGCCGAGACTAGCCTCAGAGGCAGCGCCTCCAAACAGTAAATGGATCAAGACCGGGATCGAGCTATATGATGGCCAGCCTCACTTGAGCACAGTCACCTGTGACCGGTATGCCGACTGGGGCCTCTATCCCTTGACCCCAGGGGATGGCGAGGACAATAAGAACGTGACGATTGAGGTCTTTCGGGACGGAGGTCCCCAAGGCAAAAATGCTTGGGTACACCACCTAGTGCTAGATAAAGACGGGAACATCAAAAAGAGAATCCCTCTGAGGAAAATTTGTTGGATCTTTGCGGACGAGAATGAGGATGATTGGGTCTTGGATGTCAGTCCGCTGGCTGCGAGACCGGATAAGGACGCCAAGGATGGGCTGAAAGTCGAGTTTGCCCAGTTCAAGGTGCAGTGGAGTCAGTAGACTAAACAAATGCCGGATGTGCCATGGCAAAAGGCCGATTGGTTACCATGCGAAAGACGATCATCGTTAAAAGGCTACTTAGTATGTGGGAGCCCAGACCATACTCCCTGTGTGAGGCCGCCATCCTGATGGAAACGCGAATCCTCCAGACGTGCTGTATTAATACGGACATGACCTCCGTGTGGGTGAAGTACTTTGAAGTGACAAAGATGCATGATGTGCTTGTCTTATGTAGAAATGGGTGGTAAGATCTGCTATGCTTGCATGCACAATAGGCAGCGAGGTCTGAAAAAGTCGCATCCTCCTGTGAAGGTGTGCAAACGCCGTGCCGCATCGGAACAGATACCGGCTGGGACACTGCCGAGGAATCGCTCGTAGAAAGGGATTCCTGTGCAATTGTAGATCTGTGACCGATGTACCGGTTAATGCAGGCCGCACGCAACCCCATCAGAATGAACGTGGCTCATCGATGATCGGGGCGGGCATCTTGTCTGTAGCCAAAACCAACGCAGAGTTCTTTCCGTCGTGGTACCCTACAAAAGTACCTACTTCCTGACCATGGAGCTGGGTCAGGATTCGATGAATGATAGCTGTCTACCTTCACGTACTAGACTAGTATGGCTGCATACAGGGTTTCAAATCCCAGAGTCGGGGTCGCAGCTGCAACGACGTGGTCCTATGAATTACACCATCAAAAGTTAAGGTTCAAGGCGGGATTGCGTCCGAACTAATGCAATGAAAATAAGTCCAACAAATGAGTCTCGAGTTGGACTGTATCTAAGATAACCCCAGTTCGGGGCCTACCTTAGCGGTCAAGTGGAGCGGTTGAAGCATGTACCCTTTTAGGTTAGACAACCAGCCGGCGGGTTGATAATCCTCGAACTTCTCGGCGCACGTGAATCTTGACAATGCAAATGTCGCACAAAATTTGAGCACGACTTGAAGCTAGGGCTCGATCGCCGGTGTTGATATCCATTGCGCGACATAGACTCGTCTGGGAATTGTTTTCCGGATTTGTTCACGTATTCGGAGACTCCACCGTCGCAGCTGGAGGATGCTATGCCGGTAATACTCAAAGTTAGGTGAGAAGACTTGGTCTCCGACGGCACAGGCTCAAGCTAGTTGCAATACGCAAATCGAGTGGAGTAGAGGAGGATTTTAGCGAACTCCTAATGAATATGTCCCCAATCCTTTAAATTCAGTTGTCCAGTGTCCTCGTGAATTCATTTGGAAATGTCATATCTACTTTCACGTCCTCCGAACTCAGTCGCGTTCACCTCCGTCGTTCGGTTTTGAAATGTGTCGACCAACCAGTCCCTATTGTTGGCACATACCGGCTCACATGGAGAGTAACAACAGTCTCGACAGTCTGTACAAACCTTTTCCTTACAATCCTGAACCGATTGCATCCCCAAGTCTCGACCAAACTAGAGAGGAGAGTTCCTCTTCCAGCGGCAGGGCTCTCTCGGATTCTATTCTTCCCAAGATATACCAGCACATTGACACACCTACCAGTTTACGATATCAAAAGTATTTATAATGAGGCTGTTTAAGGCGGTTCCATGGGATCTAGCATGTACAAAATCAACATGATGTTCATACGCCTAATCAAAGGCGACGGGATGGATTCCAATGTCGGATTCTTCCTCGACGTGGCGCCTAATCAAAATCTCGTTACAGTCCATCAAGGAAGCGTGGTTCTTGATAATAATTACGCCATCACAATGGAAGGCAGAACATCCAGCTCACCCTCACGTAAACAAATTGAAGGACTAATGAGTGCCTTTAGAACTCTTCCCAATGAACAGCAGGGATAATCAGCACTTGAAGTACCTGGTCTGGGCAACGTTCATGTTCTCGCATCTCTACTTCCACCTTTTTCAATGGGGAGAAATGAAGCCTTCTCTGTCAAGATCTAGACAATACCCAGCCCTCAACATGACATCAGTTGATCACCCTGGAATGCAGTGGCAGCTACGACCTCAAGATGTCGGCTCACTCTACTGCCATTTGACGGAGGCCAACCAAAGAAATCACGGTGAAGAAACGGAATCACATATTATGGCAGTCTATCACCACGCTGGAGGTCATTCCCACCATCCGGTTGACCACAGTGAGGGAGTTCTGCTTTTGCCTCATAGTCGGGACCCACAACGAGAAATGGTTGCCATCGGACTTGTGTTCCTGCTTCTGTGGCATATAAGAGATCTTGAATATTCCAAAGAGAACATTCTATCGAAGTTGCTTGTGAGGCTGGGACCGAGAAAGCCGTCTGGTTAGAAGCGATGATGAACGAAATCAAACAGATTTGATTGGTATTTGCACGCCGTCAGAACACCTTATTTGAAGCTTGCACGCGAGAAATACATGATTATTCATTTTTTTTTCTCAAGCTTGCTTATGGGGCTAGGTAATTCCTCAACGCGATTTTCCCCTGCGTCATGCCGGCTCACTGCGTCCTTGATTGCACGCTGTGTAGAGTAGCATGTAGACGGATAGCCCATGGCCACACGGGAAACTACTGGAAGTTTTGCTCGGCTGTATATATCTGAAGAAGTATTTCGCAATCCGTCACGGATTTAGAAGATTTGTGTCTTGTGTCAGCGATCCCGGTTACGTCATTCATCTTATCATGTCTTCATTTCATACCTCAAACCCAACGAAGACTTGGTAAATCGTTAAAAGATAAACAATGAGAGGTCTTTCAACTAGAATTCAATCATAAATTCTTATCCTAGACAAATTGCTACATTCCAAAATAACAGAAGACATAAACAGTATAACACAATCCTTGAAACAAGTTATACTCCAGGCAATCTGCGATCATCCCAGTATTCCCGAAAGACCCAGAAAACGGTTTGAGGAAGTTGACTCAAAACGCCAACACCAGACCACGCAGAGACGAATGTCGAGTCTGGCGTCTCCAATAATTATAGCGCGTTCGAAAAATAGGAAGATTTGACAAATGGTATCACACCGCTCCGGGATAGAGCCAGGTCTTGAGTCTATTTCGAAGATGATGTTGGTCAGTGGCAGAGCCTTGACTGCTGGCGCTACCACGACGACCAGTCATGTTGTTGGTCAAATCGGAACCACTGGACGGTGTTCGCGTTATCATGACCCTGTTCTTAGAGTCTTCAGTCTCGAAGTCAGTTCTGATCCTGCGTTGGTTTCAATTCTAAGCTGGGGTGACAAACTTGAAGAGTCATAACGTCGGGGATCTTCTAGGATGGCAAAGAACTTGGCTTGTGCCTTTTCAGTCGCGGAAGGTGCCATTGTTGTCGTCGTACAGAAGAACTCTTTAATGCACTTTGAATGTATAGGAATAGGGTCAGCTACAGTAAATGGATGTCGAATCTATCATGTACGAAGAAAGATCGATCCTATCACCAATGTCCAGAAGAGGGGTAACTCGGTCTTTATGTTGTCCGATTACAAAGACACGGTAGGGACCTTGGCCTGCCTGGCAGCAAAGCCTGGGGAAAGAAGGTTCATCTCCAACTATTCCGATTCGTTCGTCCCATTGGATTTGTTTCAATCATCTGCAATGGGACTGGACCTTAGGTGCCATTGCCACGGAAATGAGGGGTAGCTCGCAATCATCGAATCAATTTGCCGACTCATATTTCTACGCCAAGTGGGAGGTATGCTTCGGATGTCCGGTTGACTTCTGACCCGTTCACCTCCTGACCTGCGCACACTTGGACCTCAGGTTACTAGTACCGTGGAGATTATGAAGTGCCAGGCCGCCCTCAACGTACCTGTAGGCGGTTGGGATGCCCGGCTCATCCTTCGCTCTAACTACTAGGCCTAAAGCTATTGTGATTGACTACGAGTAAATTTGGGAACTGGATCTTTTACATCCTTCATTAGTGATATTGCCTGTATCTTTGTGTTAGTCAGAAAATATCCCTTGTCGAACTCTTCATCTTCCCTTGAACCGAATGCATGAAATATCTGGAATAGTTCCGGTGCTACGCAAAGAGCGTTTCTTCCGAAAGGAGAAGAGTCTCTTTCTGAAATTCGAATGAAATCCGTCTCACCTTCATATTCGGGCGCGCCCTTGTAATACGCCTTTTAGGTCAAATACAGGAGGACAGCGTGAAGGCAGGCCGACTCGGGTTCCGATGCTAAGGGAGATCAATCTTCCATGTGATGGTATTATTGATAGTGATTACGTAGGGTCGGGCTGAAGAGGACACCCATAATAGAGAGACGGGCTATTATGCCTTGGTATTGGTAGATTGATGATACGCAAGGATACTGCCGTATACGATGCACTATCGAAGTAAATGTGCTGTAGCTCTTCGTGCTTTCTTAAGCTAGGATGAGTAAGATTTAGCTTTGGACAAGATATGAAAACAATGTGGAACAAGATTGTAGGATGTGGACACTTTTATACAGCACATTCTCGTCTACTTCATGTGTGCCTACTGAAGAGATTGTTAAGTCTCAGATTGCTTCCCGTGCAGGGTGGGTATAGAGTATCCTGGGAGGTAGCGGAATTGCCCTGATCATGCAAAACTCCCTCAGCAACGTCAGACGAGGGACTTGCAGATTGCTTCGCAGGGAATAGAAGGCATCGGCCTCCCCTCAGCGAATCCGGCTCATGAAGCTTGCCATCGTCTGTATTGCAAAGTGTTCGAGAGCTCTGCACCGCTCGTCCGCTACAGTCAGAGCTACGCCGGGAACCAGACTCGAGAAGATCGAGCGGAGCCCTCACATATTGAACTTCTTTTTTGGAGATGATGTGGGACAATCTGCCGATCGCTCCTCGTTCCCAATGCTGCTGACTGTATGTAGGAGTGCTCCAACGATGTGACCTTGGGGCTGTGCATTGCTGACAGCGCTAAAGAATACATCCGTTCTCACCCGGAAGTTGACGGCGAATCTTGGGCTCCAGGCAGAAAAATAAAATTGGTTCAATGATCATAAGTAACTAAGTACGTGAGTTGGTTCAATAGTATTTCGTTGACTCGACCTATATGTTCTCAACCATTCGTACGTTCATCATCCTTCAGGCCCATGACTGGAAACTATCATCGGAGTCGCTGAGATGGCACTACTTCCAACCCGTGTTTACAAGGCATTCAACCCGCCTGTAGTAAAGAAGACAGACGGTGCCATGAAAGTTGGAGTTCTGGGTGCTGCCAAAATCGTGTGAGTATAAACGGTAGCCCGATGTCAAAGAACATTTCGTAATAATCTGAAATTTACAAGGTCTATGGCATTGATTACACCGGCTTTGTCACACCCAGAAGTCATCGTCCAGGCCATTGCTGCCAGAGATCGTTCTCGCGCTGAGGAATTTGCTAAGAAGCATGGTATCCCCGAGGTCAGGGACACTTATCAAGGTATATCGAGTTCCAGACACTCGATGTCGATATCCTATGAGCCAAGTGACTCTAACCGCTCTTGAAGAAATCCTCGATGACCCAAATATCGACGCCATTTTTTTGCCCTTGCCAAACGCCTTGCATTATGAGTGGTCTTCACGAGCAATACGAGCTGGAAAACATGTTTTGGTCGAAAAGCCGTCGGTTGATAACGCGATTGAGGCCGATATCCTTTTCAATATGCCAGAACTGTCGTCAGCACACCCAAGCCCGAGGGTCTTGCTGGAAGCTATGCACAACAAATTCCATCCCGCACTGCACAAATTCATGACTTTTGTTACTCCTGCCGACGTCATTCACGTTCACACAGACAGCATGGCACCCGCCTGGTTCACTGCGGCGGACAACCTAAACCACAAATACCATCTCGGAGGCGGCAGTATCATGGCACTCGGAACGTACAACTTTGGAGTCATGCGCATGATCTTTGGCCAAGAGCCTGAAGAGTGTCTCGAATGCGATACTACAGTCTTTGACGATGGCGACTGCAAACAGTGCGACTACACTTTCAAGGCCAGGTTTCAATTTCCCAACGGGACTGGCTATGCCACGACCACTGTGAAGGGCCCTGCTCTCTGGAAGCCTTCTGAAGCCAGAGTTACACATAGGAAGGTTGTGGTTCCCGACAAGAACTTGCCGGACACTCAGGAGATGACGCGCACGCGGTTAGTCACTCTCCATGGGTTCATGCACGCGGTCGCCTGGCATCGGATTGATGTTGAAGACTCGTATGAGATTCGCAACGTTGTCAACGGTCAAACAGTCAAGAAGTGGGTAGAATCGAGTTCGCACACAGCGTACACGTTTCAAGATGCCGAGGACGGGCTTCCGGGTCTGGGCGAGTACTGGTGGTCGTCATTCCGGTATCAGCTCGAGGCGTTTGTCAACCGGGTCAAGGGGCGCGAGACACATTACTGGATCACTGAGGAAGACTCAATCAAGCAGATGAAGATGATTGATATGGCATATGAAAAGAGTGGGTTGGGATTACGACCGACAAGCACTTTCCGTTGAATGATCATGGTGTCTTCGAACCAAAGACATGGCATTAACAGAATTTAGCACTTCTTGCGATCAAAGTATCTAAAAGTCTGAGAGATTCTGTGATTACTTTTTGATAACCCATTGATGCTCGAACCGGATCGCACTGGGATGACCGGTCTTTGGATGGTAACGGTAAGAAAATGTGAAAAAAGGAATAGCAAGCAATATTGCACGAAAGCCTCTGTGTCCTCGTCACCGTCAATTCCATTCGTAGTGGCTCATAGACCAATCTTCTATGATCACTTTTCATCGGTCCTAAGAGGTCACACCAGTCAAGATCGCTCTACAAGAAATGCGATTAACCACGGGTAGAGGAACAACAGTCTATAGCCCGGAAATGCATATAGGGCCAAACATCGTTATCACGTAACAGGGATCGCAACCGCATCTCACGAAGTGCCCGTTACGTACTAAATTACGTATCTATCTTAAATATCGTATATATAGACCTTTTTTTTTTATCTATTTCTACTTTAATAAGTAAAGCTACTTTTATTATACTCCGTATACCTATTACTATGTACTATAACTCGTAATAATTATAAACCTAGTTCTTAATTAAGACCCTATATTATAATAACGCACTTATTAATACGATTCTTATAATCTTTTTAAAATAACCGATATACTTATAACTACTTTAGCCTAAACTAAATTAACTAGTTATAATAGTTAAGTTAAATAATTTAATATACTTCGTACTATAAATAAGAGTATCGGGGTTTAGAAATACGTCGACCTAAACGCTCTAAATTCTAATATACTCCTCAACCCTTTTATAGCGCTTATTTTACTTTTTAAATTTAGATAATTAATATTAACCTATAATAAAAAAAAACTACGAGCTTATTAAGTACGTTATAAAATATTTAAAAATAACTAAAAGAACTAAGAAATCCTCCGTTAGTAACTTCTAAACTTAACTCCTAGTATAACCCCTTTAACTTCTTTAAATATAAATAACCTATAGGACTAAACTAAGTTTTTTTTTATAAAACTAGCTATATTACCTACTTTATATAAATAAATCTATTTTTATACTATACTTATAAAAAGGATCTATATACTTAAGAATATTTAAAAATAATAGGAGATTAATATTAAATACGAATAATTCAAAGCTTAGGAACGTAATATTATTAATACGTATATTAAACTCCTCGCTTAGTAATTAGTAAAATTAGTTAATACTACTCTTTATAAATACGTATTTTAAAAAGCTACTAAGAACGGCTCTAAGTTTAGTATATAACGAATTATTAAATAACTAAAATAAGAACTTTAGCCCTCTAAAATAATAATTAAGAATATAGTTCGAAATAAATACTAATAAGCCCTTAATAAAGCGAGGACTAGAATTAACCCCTAATATTAGTATAAAAAGTAATAGTCTACTTATTTTTAAATTAAAATATATAATATTCTAGAAATTAATAAAAAAATTATTATACTTAATTTCCTAATTATAATTAAGTTTAAACTTAACCCTATATAAGGCTAACGTATATATAAGACCTTTAGTAAATTAATAGCCTTCGGAACGCATATTAAGACCCTCGAGGAGATTACGTATATATTTAGCCTAATAACTTAGGACGTATATACTAAATAACCTTTAGGTTAAAAAGGGGCTTACTTTACTTTTACTAAACGCTCTAACTTAGTTAATAATATAAATAATAAGGGTAACGTTATATACCCTTATAATTATATATACTTATAATAGCCTTTAGCATACTAAAAATTAAAATAAGTACTTATAAACTAAAACGCTAATAAGTTATTAATACGAATATTAAAAAACTATATAAAAAAAGTCCTCGCTACTATTAAATTAAATAAATAGAAATTACTTTATAATAAGCTTAAAAAAGCTAGTTAGTTAAAGAATAATAGAATCCCTAAGAAACCTAGGTTTTTAAAAAGATCCTCTAACTAACCTATAATAAGCTTATTAGTAAACTAGGACGAGGGCTACGTAGTTATTATACTTATAAAGAGTTAGGACTTAGAAATAAATATAATCTTTAGTACCCCTATAAGTAGCGCTTATCCCCTATCCTAAAATACGGTAATAAATAGCTATAAAATAATATATTTAGTTAATAATAAAAGCCTTTTTAAACCCGAGAGTTACGTACTATTAAATAATAACGACTACGTTAAATTAAGAACTATTATACTATTTATTACTATACGCAGTACTTATATTATAAAGGGCGTTTTAAACGGACTTAAAGAAAAGGGAACTTATAATTTAAAACTTTAAAACGTTACTTATATTAAGGGATTCTATATTAACATAGTCTTAGAGACTTTATTAAATAGAAGCGCACTCTAATATTATAGTCTAGATTATACTTTATAATAAGGAACGCTTTATAAAAGTACTATTAAAAAGTAGCTTATTTAAAAAAATAACCTAGTCTTCTTTAAATATAAGCTCTTCTAATCCTATCCTTTTTTTATAAACCTTAAGTATATCTTATAGAGCCTAGTTAGTATTATACTATTAATTAGCTATAGAAAATTTCGTCGCTCGTATTAATATACCTATAAAAAGTCTAATAGCGTACTCCTCTAGTACTTTAAAATAAGTTATCTCGGACCTAATACTCTTTATTAATTATTATATAAGACTCGTAATATATATATTAAACCTCTATTATAAGTTAAGTATAAAGTATATATATTATCTAAGGCTAAGTTAGTAATTTTAAAAAAACTACCCTTAAAAAGAGCCTTACGGCTATAGTACTATATATACTAAAATCTTTTCTACTTTAAGCTATTTTTTAATAAATAATAATATATATTTATAGTTTCTAATAAATATAATAAATAGCTTAGGGAGTTCTTTTTAAGGACTAAATTAGAGGAGGAAGTACTTTTTATATTCTAAAGCCTCGAGGCTACGATTTATTATTAAAAAGGGACTCTAATCTACTTCTTTAAAAATAATAATAAGACCGCCCTCCTAATTATAAATATTAAATATATATATAAAACGTAGTATAATAAACTAAGAATTAGAATAGAACTTCTACCTCTATATATAAAAAAACCCATAAGTAATATAAAAAGAGTAAGTTAACTCGTAATTACTAAAACTCGTAAAATACGCCTTTTTATAAACCTCCCTATAAATCTATAAGATAAAGTAATATTAATAACAATTTTTATTTATAATATTACCCTACGGGAGGTTAATAAAAGAAATTCGCTTATTATAATAAAAATTAACTAATAAAAGCGATATTAATACTAATAATAAACGGGTTACTAAGTATAAGATTCTAAACTAGTAACCCCGTATCTTAGTAGCCTTTATATACATAGTTACTAAGTATACCCTCTTTATAAGGATCGTAAGAGGGGTATACGTTAAAAAGAGTTTAAAATACTTCCTCGTAAGTATATAAAATACCTAATTAAATATATACTAAAAATACATAACCTATATAAGGTCTAAGTACCCGCGCTCAAATAAGTATTTATTATAAAAAATATTAAATTTAATAAAGAAGTCTTTTATAATCTTATATACGAGGAATAAGCTATTATAAGTAAGTAAATAAATTTAGTAATCTAAGAGATATAAGAACTCTTTAACGTTAATAATAAATTAGTTCGAGCACTCGGGGAGGTAGATTTAGACTTTAAAAATACTAATATTTAAAATAACTTTATAGTTGAGGATAGTATTACTATTAAATTTTTAATTATTTAAGACGCTAAGTAACTAATAGACGTACTTTAGGGTACGGTTAATAAGACTAAAGAAGCTAATATAATCTTATTATTATTATTAACCCCTAAAATAACCCCCTTATATAAGCTCGGGGGTAGGGGTAAAGAAGGGGATATAATAACCGGGTTATAAACGGCTCTACGTAATTTATAATCCTCCCTATAAGTACTTATATAAATTACGGAGGTTCTCGAGCCTTTAATTCTTAATAGTTCTTAGTAGAACGCTAAAGTACGTAGTAGACGAGGTACTAATTATAAAAAAGTAATTCTTAATACTAAAATCGATATTAGTAGGGAACCCTTATAATAAACCTCTATTACTATATAAAAATAGAGCTTATAAAAACTACCTTATTAAGTACTAAGTAAAGCTCCGTTAGGTCCTAAACGTTTAAACTGGGCCCGCAGACCTCTATAACACTTTAATAATAGTATTTTTATAACGTTCTTATATTTAAATATAAAAAATAGTAATTACTATAACTACTACTAAGATTACTTTTTTTTTACTTTTATACCTAATTAATAAAAAACTATAGAAAAAAGTAGTATAAGATATATAATACTTTATTAAATAATAAAAAGAGTAGTTTATAAGACCTATTTAAAGCGCTCCGGAGGAGTTTAAAAACTACGACTTATTAAAATTAACTTCCTAAGCCTACTAAAGAAGTTTAATAATATTAAATATCTCCTATAATAACTATAAAAGCTACTTAGGGATACTATAAACACAGAAATAAAAAAGCTAAAAGATATTAGTATATAAAAAGAGGTTAACTATAATCCTAAATAAGGGATCCCACTTTTATTAAAATAGGTATATACTTATAAATATAACGCTAATAATAAGGTTTATAAAATAAAAGTACGTATATATATAAGGGGGGATATATAACTACTTAACCCCTTATAAAATATATACGCTTTAACGCTTATTATAAAAGCTTTTAAGCTTATAATAATAATAACTACCTAATTCGATTTTAAAACTAACTAATATAATACTATTAACGTATTCCTTAATATACTTATTAAGAATAAAAAACTAGTAATTATTAAATTCTTAAAGGAATATAAGGTTATTAATAAAATAAATAAACTCTAACGCGCTCTATATTATTACGACCTAATACGCATAACAAGGCTAGGGCCTCGCCCAATAGGACTTGCGGTAGCTACTATACTATATATATAGAAGTACGGACTTAGGGTAACTCCTCTCGGGATAGAAGAACTATAAATAAATTACATAATTACGATTATATAATAAAATAAAGAACGGACGCCCGTAAATAAATAGAACGGATAATCGTAAATAAGTAAGATAGACGATCGTAAATAAGTAGAATAGACGACCGTTTAGTAAATAGTTAGATAATAATAAATAAGAATACTATAAAAGATATATTTAAAAACGAGACTTATATATAAGATAAACTTAAACTAAGCTTAAAAATAGACTTCCTATAGCTTTTTTAGTAATTAACTTAATATTAGATTTTATAATCGCTTTTAGTTATTTTTATTAAGAACCCCTTTTAATAAAATTACGATTAATTACTAAAGCTTTACCTACTTAATAACTTATAAATATAGCTTTAGAGAAGCTATTTACGACTATAATACTATTTACTTAGTACTCGTAGCCTTAACTTCTACTAATATACTTATTACGACTAGCTAGCCGTAATAGCTACTTATAATAGCCTTAATAAGGGCCTAGATTATTAGCTATAAAACGACTAGTATATTAATATACTCCGTAACTAAACGGCTATTAAAATAGCGTATATATTAACTACTACTTCTTATAAAATAATAACTACTATCCTTAAGGTTAGTATACTAAAGGGCTATTTAAAAATAGGGTATATACTATATCTCCCGTTCCTTAAGAACTACTCCCTTAAGCTTCTTAGGGATTAAGTATACGTTAAATAGGCCTAGAATAATAAAAAAAACTATACTTATTATAGGGGATACCTTAGCCTCTTAGTATTCTCTTTTACTTCTTATTACTTTTTTAAAAAAAGCTAGCTTTATATTTTTTAAAGTTTAGAATAATATTAAATACGAACTCCTAAAATAATAATATATAATATACCCTTTTTAGAGAGCTTAATTTCTAAACTAAACTTACCCTTATTTTTAAGCTCTAAGGGGGGGATAAGTAAAAGCTCTTTAGAGCTTTTATTATTACTATTTACTTTATTATCGCCCTTATTATAACTACTAATAAGAGCCTCGAACTTAATAGAGTTCTTAATATCTTAACTAGTAACCTTAATATCCTCTTAGTTAGGGAGGGAGAGCTTAGTAACTAGGCCTTAGTAAGTAAATAAAAAGTTATAGGGGGGGGTAACGACCTAAAGGGGCTTATTAATATTATTACCTATCTAAACTCTTAATAAACCGCATAATTTATATATAAGAAGTATTATAAAAATTATATAAAACTTATTATTATTTCTAAATATATTAAATATTTATATTTAAAATAAAATTAATAAACGATTTAATAATATAAGTATGCGCGCGTAATAAACGGGGGTACTTATAATAATTACAAAAAAGTTTAAAAAAAAAAAAATAATAATAGCTAAGTAACGCTACGAGAATTTAAATATATATAAAGTAACTAAGTAGCCTCGCCCTTAGTAATTTATATACTAAAAATAATAGAATATATACTATTCCGAGTTAGGATTCTATTTATTTTAAATAAAAAAATATATTTATAATAAACGCAGTCTAAAAAACGCGTATCCCTTATACTTATTTTTTCTTTTATTTATATTTAACTAAATCGGGCTTTTATAAGGGTATTTAGAGATTCTATCTTAAGTATAATAGCTCCCTAGTAATAGTAATTAGGGGGTATATTACGTAATAGGGATCGTAACCGTATTTTATAAAATACCCGTTACGTATTAAATTACGTATCTATCTTAAATATCGTATATATAGACCTTTTTTTTTATTTATTTTTATTTTAATAAGTAAAGCCACTTTTATTATACTCCGTATGCCTATTATTACGTGCCGTAACTCGTGATAATCGTAAACTTTAATTCAGGCTCATACTTCCACAGCCAGGCTGATACATCTATAAGGCACATACTTCAACATCAGGCACATACTATTTTGACTCCAACAATAATTAATCCGAATTGGAGTTTTTACTCCACGAGTTTGATTTGAAATCAACATATTATTAACTCTCGTGCTCACCGCTGCCATACACCCACTTATTTGCATGACGAGACCCTGGGCTAAATGATTGAGAATCCTCCAGGACAGCATTCGCCTTAGATGTAGCCAATAGTTCGTATTCACTTGGGTATATGGCTCAAGTGACTGTGGTTCTGGAAAACTCACATTTCAGGTCCTGGAAGGTATATGCAGTCTGCAAGCAGGGCAGCCAGATGCACTCCTGGCTGAGGCCGGTAATTGATTGCCGACTGCCCGTAGCCCGGGATTACGAAATTGACTGGTGTAAGTCGCCTTGAGTTTTGATTCGCCTGATTCTACTATCAGCCGGAGCTACAATAGTCACTGTGTGATGTGAGTTACTGGCTGCGAAGGGTCGTCGGAGCGTGTGTTATTTCGGAGGAAAGCGATAAAGTTGGAAACCTCCCGATACGAGCCACTGCCAAGCGTTGGTGTTAGTGCCCAAATTCATGTGACAGCACTAGTTCGGACGGCATGACAGGAAACTCAAGGGCCAAGCCACACTTTCGGTGCAGTAACGAGTAAAAGTGCTGACGAGGAAATTGCCGGTCGCTGTGTTTAGAATATTTCTTGGTGCCCGATCGCAAGATCTGCACTTTGGATGCGTACAACTTCTCACAGAGTCACAGTCAATGGGAGAGTTCAAAGTTCGGTTTGGTGGCTGAAGAGTAGATTGGGCTGGGTCAGCGAATCCTCGATTGCAAATGCTCCGGTCCCGTCAGCTCAGCGTGAAATACATCAGAGACACAACCAACAGATCGAGATAGTTTGGATGATCGGGAAACTTCGACTAAGGGACTTTTGAAGGCAGCCGTTTGCGCCGAACCCTCGGATAACGGGCGGGCGCTTGGCATGCCGTCAAAAGCGTGGCTTTTGTCAACGACGCGTTGCGCAACAGTCTTGACGTCATGTACCAACGCCAGCCACAAAGCGCATCACCAATAAAACTCCCAGCAACCTCCCTGAAGGGACCCAATGTCAATCTCAAAGACACGCTTCTTGGCAATTCAGCCAAGCTTTTATGGATTTTTTTAAGCCTCCCATCGTGCTCATCCACGGCTTGTGGATGACACCTCTTTCATGGGAGTACTGGATACCATATTTCCAGAAAGAAGGATTCGAGGTCCACGCCCCGGGTTGGCCGGGGGTGGACGGCCGAACGCATGAAGAGATCCGTGCGGACCCGAAGCCGATATCCCTTCATCGAATCGAAGACATTGTAGACCATTACGAGACATACATCAGGAAGCTTGCAGAACCCCCTATCATCATTGGTCATTCTTTCGGCGGCCTGTTCGCCCAAATACTATTATCGCGAGGACTTGGCGCACTTGGAATCGCTGTGTGCCCTGCGCAACCAGCGGGAATCATTTACATTTCGCCAAGCACAATAAGAACGGCGATGCCCATCTTCACTCACCCACTGCATTCGGATGCGACAGTACCGATCTCCGAGAGTCACTTCCACTACTGCTTCGGCAACCTCGTTGCCGCTGAGGAGAGCAAGAAACTATGGGAGCGGTATTGCATACCTGCAGATTCCCGGGTCTTATGGCAACTAGCAACCAATGTGACAGCTGGAGAAGCGGCGCCTCACTACGTCCAGTTTGACAAACCGGATAGAGCACCTTTATTACTCATAGGAGCCTCGAAAGATCATATTGTGACAGCAAGAACCGTTAGGAAGGAGTTCAAGGCATATAGGGGACGTGCGCCAGTGAAATACAAGGAGTTCGGAGGCATGAGCCATGGCCTTATCTTCCAAGAAGGATGGGAAACGGTTGCGAATTATGTGTTGGAGTATATTAACAAGCATATCCATTGATAGCATCGGCGTCAGGGGCTCAAGATTCAGGTAGACAAGCAGCATAATAGAACATTCATAGATCAGCCTAGAATAACTGCAAGCGAATCACGAAGATTGTTCGGTGGAGTTGTACTGCTGAGTTGTTGAGTAAGTTAGCGTGGCACATTAAGGGATAACAATTGTCATGTAAGTAACACAAAGGGCTGGTTTGAGTTACGCTTGGGCTATGAAGTCTTAAGCCAACGGAAAAACACGGCTGCTCTAGCTTTGCGACACTGCCCAAGTGGAGTTGACTGCACGTTTCACTGCTGGGCATTTCTAAGCAAATTCTCGGACTTTGTATCCGTGGCAGGCCCTATTTTGACCCCAACAGGTCTTGGAGTATCTTCGAGCGACCGTGACATGCTATTGGCTCCTCTTTTTCCAAAGTCTCCAACACCATCCGCTTTTTGCAAATGCTCCGATAGCTTCCATCCCAAACCCCTGGTCCTGGGTCTTTACGCCAAGGGGCAGAACGTTGCGACCTACCAAACAGGTGCTCACCTCCATCTTTATGAACCCACAGTAACAGTGAGAATGGAATGGAGGGGCTTACTTATGAGGGGCAGACCGCCCTCTGCAGTGCGGCATCTGGATAAGATTAACTTGGTGGCCATCTTTGTCACGCTCAACTCTATTGTCTCATCTGATACTACCAAACTCTCCCCTCAGACTACCTGAGATAAACCCTCAGCCTACATCATGTCGTCCAAGCTCTTCCAGCCGCTGAAGGTCGGCAAGGTCCAGTTGTCTCACCGTGTGGTGATGGCGCCCCTCACCCGTTTCCGCTTTGATGCAGACCACATCCCGCTCGACATCGCCCTCGAGTACTACACCCAGCGCGCCGCCGTTCCCGGTACACTCATTATCGCCGAGGCCGTGCTCATCTCCCCGGAGCATGGTGGCTTCCCCAACGCCCCGGGCATCTGGAACGAGCGCCAGATCGCCGGTTGGAAAAAGGTCACGGATGCTGTACACGAGAAAGGTAGCATCATTTACGCCCAACTTATCGCACCGGGCCGGGCCGCCGTCGTCCCTGTTCTAGAGAAAGAGGGCGGCCATCCGCTGCTCAGCTCCAGCGCTATCCCCATTAGCCCTGAGTCTCCGGTGCCCCGCGAGATGACAGCCGAAGAAATTGCTTCCGCTGTCAAGGACTTTGCGCAGGCTGGCAAGAACGCGATCGCAGCTGGTTTCGACGGCGTCGAGATCCACGGCGCGAATGGCTACCTCGTTGACCAATTTCTACAAGATACCTGCAATCAGCGCACCGATCAGTGGGGTGGCAGCGTCGAGAATCGGGCTAAATTTCCCGTTGATGTCGCAGCCGCGCTGGCCGACGCGATTGGCAGCGATAAGGTCGGATTCCGTATCAGCCCGTACAGCACGTTTCAGGCGATGAGAATGCAGGATCCTGTGCCTCAATTCTCTTACCTCGCGCAGAAGTTGAAGGAGCTCAAGCTTGCCTATCTGCACATCATCGAGTCTCGAGTCAACAACTGGGAAGATGTCGAGAAGATCGAGGGTATCGAGTACCTCTTGGAGATTTGGGATAACGTTTCGCCCGTTTTTGTCGCAGGCGGATTCTCACCCGAGCTGGCTCAGAAGGCTGTCGACGAGGAGTATGCCAAGTGGGATGTCGCTGTTGTCTTCGGCCGTCATTTCTTGGCAAACCCGGACTTGCCATTCCGCATCAAGCACAGCCTTCCACTGAACAAGTACGACCGCGACACTTTCTACACGCCGTCCATCCCGCAGGGTTACATAGACTACCCGTTTCACCCTGCTTTCAAGCCAGGTAAACCATTGGCATAGAGCGCAGTGGTATGGAGACATGACGATTCATGATAGAAATAGATGATTAAACATAGACATTGAAACACTCCGTTCTTCTTAACTCCCTTTTTTGAGCCTTCACCATAACCTTGTTTGGGTATCTCATGGTTGCCGAGAAGTGATAGACCCTGTCTCCGATGCGCCTCAATTGCGACGGACCGTACGGATATGACTGACCGTCGTTACAAAGCCTTTGGCGTTAGCAAGTAACACCAATGGTAGATATCGGGGTCGGTAGGCTTTAGCCTAGGCGTAGGGATCTTCGCAAAAACCTCAACATCGAAAGGTAGGTTTTCAACGTCGAAGCGGCCGGAGGAATAACTCAACGAGATCCAGATGCCCCCGTCGGTCAAGTGTCGTCCCACTCCTTCTGCCATTCTTAATACCGACTCTTCGCCTCCACAGGAAATTGCGTCCACAGTGCTTTTGTCGATGATCAGATCGTACGTCTCTCCGAGCTGGAGCTGCGTGGCATCTGCAACAAGGTAGCGCATTCTCACGTCACCAAATACTTGCTTTTCTAGCATACGGCCGCGATCAATGGCTCGAGGCTCGAAGTCAACGTTGGTAATGTTTTGAAAGCCTCTTGCCCGGATATGGTTCTGCAGGTCGCTCGTTCCGAAACCTAGCTGCAAGATGCGAGCCGAGTCGTCCAGATTGGTGAGACATGGGTCCACGATCGACATGAAGGTCGCAGACGAGGTTAACCACTCAAAATTGGTCTCGGATGCGAAGCGCTCGCCCCAGTAACTTTGTTTGTCGAAATCTGCGGGCATGATTTCTCTTTTGGAAGGTAGATTCTCGTTAAAAGCCGGGGGTCGATTTGTAAGTGACACTGCAGTCCCAAAAAGTTAACGTTGTTCACAAATAACCATCAGAGTGCTGGAGTGTATTTACCCTTATCGCCAGATCTGAGCAAAGAATTTTAAATGCCCACATTTACGTAACACTGGAAGCCCCATCTGACATCATCTTATTGGAACACAACACCAAGTGGTTCCGCTGCTTGAACAGTGCGCGGAGCCTGAGTAATGTTGTTTGTTGATAACTCCTTCAATCAAATTGTTCATTTGCTCTTGTCACTGCCAGTTTTAAACCCTTAGTTAACTGTCAAAAGGCTTCCAGTTTTCAAGCAGCCGTGAATAGACACAAAACGACCTCAATAGAGGCCATGCGATATGATCAAGACCATCACTATTCTGCAGCTAGACGACGTCTCATGTCCTCCAACGCATCTCTGATGTTTCTGTCGAGGTCAAAATTCCACAACTCCTCTGCCTGCGACAAGATTTCCTCGCGTAGCTTATCAAAGTCTTTCCCATGCTCCGTCCGGAGATCGTACAGTTCGCCAGCCCTTCGACTCTCCCGAATAAGCCATTGACCTCTTTCCCGACGGCTGGCATCGAATGCAGCAAACGCAGCCTCAATCGCTGTACTATCTCGAACCTTTAGGTCTGCCAACAGCGATGCCATGACTGCTGCGTCTTCAATGCAAATTCCCGCTCCAGCACCTTGATGCGGGGTGGATGCGTGTGCTGCGTCTCCAAGAAGGCATATACGGCCCTTCGCAAATGTAGGGACCGAGCCATCACCTAGATCGAATAGAGCCCACTAAATAGGTCGTTAACTCGATATCTGAAGGTACAAATGAGGACTGGGCGCGAGTTCATCGCAGACATACCCTATCCAGAACTTTCAAAAGCTGTATCGCCTTCTGCATTCGCGGACTGAAAGCTTTGAGATCTTTGATGCAGTCATCTACTGTAGCAGGAAGTGTGAATTGGGTCTCGCTCGGCCACTCCTCGGTGGTCGAGGTGTGAGCGACCAAATTTAGCATTTTCCCGTGAGCCACCGGATAGGTGACTATGTGTGCATCGTTGCAGACCTAATCCATTGTTAGGTAAAATTTCCACGATAGACTGTCTTAAGAGTGATCAAGAATGAAACTTACCCACAGCCCGGAGGTTCTTGCTCTGTCTGGGCCCAAGATCTGTACGGCTTGACTCATCGGTATCAAACCGCGGTAGGTGTACTTATGGGTGTAGGTGCACTTCGTAGCCGCATGATCGTGGCCTATGACGATGCCTCTTGTGTGCGATTTGATCCCATCGCATCCGATTATTCCATCAGCCTCAGCGGTTGATCCGTCTCGGAAGATCATTCGAAGTCGTTTGCCCGTTTCTTCTGGCCCTTCAATGCTTTCCAGTTCCTTACTGTAATGTATCGTGTCACCGGGAACATGTTTGAGCAAGTGTGTTAAGAACTGGCCTCGGTGACAACCCCTAAGTCCTGTAGTAGAATTTCCAAGTGTGAAAAGAACAGTGTCCTCGTTTGCTTCATCCGTACCGTCAAACACCTCCCAACGGAAAGGAGGCTCGGCCACGCTTTCGAGGGCCTCGAGAATCACCGGATCACAAGTTATCATTGCCCTGAGAGCATTTGGCGAAACTCCCAAGCCGACTCCAAGCTCGGTATAGGCATGGGCCTTCTCGTAGATGATGCAGGGTACGTTGCGTTTAGCGAGCGAAATGGCGAGGATTATTCCAGCTATGCCTCCCCCAATGATGGCGATTTCGAATGGCTTCTTTTCTCCTCCCATGATGATGTGACTTCTTGGAAGGAATATGGAAGACTACGAACTAGGATCGAAAAGAGGAGATGAGTCAATTTGACATGAATCTACATGAGTGGTTGAAGCATTATTAAGGTTTAAACGGATGTCACACGGACTTCGAGTCAAATGTCCCCGAGGCACATCAGGCATCTGTTGGCCCTAACTTCGCCAATTCGGTTAAATCTCACTCCTGAGATCTATCATAGATCATCGTCTTTGGCTGTGAGGAGTATAAGGTGCGTATTCTTTAGTCGAATTGTTTCAAGGGAGACATACTCATACAGTCATGCAGAGCTGGAGGTATCGTGCTCCAAACGTAGCTCCAATAGTAAGATGGTCTCTCAACCTATGATAAGGCAATAACCGTCAAGATCACGACAATCAGTGCTTGGACATAAAAATTTCGATATTTCTTACTTGCGTATCTACTTATATTCCATCAAATAGCAGACCGGGTCATCCTCTTTCGGCATCGCTGATGCAGTCACCAAATCTGTGGCAGTGCAGAGCTAAAGTTCTTCACCTCTCCTTAAGGTTCCCTACCCCCTGTTGGTAGCGTGGGATCGTGCTCTCATTAGAACTTTGCTGAAACTTACCGAGTTGGACTGTCGATGACCACTCCATCGATGAGTTAGTTGGATGAGCACTGGTTATGCTGCATTTCTTTGATGGCAAATGAAAATTATGACCATATACTAATGCTTAATTTCAACATCAACTTCATCATTACCGCGCTGCTTTGAATGTTAAAGTAATGGTGCGAATCTTTCGTCTTTCCCAATTTTTCTCATCCGTTTTCCAGGATTTCACCGGAATCTTTGCCAAGTGCCATTATCAATTACAATGTGTACAGTGTTGTGTCTCTACCTTCTCTCTTGAGGCTTTTGTTGGCCCTGGTAAGCATAATTTTCATGATCACGCATGTGACAATACTCAAGGCCGACGATGCCATCATGAGCAAGTTGGCCATAACATATCGAGGCCCATCATTCGATGGAAAGAAGTAGGGGCTCCAGATATTGCCTAATTGGCTGAGCAGGTTGATGATGGCTGTTGCACACGCCCTCTTCTCTGGAGTTTGGTTCAGTGTGGAGCTAGCCCACGAGAAGACCATGGCATTGGAAGAAAAGCATCTGGATCATTGTATCAGCTAAAGTTTACTTCCTTGACCACCGGATATGCTCAACTCACCCGCAGATGTAAAGGAATGCAGCAAAATAACGAGCGACTATGTTGACCGTGGAGACCGAAATGATGAACCCAACGCATGCAACGCCCTGTGGCACGGAGATGTGGAAGCCGCGCTCTTTACGTCGATCGGAAGACCAGGCAGTCGTGAATGCGACGACAGTGGCAAGAAGGTACGGCGGCGCCGTCAGAATGAGGGTCAAGGTGTTGCTACCAAGCTTAAAGCCCTTGACGATCGTGGGAAAGAAATTGTTGAAGCCATAGGCTGAATGATTCGCGGTCAGCATTACCACCTGTTTTACCGCTGTGTCAGTGTACCGTTCGGCATCTCTGTGCGTAATATTTTCTCTGCAAATTTCAGCGTGACTCACGAATACCCAAGTACGGGGGTCTTTGATGGCAAGTTTCAGCCCGTTCCAGACACTCGAGTCTGCCTCTGGCAAAGAAACCCGATCTCTTCGAATACGCTCAACCGCGACTCTTTGCTCAGCATCTGTGAGCAACCACTTGGCAACACCCGACCTCTGTCCGGGGAAGTCAGGAAGCAGCGCGAAACCTAGAAGCGCTGCGGTGAAACTTCCAGCTCCTTCGATGATGAACAGCCACTGCCAACCAGCGATGCCCCTTGCGCCCTCGAGGCTCGAGAGCACGCCAGCAGCAATAAGTCCAGAGAATGCCGTGGCAAGGAGGACGCCAGAGTATAAGACGGCAGTGCGCAATGCTAGCTCTTTGCGTGGATACCAGCATGATAGAAGATACATGGCTCCGGGGAAGAACGGGGCTTCCGTGATGCCAAGAAAGAATCGTATAACAAGAAGGTGGGTGTAATTGCCAGCTCCAGCCGTGGCAGCTGAGACGATAGACCACAATGATGTACAAGCAGGGATGTATATGCCGGGTCGTGTTCGAGTTATGAGCATGTTACTTGATGAATGTCAGTACTTCAGCGTGGATGGGCAGAATTCCAAGCACGTCTCTCTTACCTGGGAAGCTGCATCAACATATAGCCTATGTTCAGGATGGAAACAGCAACGTTGAATTGATTTCCAGTCAGATTGAGATCCTTCTCAAATGAGCTCAATCGGGCTTGACTGTGACCAGTTACTATTAAAGACTGACCAATATTGCACGAGTTGAAGGTTATAAGAATCTTACGCAATGTTGTTTCGATCAAGATAGTTGAAAAGATACAAGAGCCAAACCTAGAAGCTGTTAACCTTTGTACTGGATCTCGAGCTGCTGTTTTCGGACGACTGACCATAGGGACGAGTGTGTAGTCGAGTTTCCTCACCAAACTTTTCTCGTGAGCAATGAATTCCTCTTCGGCCATGCTGAAGTTGACATCAGTGACATCTTTATCAAGGGAAATATCTTGCTCTTGAAAGGCTTGTAAATCGTCGATATGATCAGAGCTGGCTTGCATTGTGTCACCCTTTTCCCTGGATTTATCAACAGCCATTGTTGTTGGTATTGAAGCTTGTGAATAGGAAAGGGAAGGCTAAAACGATCAATCAGAATTCTTGCAGATGGAACTTTTATCCAATATCTCTTACTGCAAGAACAAGAGAAGGCATGCCAGTTGAAATAACGTGGCATGGTGCTTGGTGACGAGGGGTCTTAAGTTATGTCTTTCTGAACATCAGCATTACTTTTCAGACACACACCAAAGGGAGACACAAATTTCAGTCTGTTCTGATTGTCGAGCGACAAGACGGAAACCCCAGAATTACCCCGCATACCCCCAATCTAACCCCAGGTTCTTACCCGCTAGTAGAGTATCCGTACAAAGGTCTACCTGAAGCTATGAGGATTACACGCCCAGCCTATCCTTCTACTTCATACAAGCATCCAGCCAATAGGTGGCCACGGAATCGAAAGATTCAGGTGTCTGCCATGCCAGTGTAGATAGAGAAGTCAAGTAGTTCGATAGTGGGCTTCTCCGTACCTGTCTCGGGTTATTCCAGCCACTGCTAAGGCTGGTAAAGGTCATCTCGGAACTATTTCAACCCTTCACTCCCTTGCGTAGTGGAGTAGTCCGTGTCTTAGCGGAACAGTCCGTCACATGGAGAAGTCCAATCTCATTGCCCGGACTACTCCTTGAGAATGCAAATTGATATTCGCCATCATGAAGTTGCGAGAAAGTCCCCCATAGACCACCGGTCTCGCGAGTTTGGCTTGACAACATGAATCGTGAACATCCATCCCGTTCCATTTCAACATCTCGCCGCATACAACGGGTTCCATAACGCTGAGGGTATGTTGAGGCGGGACATCATCGCCTCATAATTTGCTCCACTTACACACTCCGCACAACAATCTCTCGTTGAATAGTACCTTATCATGGCTACGACATACGTAAGGAGTTCAAGAGTTATCATAGTGATGACAACAGCACACGTCCGAGCCTATGTAAAGGTTACTTTGTTTTTATGATATCAGGAAGAACGCTATGCAGAACAGAATTTGGCATTTTATCATGTGATCCCTCTAGGGTCTCGGGGCCTAACGCCGACAAGGTATCATCATGCTTCGCCACGAAGTGCAACGCGCTTGATGTGGTTAAGCGCACTCCCCGCCCGCAACCATTCAATCTGGTTGATTTCGAAACTGTGATTCAACTTGGTCGTCCACCTGGAACCTTGTAGGGTGACGACCTCCATGGTTACTTGTTTATCGGGCCGCAAATCAGCATCTTCGACGTCTGCAAGCGTGATTTGGTCCCCTTTCTGTATTTTGCCGTAGTCTGCGGGATCACTGAACGTAAGCGGTAACATGCCCTGCTTCTTCAAGTTCGTCTCGTGAATTCTGGCAAAGCTCTTGGCAATGACGGCAACACCACCCAGATATCGCGGCTCCAGCGCAGCATGTTCTCGCGAGCTTCCTTCGCCGTAATTATCATCTCCGATGATGCACCACCTGATGCCAGCGCTCTTCATGCTTCTCGCAGCTTGAGGCACGGGTTTGATTTGGCCATCGACCGGATCCATGGCTTTGCCAACCATGTTCAATGAGCTGGCGTCGCCTAAGAAGTCGTTGGTGGCTCCGAGGAGCATGTTGTTGCTGATATTCTCCAGATGGCCCCGGTACTTATACCAAGGACCAGCGGGCGAGATATGATCTGTCGTACATTTTCCACGCACCTTGATCAGGATGTTCATGTCACGCGCTTTGCCGACTTGCCATCCGTCAAATGGTGTAAGGAGTTGGAGTCTATCGCTGGAAGGGAGGATGTTGACTTTCAAGTCTGTTGTGTCCGATAGTACAGGAGGTTGAAAACGGTCGGCGCCTGGAGAGAAGGCCATCGGGAGCTCGGCAGCTTGAGGGGGCGTGAAACGGAACTTCTTGGGAGCACCATGAGGACCAGGTATGGGGATGTCATCAGTCATGGGGTTGAACGTGAGATTGCCAGCGAAGGCGAATGCTGCGGCAAGCTCAGGTGATGTGACAAAAGAATGAGTGGCCGGATTGCTGTCATGGCGACCTGTGAAGTTGCGGTTGAAGCTGGAAATGACCGAGTTCCTCTCGGCGTTCTTCACATCGACGTCTTCCCGATCCCATTGTCCAACACATGGGCCACAGGAATTACTCAAAACAACAGCTCCAGCTTGTCTGAGCGTATCGAGAATCCCTTCCTCCTCTGCCGTAGCACGGATTTGCTCACTTCCTGGGCTGACCAGGAACCGAGTCTTTGTCTTCTCTAGCCCAGCTTCCTTGGCTTGAACGACGAGATGGCGAACCTTTTCTAGATCTTCGTACGAGCTATTGGTGCAACTCCCGACTAGACTGCAAGAGATGTCTGACGGCCATGAGCTCTCGCTGACGTGTCGTTTGAATTGAGATAGTGGGTGTGCTAGATCTGGGGTGAAGGGGCCATTAATGTGAGGCTCAAGGGATGACAGGTCTATCTCGATTATTTCGTCGTAATAGCGGTCGCAGCCCTCGTCTCCAACAAGAAGTGGCTGTTTGAAAATATCGGCATAGTTGGCGATATTCTTCCGATTCGTGGCTGATAGGTATCGTGACATGGCTTCAGAGTAAGGGAACACGCAAGACGTTGACCCAATTTCGGCAGACATGTTGCAGACGGTTGCCATTGCCGTAGCTCCCAGCGTTTCGGTGCCTGGACCAAAGAACTCAATGACCTTGCCTTTACCTCCAGAAACAGTGAGGATACCCGCAAGCTTGCAGATTATGTCCTTTGACGAGCTCCATCCCTGGAGTTTGCCGGTCAGGCGCACGCCGCAGACCTTTGGACAGACGAGCTCCCACGGCATACCAGACATTGCATCGACAGCATCAGCTCCACCGACACCGATGCCTAGCATGCCCATTCCTCCGGCATTCGGTGTGTGCGAGTCTGTGCCAATCATCAGGCCGCCTGGAAATGCGTAGTTCTCGAAGATGGTTGTGTGTATGATTCCCGCTCCTGGCTTCCAGTACCCGATTCCGTATTTCCTCGTCGCACTGCCGAGAAAGGCGTACACCTCTTCGTGGTCGCTAGCGGCACGGACGAGATCCTCCTTGTCACCTTTCTCGGCAACGATCAGGTGGTCACTGTGTACGGATGTCGGAACTTTGACGCGTGGAAGACCAGCGCTAATGAACTGAAGCAAGGCCATTGTTGCTGTGGCATCGTGACATGCTACTCGATCGGCTCGCAGGCGCAATATTGTCTTGCCTCGATGTATTTCGTCGAGCGACCACCCATCGTTGCCGGGGACTAGGTGGCTGTATAGGATCTTTTCGGAGAGAGTCAGGGGTCGTTTATTGGACTTTTGCAGGTCATGAAGGGCTTCTAGTCGCGATCCATAATCCAATGGGTTGTACTAGGTCACGGTCAGACTTAGTGCTTTGGTTTTGACAGGAATTATGCAAAAGACTTACCGGCTCCAAAGGACTTAACGGAACTTGTACAGATGCAGCTGGAGTTGCAAAATGTCTTCTCCATGCGGCGTAAGAGGATTGTTTGAATGAGGAGCTCCCTTTTGACCTAGTTGCCTTCAACAGCGCTAACGACATGACTGCGGTTTCTATGCCTCAGTGCCAGTCCAGAGACCTTCCAAGGGCACGGCATCTTTTTCATTCTCCTTCCACTCGTACTGCGATACCAAACCGTGCTGGTCATTGCGATGCCATGAACAATTCGTAGCAGCTCCTGCTTCAAGTCCGGACAGTCGAAAGGCCTGGGTAGCTCCGTTTAGAGCTCCGAAATTGGGGCATACACGGAGTAGTCCGGGAGCTGAGCAAGATCCAAACACGGATTACTCCGTCTAACACCAAATGCGAGCCCAACCCCCGGAGCCATCCGTATGGATCACTCTCGTGGCCCAATTGATAGCGCATTCAAGCAGCTGGATCCTTCCAAGTCCCGGGAAATCCCAAGACGGCGCTGACGAGTGCCTACCTGCGTCATCGATATCCCGGGTTCGGGAAGTTCGCTATGTCGTAGGGATCGCTAATGCTAGTCAAAGGAAAGCTCCAGCTGAACTCAGACTTGTCGAAATCGGCAAGAAAAGTCTCAATTTCCGGAACATAGTCGTTCGTTGTTGAATGGAATGTAGGGGCGGGATAGACTCCCTGCCAATGTACCGGGTCGTGGGCATTCGGTAGCTCCATCGAGGCTCCCGCCATCTGGTGCCAGGGTGCGTCTGCGCCGTTGAGCGCTATGTGGGAAAGGTCGGACTGCTGCCCAGTTGCATCATAGACAGGTGCTCCTTCTGAGTTCTCAATCGCAGTCTCTCCGTCTTCCGCGCTGAGAGGCATGAAGAGTCTGGGATTCTTTGATGGCATATTGCCGGTGTAAAGTTTGCGGACTGTGAGGTCGACAATAGCCCCGAAACTTCTCTGTCCCCTTTTGACAGACGGCCACCATTCCCCACCAACTGCCAAGAGACCTGAACAAGCGCGCAGACTTTTGGAAAGGTCGGCCGTGGACGCGCTTTGACGGACGATGGGGCACGTCCAGAAAGAATAGATCAGCGTCGCCCCGGCCGCGAAAATGTTTTGGACCGTTCGCCATCCATGATGAAGACCTTGCATATCGTGCAACATTTGGTAGTCCTGCAGAATGGAGGAAGCATTGTTGAAGCAGATCTGGAGAGACTCGGGAGGAGGGTTTCGAATGACCTGTGAAGGCTGGTACAGCATCACCATCGTGGTGTGATACTTGATCTTCAGCTTCAGCTTCCAGATGCGACGCTGTCGGTTGTCAACACCGGGGAACTCAAAAGATTCTTCAGACACCTCTCGCCACCAATTCACGAGCTCTTGTTTGATTCTTCCTTGTTGGTCAGTCGGGTTTCGAGGCATTGGAAACCAGGAGGAGTCGTTGGGCAGATGGTAAAGTTGTTGTTTGACGTCGGAAATCAGTCTATCAAGTTCGAACTGGTGTCGTGCATATCTCAGGACAGCCTCCGAGAAGGAGGATGGAATCGTGTTGAGGCTGTTCGTATTGCCTGTGCGTGATAATTGGGGCTCAGGCATCATAATATCGAATGTTTCGTCGCGGAAGCCAAGGGGCCGGCCTTGAATAGATGATATGGATCTATCATTGTTAGTAAGTCATATAAATAAAGCACTACTCGAAACTTGCCTGTCCAAAGAGTATATGGTGAAGAAAGTCAACCTCTTAATTTGCTGATTCTCAAATTCACTACTTGGCTGGATGGCTGCAGGTGGTTCCCTATGAATCCCTAGTTCTACGCAATGCGCCAATGCAATATGGATGAGCGTGAAAAGATTGACCTCTGCAGGGGTCAACATGCTGTGTATAATCAGAGTTACCAAAGCCTGAATCGACGACAGAGATATCTGCGAGAAACAATCCTTCGAGAAATGTAGAGCGGCACGGTAGAACCTTTCGGGAGGAAACTCGTAGATCCGCGACCTGATCTTCATGATAGCTGCGATATTGAACACCATGAAGAGGGTAAAAGCAACAACGGGCATAGGCACCGCTTGCATACCTTGATCGCTCGGGGTGACCTGCCATCCATTCCACCTAAACGCTTGAACGGAACTTGGCCAGCCATTTGGCAAGGGATCTTCTTCCAGCGAGCATTCAAAAGTCGCATAAAGAGCCTCAATGGCACTCAGTAGAGATGTCGCTTCTAAAACTGGGTAGTCGGGATGTATCCAACGAATGTAGGTGTGTACGAGTTTGATGGCGTCTTCTTTCCTTGGAAGTTCCTGCGCGTAGACGAGCGTCAGCTTTATCGTAACGAAAATGAAGTCTGCAGTCTCTTGAGTAGAGAAGAGATGCATACGAACCTGCCGTAGACACACGTGCAAGGCACGATTATATTCTTGCGAGACGTTGCTTGGGATGGTGCTGTCGTGCCATTCAGATGCTGGTCCCTGGGCTTGGACGTCATCAATCAAAGCAACCGGTGTTGAGCCCGCACTTGAGGGAGACGCCCCAATGAGATTCGTGAAAAGAACACCGGAACTTGATCCCAGATAGTGCTTTTGATCTGAATCCGAGTTGAGCGATAGCATCCCTAAGTTCCTGGCGACCGAGTGTGCACGATCCGGGAACTCTTCGTCGTGGTCGTTGGATCCCGCGGCCTCCGCGGTACGCTTGAGGCTGCCTGATCGCTGCGACCCCAGAACTATAGTCCCTCCCACCGGCACCGGTTGACTACATCCGCGGCCGGACCGGGGAGACGATGTCGAGATATTGTCCTCATCGTAGTCTCCACCTCCGACGACCCCCGATCCTTTCGGGTCCGGAAACGCGTCTATTTGCGGACCGCCTGCTATGTCGACGTCAGGTAGCCGCTGTTTGATTATTTCCTCTAGCCATTGAATTCTAGCACGTGCCGCGCTCGCAAAGCTATACGTGGATAAGGATCATCAGTCATGGACTCCTCTAGCCGTCTTTGAGTACCTTGCAGGGCGGATGGGACTCCAGTATGAAGCGCTCAGAATGGAACCAATGAGGGCGCAGTAGGGGCCATGGCAATTATGGCATTTACACTTACTTGCGAGGAACCAACAAACGCGAGTTCTGACTATCAACATCTAGGCAAGTTTCGCCGGCTTTTGCGCAATTCGTGCAGGCAGGGACTTCTCCGTCGCACTGAAAAGTTGAGAATGAGCAACCCGAACAGTTTGAGCCGGAGTAACGCGGCGACGGTCCCAGTCATTGTCCAGGCTAGTAAGACCAAACCCCAGCGCGGGATTTGATCTGACTGGAGCCGCAACGCGGGTCGGGGATTATGAGAGAGTCTCACCTTTATTCGCCTTGTGCGACAACGACGACAGGCGAGCCGGACCTTCTTGGGCGGATTTGCCCGTGTAGCCATCTCTGAATATGAAGTTGTCGATTTTCTCTCGTTCGTTGAAGGTTATGTCCCACGGTGTGAAGGTAAGCGACTTGGAAGGAGTTGGCGAGGAAATGAATGGAAAAAAGGCATAGCCCGGGGCAGCTCCCGACAATGGCAAGGCACGTAGCTACTAAACAAGCTAGCACTCACGTTAGGTACCAAGTACATTTACTGGATCCCGGGAGGGGTGTTTCTCAGGGGGCTTGTCACGTCACTCTCCGCCTTTCACCCAACCCCTGACGGGATGTGGCTTGGGCTGCTTTTTCGGGATAGACAGACAGAATTCGCGGGAAACATACATCAGGCATACCGGGGGAGAATCACACAGAATCATACAAGGGCTCTTACAAGAGCTACAAGGAGTTCCAGCTACTGTTCGAGCCTTTATCAAGACCTTATACAGAGGAGCATACCCGGAAGCAACGATAGCTACCCTTTGCAACGGATACCTATAGGTACTGCACTTTGGACACTCGGGAAAGGCCTAAGCGAACGGTACAACGCCTATGTTTCCTTGGAAGACCTCGGTCGTATGTGGAGAAGCTGGCTTAGTGCCCAATTGGCAAACCTGGATCGGTAAGCGTACCTGTACTCCATACTTTTGCATCGGACACTTTGTTGAATCTAATCAGGGCTTGCGGACGCTGGAGTCTGGACGCTGTCGCTCGTTCGCTAAGAGCATTCGCAATATGTTCTGCCTGACAAGACGAACCTTGTCAACCCGCCGGCGGTATTCTCGTTGAAGCTTTACGAAGAATTGTTCCTCCGTTAACAGAAGGTTTCACAGCTAGGGTCTCGCTACTGCATGCTCCAAATGACGGGTGGATTCCCTGGGAGTCGGAGATCTATTAGTTTATGGTCCGTGGACCCGATACGGCCTGGAGGCTGCAGTTACCAACGATTAATCATGCTTGAATAGACTCTACCACCTTATCCCAAGATAGTATATACCTTGTTTACAGTTTGAACTACCTTATTCTGCCGGATAACGTTCGATAGGGCACGGCAGATGGTGGAGCAAATCAGCGTGTAAAAAAATGTGCTTCGGGGCATCGGGGAGCACGCTGGCCGTAGGCCCTCCGTGCACAACACCTCCCGATCGCCTAGTCGCACGATTGATCCACCGTCATCGCACTACCGGCCCTGGTCTTATAGGTAGACTTCTGTGGTTTTGATGTTCCAGCTTCCCGCTGGGACTTGTCAGTTCGCTGCCATGCTGCCCAAGTGAGCTTTACGATCTTCCCGTCAACCTTGATGAAATCCTTCACCTGGGAACCCCTCGGCAAATTTTATTTTCGCGGAATCGCACTTGATGAATCGCCTCCCGCCTCGAAGTCGATTCATCTGAGACGCAGAACGCACTGGCGATGGGCGTATAGTAGGCTACAGCATCACGGAGCGGCTTGATTTTACTCCAAGGATGGCTGGGACGAAAATTCCCAGCGGGGAGTGGGATGAACTCAAAAGCTGCATTGTTCATTACGGGATTACCTTTGTACTCGGTCGGACGCTCGCTTGGCTTTGTTTGGCACGCGGGAGTGTGACTTGATCTGACTCGCGGTGACGGGAATGAGTGCTCCGCCGGATGTAAGTGAGCTTGATGTATCACGTCTTTAAGCAGGAGCATAAGGCCAGTGGCGGCTGCGCCGGGAATAATCATTGAATTAAAAGGGGCCGGAGGTGTAATTATGCGGCTCTATGTCGATTTGAAGAGGCCTAGGCGTAGGTCAAGGCAATACCAGTGCTCATCTTCGTGTAGCGATGATGAATGAACCAGCAAGCCTTCGCTATCCATTTTTGCTGGCTAGCATATGGGTTATTGGTTGGATTAGGGACACAGGCCTACTACTCCGTACCGTTCGTTTTCCGTAGTACGGTAGGCTATCCGTAGACCGCTGAAGCTCGATGTAGAGTTTATGTATGTACAGCTCGGATTAGCCCCAATTCGCTCTTTACAGGCCACCCCTTGTGGCTATTCTAACGTATGTTACGGAGTAGAGCGGATGAATTGACACGCAAAGTCCAAAGCTTAGAATCCAAACCCCAGACCGTAGCGTCAGACTGGCAAGGCCAGAGAGGGGAAAGGGGAGCATTCCACGCATCGCGTGGAATCCACGGTTTCCACGCATTCCACGGAGACGCTCTGACCAGTCTCTCTTGGAGCAGGTTTGTCTTGTTACCACCTGGCACCCGTACGGAGTACTCGTTTCCCGTACGGATATTGACGGAGCAATCCGCCAGCCGGATACTTCTCACACGGATAGCTCCTTTGGAGGAACTTCCTCGATTGTTCACATGCAGACAATTGATGATCTTGTCGCGTGAACGTGTCGAAGATGCGTGTTTGTGTCTGCTTTCTCTAACTATCGTCTCCGTGCTACTGTTACCACCGCTCGGAGGAACCCGAGTGAAGATGAATGTTATATGAATGATGGCGTCGTTGGCTGGGAGAGCCCTCGTCGCCGATCAAAGCCACGAGTGCATTGCCGTTCACCAGTACTGGCAAACGTTCTCGCATTGACTGATTCCTTTGCGATGCCTCCTTCTGCTACATCGATTGAGGAAAGACAACCCGTTCTGCTCCCGCGCGGCGGATGGGATACTCATCACCATATCTTCGAACGTAGGTCTACTTGTCATGCGAAAATTTCTTTCTGGGGCCAGATCATCAACGAAAAACCCGCTAATTCAAGCCCTTTCGTCGTCGTCAAGCCGAATCTTTCCCTTACAGCCCAAACAGGCATCTAACTCCGCCGCCCGCGACGATTGCCGCGTTTGAACAATTCAAAAGAAGCTTGGGCATCACGAGATCGGTACTCACACATGGATTATCCTACGGGAATGACTGCACGTCTCTCAAGGCGTTCGTCCCCCGGCTCGGAAGCCAAAAGACTCGGGCCGTTGGCGTTATCGATCCTGAAACGACGACAGACGAGGAGTTACTTGCGATGCACAGAGCGGGTGTTCGCGGCATTCGCGTGAACCTGTATCAGTACAAAGCTATGGAAGATGTCGAGCTACAGAAAGTTGCTCTGCGTTCGCATCTGAACAGGATTACAGACCTATCGCTCCCATGGAGCTTGACGATGACGACGACCCGCACCGAGTTCTGGACCACGCTGGAGCCCTTCGTCCGAGACGTCATAGTCTCGCAAGGCGTCATCTTGGTTACAGATCACTTTGCGTTGCTGAAGGCGACAAGTCTGCTGTTCGGTGAACATCGCGAGGACCCGACGACCCAGCCAGGATTTGACGCCGTGATGAGACTAGTGAGGGACGGCCATCTGTGGGTAAAGCTGAGCGCACCGTATCGCATCAGCGACGACAGCCCAGGATACTCGGATGTGGAGTTTCTAGTGCGCGCATTTGTCGATGCGAACAAGCACCGGGTGCTGTGGGGCAGCGATTGGCCGCATACGCCGCGAATGAAGGTCCGGACACAGGAGGCTGCCATGAGGGAGACGCCGTATCTCGAGGTAGATGATGCGGCGTGGCTCAAGAGCCTGAGGTCTTGGCTCTCAGATGAGGAGTGGGATCTGCTAATGGTTCAGAATCCAAGCCATATCTTTGGACGGTGAAGAATTTGATGAGATTGGCCGCGGTCGAACCGGGGCTCGAGAAGAAGCAACATGTCGTGAAAGTCAAACGCAAGGGAATGGTCTAGCGATCAAGCTTTTACAGTGGCAATAAGACGTTGTATAAAGCGTGAGAACTTCTGGCTGCACTGCAAGCTGCTAAATATTACCCACCTTACAACAGTCATTTATCTTTCCGGACGCTTTTGATGAGGTCTCCCATGGAAGCCCCCTTCTTCAGTTCGACAAACATCTTCTCATCAACTTCGGCCCTTTCCTGGCATAGAGCTACCACCTTCTCGACCAGAGAAACAGGAGTAACCACGACGCCGTCGGCATCGCCCACCAGAATGTCGCCGGGATTGATCCAAAGGTCTTCCTTGAATTGGAGCGGCACGTTGATTCTTGAAGCCCGTGTGAAAGTGTTGGATCCGAGAATCGAAGTGCCTTGCGCAAACACCTAGCCAAAGCAGTCAGGTTTTTCCATCCCCTCCTTTACTGTCAGAGGAAGAAAACTCACGGGGAATCCCATCTCGTTGTGTTCTCCAACGTCTCGCATGCGACCATCAATAACCACAGCCTCCGCCCCGAGATACTTTGCTCTCGTAGACATCAGCCCGCCCCAGCAAGCCGAAGGCAAGCCCTTGGGTTGCTGGACGTACATTATGCCGCCCTCCTGATTGTGGTCGACGAAGTGCTTGTCTAGCTTGGGCGCCGCGATATTGCTCATCTCCACCATCTCGACGGTTACTGCGGGGCCGAAGACGCGTCCTGACGCGCCCGGCGAGAACATGCGGATCCCATCAAGAAAGCCGCCCTGGGGGTATTTGAGCTTGACAAGAGCATCCCCAATCTGACCAAAATGTTATTGACTACTTTGATACAATATTGATAAGATTTGATGGCTGAAGCCGGCCGATCGACGACCTTGGCCAGAGATGCACTTACGTCACAGGAGGTGAACTTGCGAAGAGCTTCCAGAGCGCGAGGTGACATTATGGTGTTTTGTTCAAGACTAGTAATTGAATAGCTCAGGCCCAGAAGTTTCACTGACTAAATCTTGTCAATCCAAAGTTCTTCTCATGACCGATTACATATATAAGGCAAGTTCAGGGTGTATTCGAGTGCCTGCCGGCGTACCGAGCGAAGCTCCGACCTTTGAGACGCGGGGTTGCGGGCCAGCACCGAAAGCTCGGACCATTATCTTGGCCATCAAGGGCGGGATTACTCCGTCTCCTGGGTTCGGTTCAAGGAGACATCCGGCCACAGATGTAGTGACGGGCAAGGAATATAGAACATCGAAGTCTTCTGGGCCAGCTTTTAGTGGCCAGACGTAGAGAAAGTCTAAGCTGGAAATGAGTTGAATGAAAAGAAACAAGATCTAACTATCAGCCAGTAGCTTGA